AGAAGTTATGACGACGGACCGGCCTTTGTCCACCAGCTGCGCCCCGAACTGCTTCGTGCGCGACAAGTCGCATTGACATCGCGCAGCGGCGGATAGCGTTGACGAGCAACTACCGGAATTTCCAATGCGGCGATTCTATTCAAGGCCCGCCAGGCAAACTGCTACTCGAGGAATACTGCCAGCCCAGCTTGTCGTCAAAGTGCCGGCACACAGCGTGGATGACTGCAAACGCAAAGCAGCCGCTGCGAAAGTAGTCAAGGCCAGATTTCGATGTATTGCCTTGATTCTCATACTAAAATACAGGGTACCTGCTGCAGATGTGGCCTCGTCATGTGTTCGAGCGGGCCTTCCTTTGGTCCAAGCAACAGTTCGTCGCACCATCGCCGTGGTATAAGTATTCGTACATTGATGGCCCCCTCCAAACGTCGCCCTTTTTACTTGTTCGGCGCAAGAGGCTGCCTTAGGCCGGCCGCCTCCTTGAACCGGCGACTGTTGAGCAGCTCCTCCACCTTATCCGCAGTGCCCATTGACTTGGTCTGCCCGAGTTGTGCCCATGTCGAGTCGAGTCCCCCCAACTGGTCCTCGGGCACTTCCATCGAGCGACCAACTCCAGCTTCCGTGAATTCCCATACGTTTGCCTTCATTCCCACGCCGTAGTATTGGTGTTTTCGCAGGTAGGCCAGCCACAGCTGTACCGTCTCAGGGTGGCCATCCTTGATCTGGATCAGTCGCCGCAGTGTTACGCGCTCGAAGTTCTCTTGTGACTTCTTGAAAATGAAGTGGCTCCGAGGCACCGTCCAGCGTTCGGTAATGCGAGGTAACGGGACTGGCCCGTAGGCTGGGAGGCCGAGGTAGTATGCTGCGCGCAGCGCGAAGTCGGCGAAGAACTCAAGCGGCTGCGTACTGAAGGATCGGAGCTGCAGATCGCATGACGGGATTCCGAACTCGGCCTCGCGCTTGAGCGGCTTAAGATGCAATGCCTGGAGGGACCTTGGCCGACGCAATTGCCCCTGCCCGTCTGATTTCGATTCCGCCGTCAACTGTCGCTCTTGGACCTTGTCACTGCTGGAAGCCCTGAAGAAGCACCAAGGGTCAGCCGCCAGCCAGAAACACGGCCATTGATGAGCATGTTTTGCGCTTCGTTTAACTTACAATGACGCTTGGGACCGACGGGCAATCCATGGCAAGGTGACCTGCGAGCCTATCAGTCATTTCGCGTCGACTTCGTGGGCAGAGCCAGTCAGAACATACGGGCAGTGACGCCAATGGCCTAGCGGTTGGGCGAAGCATCCTGCTGGTGCCAGCACAGGCGCATGGGCAGATCCTGGTCGCTGGATCGTGAGTTGGCGATGATGGATGGAGGACGGAGTCGCGCGGCTTGAAAATGCTGCCAGCAGCTGGCCCGCTGACCAATGAACGAACGCCACCCCGCTTACGTAACACGAATTCGCGGGCACAGGAAGCCGAGCGGCTCATATGGGGAAACCTCCGAGTGTCCAGAACAAAACTTGACCGCAAATGACTGCTTACGGATGTACAAATACTCAATACTCCATGGCACGGTTAATACGGAACATGCAAAGCGTGATTGTCGACCTCAATTACTTCGTAGTATATAGGCCTGTTCGTGGAGGCGTGAGGACGCCGTTGGGCGTCCGCATTGGCCCAATTGGTCGGCCAAAATGCCAGGCTCCGACGTCTCCGACTTCCTCTCCCGGCAACAACTGCTTCCTAGGAGTAGTAGTTGAGGTAGAAACCTCTACCATTGGACTTCCTTTCCAACTCGGTAGGGGCGCTGCTGCGGTAGGACACTATCCATCTTCACGGGTCCTGCATGAGCGCCATCGGCGCACAACGACGGCCAAGCAACAGCCCTGACGACCATCACATGGCGGCGTCGCCGCAGGCTTTTGCAGCAGCCCATGACCTGGGATCGCTTGACCATGGCAAAAATACACACTCGCCGCCGGAAATAGCTCATTGAGTGTAGGCATGGTGAAGGCCCTGGCTTGACTTGGCTACCAGAACTGATCCTCCAATGGCGGGGAGTGTGATAAAACCGATCGAGTTCGGCTTTGAGCCGCATGCGTTGTTTGCCAAGCATGGCCCAGACACTCGTGCAGCCTCGGTAGGACAACACCTAGAGCATCATGCATGAGTCTGTCGGTTGCTCGACGCATCCTCAGTCGCTCGGACGCCAGAAAGTTGGCCCGAGGTGCCGACCCAAGTTGATGAGCTGCAGGGGTAGTAATGAGACAACAGCCCGGCGGTGCTTCGCAGGGCTTGCTGGCCTGTCTCAACCTTGCCGCTTTCGTCTCTGCGACACGAGTCTCTGATAGAATGCCTTCTTGCCAGAGGTTTTGTTTCGTTGAATACCAGCGTACTTGCCACTCAACTTTTCCTTGTCGTGGGCGGCCGCTACTTCCTCAAAGATCGTCCGCTTCCTATCTTTGCGGGACAGCCTTGCGCTGTAATAGTCGGCCGGTCCGGCTATGACTTCGCCGACCTGGGAGTACTCTGGCGGGGCAGAACGGAGAGCCTTCTTCTGATGCTTGGGATCCAGGAGTCCTCGCATACGTAGCAGCTGCCAGTCTCGCTTGAACTCTGGAGTGAGGTCTGTTTTCGGGAGGCCGAACCAATTCGGACCAGCAGTGTCCTGCAAAGCCGGTTAGTCATGCGGCAACTTGGTTTTCGATGGTCCCTCGTGACAACATGCTGACAAGACCCGGTAGGGGCGCGGATCTTGTGCATTGATGTGCAATCTGCCCGTGTGTGCAGGTTGACAAGGCTGAGTATTCAGAGTAACTATGAAAGAAAGAAATCATGAGGCCACGGGCATATGATCCAAAACGGATGCTTGTCCCGCGTCATGCGAACCGAAAGGCGGCTCCTCTCATCACAATATACAGCGTCTCGCAGAAAGGCAACACACCACGTTCAGGTAAAAACGAGTCACGAGGTGACTTACCTTCTTTGATGCATTGGTGGCAGGCCGACTCTGGGCTGGGCGCACGGAGAGAGCTTCGCGCGGGGCAGCCTTCTTGGTCGTCGGCTGGACGGCAATAGGTTGCGCCACCGGAGAGGGGAGAGCAGGAGCGTCACTTCCCCTAAGTCGATGCTCTGCCTCCTTGAGGAGCTCCTCTATCCGATCATCGACGAGATTAGGCATTGTGTGCGGCGTTCAGGGTGTTGTCGAAGCCGCCAGCGGATCGAGGCCACCAAACATGGAGGGAAGGTCGAGGAAGCTGTTGCAGACAAAAAAGTTGCAGAAGTCGGCTCCTCATTTTGCAGCTAATTTTTTTTTGGTGGAGCAACCGCCGGCGTCGGTGGCTGACTTATGTAATCTAACCTTGCGCGCGTCCGTGTGCGAGGCTGACGCGACTGGGAGTTTGGTTGGGCCGACACCACTTCCGGTCAGGTGCGAAGTACTAGTCGCGCTGGGTGCGGTACTTTGCGCCAAGTGAGGGGCTCGGATTCGGCCTTCGCGACTTTAAATTCTGTGGTTCTGTGGTGGAGAACTTTGTACCCTGGGCTGTGGAGCTGCAGCCTGGGAACCTGGGTGGCTGGGAAGTGACCACCCGCGCGACGGCTGCTGGGCCGCCAGTCAGAGGTATTCCCGTCACGTCACTCACCACTCACCACCTCATCCATCAACCATCAGCACCGCCAGCCACTCAGTGCCCTTTGCAGCCCCAGCGCTCCCAATTGCCGCCAGACCTCTAATTTCCCTGCCATAGGCCACGAGGGTCCTAGTTGAATACGCGACTCGCAGGACGACGTGTGTGTGTCTTCGCCAGCCGCCTTCCAGCTCTTGGTCGACCTGCTGCTGCCAGCTCCAACATACAGCCATCGCTAGCTATCGGCGTGAGCTCTTCGGCTTGAAAGCGTCCCAGCAATTCTCATCGCACGTGCCGACAATGGATCCTCAGAATCAACCAACGCAGTCGCAGCAGAACCGCGCTGCTCCAGTCTATGATCCCAGCCAGGGCGGCCACTATGGTCAGTCCCCTGCCGAAGCTCCTTGTTTCTTACCGTCTGCAATCTACTGACTCTATGTCTAGGCGCCTGCGCGGCCGTACGTGCATACCCGCCTCTTCCCAGTCCCGGCGCTGCTCTTCTAACATGCCCTCTAGCTAGCTTCTCAAGGCTTCGCCCCGGCTGAGCTCTACACCGGCCCGTGGGCTAATGTACGTGGCCACGTTCGCCCACTGCAAGCGCTTGCTGACCGCGACTTCACGTCCACAGGTTCATCAAGGCCTGACTGGCCAGTACAAGGACATCCTCACCACCTACTGGCAACAGACCATTACTCACCTGGAGAGTGAGACGCATGATTACAAGCTTCACCAGCTACCTCTTGCCCGCATTAAGAAGGTCATGAAAGCCGACCCCGAAGTTAAGATGATTTCGGCGGAAGCCCCCATCCTGTTCGCCAAAGGCTGCGATATCTTCATTACTGAGCTCACGATGCGCGCCTGGATACACGCAGAAGAGAACAAGCGGCGGACGTTGCAGCGGTCTGACATCGCCTCGGCCCTTGCCAAGTCCGACATGTTTGACTTCTTGATTGACATTGTTCCCCGGGAAGAGGCATCTTCGCATGCTAAGAGAACTACCGCCCAGCCGGCGACGGCCGCGCAAGCCGTGCCGGCGCCTCCTGGCCAAGGTCAGATGCCCGGACAACACACTGGCATGGCCCAGCCGGCAAACCATGCCTCGCACCCGATGGCTCCCGCGGACTACATGGGTGGGCATCACATGCCCACAGAGCAGGATTACCGACAGAACCCCAGCATGTATCCCGGCCAGGTCCCCCAACCTCCTGCTGCTCCGTACGGCCAGGCACAAGCCCCCCCATCTATGTATGGAGAGATGGAGGGCATGTATCCCTACTCAGCAATGCAGCCCCAGCAGGTACGTCGTGGGATTCTCCGCCGTGACTTTGCGACCAACTGACGCTGTTCCTAGGCGCCCATGTCTTCTGAGGAGTTCGAATGAAACGAGCCATACGATGTTCGTGTCTTGTGTATATATTTCTGTCGGATGCGCGTTGAACCGCGCTTGTCCAGGTCGGCGTTCGGGAACCACAGTACGCAATGTCTTGGGGGTCAAACCTCGTCCTTCAAACGGTCGTTTTAGATCATTGCTCGGTAGATAAGCGCCGTCAAGGGGCAGGAGGTGGACGGGTAGTGCCCAGTTTGCGAGTTGAGACGTTGGTGTCGACGCATGTCACTTCATCATGGCGAAGCGACTTGACAGATTCGACAACGGCGCGTTTCTGGCCGCGGCGTGTGTCACAGGCGTGAGTCTGGAGATAACGTCAGCACGCACGGATAATTAGCCCATTTCCCGCGACGGCCGCGACATATCATACTTTTCAAGGAGGATAGGTCCGTTGAGGGCGTCGACGCGCCCGTACTTTTTGTTTCGAATGGAAATGTCGAAGAATTCGTCATGGTTGTCTGACTGCATCAAGTTGACCGTCTGCTGCAGCTCGTCCAAGTTCTCTCGCAGCATCTGCCCGTTTTCCAGGCTAGCGACAAACTCGGTCAAGTATTCGACATCCTGTGCCAGTGCGGAAACTCCGTGGGCGTTTATATGCTTCACTTCCTGCGACAGCGGGAGAGCCTGGGTGGATGCATGTGTTAGGGCAGACTCGAATGGGTGTGGCTGGTGTTGGACGCCATACCAGGATCTTGTTTGCTGCGTGGCTCAATGCATCAAAATAGATCAACTCCTTGATTTCTCGAGGCAAGCCAAGCAACGTGGAGTTCATGATATTGGACAGGTATCGGGTCAGCGTTTGCATGTAATTGCTTGGCTCTGTAGGCACATTGGACGCCAGCCTGCCGAGAGGGCAATGGATTAGCCGCGTACTCGGACAACGAAGTATTGGGCCATACCAGTCATATTCGGCCGTATCGACGAGATCGTCAATCTTGCTGTTGACGAGCTCGAAGATGCGCTTCTCGGCCGTCTTCTTGTTATTGCGGAACTCCTCGGTAGCGTTCAATTTCAGCGGCCCTCCAGCTGATGTCGACGACCTTGCCCTGATCAACAGCTGCTCCAGCTCCTGGCATGCAATTTCAAAATGTTCCAGGTTGATGAGGATCTGGACTATTTGGCCGAGATATTGCGAGCTAAGGCGCTCCACGAGTGACTGACAAACCTTCTCGGTCAACAGCTCATCTAGGGACTGAAGAACGGCCGCCTCGTCAGTATCCCAGCCCATCGACTCATACTTGGCATGAGTTCTGGGGCATACCTTTCTCAGAGTCTCGTCAATGACATCAGAATGCTGGAAATGATCATCGGAGAAGAAGTAGAACTGATTGAGGAAGTTGCGGATGTCGATGCAACAGAGCGGATACATCTGAGAGAAGGGCAACACGCAAGGAAAACTGTAGACGTGTCAGCCGCATTGAAGGACCCGCGTTGGTGGACATACGTAAGCTCTTCTGTCGGCTGGTCTTGCGCGAACCAGCTGACGTTGATCACCTTCTCGTATTCTTCGAGTGAGTTGATCGCCATGGGCATGTAATCGTCGGTAGACACAATCTGAGACGTCAGCGTTTAAGGTCAGTCCCTTCGTCGTCACTGAAAAGGCACTTACCTCTTGGAAGTCCTCACTAAAGCGCCGCTTGAGAAGCTCGGCGTACTTGTCGAAAAGCGCCAGTAGAAATGAATCGAGGGTGGCGATGGAGTAGCCCCAGCCCTGCACAGTAAGATGAGCCAACCTTCGCAGTACTGTGTCCGGAAACAAGTCCTACCTCCATGGTTTGTATGAACAGCGCGATGAAACCCTTAATCTTAAGCAGGATCTCAGCATTGCCGACATCGCTCAAGGCCCTGGACGTCAAGTTGATGGCGGCGCTGCACATTGATTCCCAAAGCTCCTCAACCTGAATAGGATAACACATTAGTACTGGAACTTGTGCTTTGGGCGAGTGGGCGTCTCACATCAACCGGGGAACGAAGATGAGGCAGCCGCCTCATTGTTGCCTTTTCGATGATTGCGAAGCCAGCAATGCCTTCGAGTAAACTGCTTAGAGACGATTCGTCGTCGGCTAGGAGCTCGACTGAGTTGGGGAGCAGCAAGTCTTTTTGCTGACGTCTGGTAGCGGCGTATTCGGACCGAAATCGATCAGTCTGGCCAAGCGCATCATGTATATGAAGGGCCTCGAAGAGTGGAGTGAAGTCTACTTGAAGCTCCTCATTGTCCAACACGTCAAACTCCTCGCTCTCATCGCAAACAAGTTCAATGGACGAATTGAGTTTGAAGTTGGAGAGGAACTGGTCGTCTTCTACCCTCTTCCGCTGCCGGGACCTTCGCAATTCAGTGTGGTAGAATGCCACTTCGCCGAGGAACTGGGATGTCTCGCGGATGCGGAAGAGCCATGTGTTCAAGTCGGTCATGACAGCCTCCGAGATAGCTTTTTGAGAGCCAGGAATGGATTTCTGGATGACATCGGCCAACCGATGTTGAGTGGCGTAGCGATTTTGCAGGATCGGGACCAAGTGCTCGTTCTGCAGGTCATCGAGTGACTTGAGCGCAGAGTAATACTTCTTGCGGCGGACAAGGTCGTGTGCATGGTTGACAGCATGCAAGACTTGGAGCGAGTCTTTGAGAGCGTCGGTGGCGTCGGCAATGTTCTGCCGAATAGCTTTGGTGTTGACGAGGGCGCCCTTCTGCTCGGCCAGCTTCTCCGTGCTTGCTTGGATGGACTGGTTGAGCTTGAGAATCTCGGCCGTAAGATTGACCGTCCCCTCGCGGACATGCTGAAGGCGGCTGACGGAGTCGAGGAACTCCTCGTGCTTGGTCAAGCCGATGCGCTCGATGTCGGCTTCACGGTCCTCAGAGTAGCGCGTGAGGCATTGCATGAGCGCTGGCGTTCGCTTGGAGTTGGCCGCATCCTTTAGAACTGGTATCAGATGGTCGAGGAAGTCGGCATCGGACGAGGAGAGGATGATCTAGGGGCTGTTGTTAGCAGCGTGCTTCGCGGCGGGAAGGCGACGAAGCCAACGTGCCTGGGGAACGGCGGATGCATAGTCGTCGAGAGGCGCCTGTCGTCGCGGCATTGTGGGCCCATGGAATGAGGAAGAGCCTTGGCCCTTGCCGCGTATCAAGGCGGAACGAGAGACGGGGACTACACGGTCGCAGAAGCCGGATCGGCGGTGAGGCGCGTGTTGGTGGGCGATGGAGGTTGACGTTGTCGCGTCGAACAGTGGCTTATCGCCAGGTTGGTGGAGCTTATCGGGTGTTCTACAGCCTGGGGAAGGGAAAGAGGGGCTACCTAAGGTACCTAGGTAGGTATAGGTACTACCTAGTAGGTAAGGTAAGGTACCTTAGGTACTAAACTTGCTGAAGCAGCCCCTGGCTGCTACCCGTTCTTGCATCCCGTCGAAACACACAGGGGCTACGGCCATGGTGCCAGGCGCTAATCAAGCACCGGGAAGCTCTGTGGCACCCGCGGCGGGGCAAATGAGGTGCGTGCCCGTTTCCCTTCTTGGGCCTCTGCATGGATGCCATTGGGCGGTGATTTGGAGGCGTTTGGCAATTAGTTCGACGACCTCGACGGCTTCGCCTCGCGTGATGCGGCCATGGAATCATTTGCCTGCACAAGTCACGAGAGAAGCGGCATTGCAACAAAAGGCCACATCGCCCTGTAGCTGCGATCATCTCAAGATGCGCTGGAGCATAACACGCCACCGAGGAATCGGCCGACGACTCGAGCGGAAAGGTGTGGAGTGAGAGACTCGCCCGAGCATAGCTCGGCACATGCTGCCAGGAGAGAGAGAAAAGCCAGAGTGCTGCGGACGGTGCCATCCAATCAAACCATTCTCAACGGTCGCAGATCTGCCGGTTGGGCGTAGGCGGTGCCGTACGCGTAAAGGAGGGGCAGAAACGGCTCAAACGGAGGTGGCATCATGGCCACCCATGGCTCCCCAGCCAAGCGAACGTGGGAACCGTGATTCAACGCATTAACCACACGAACAATTGACGAGCTCACCGCCCACCACTGCCTGCGCACATGCCTGTTCCCCTCCTGTTGACCACCTTGCCTGTTCCTTGACCAGCCTGGACGGGATGATGTGCATGTCGGCGTTTCTTTCATCCAAAACAACAACTTGTGCTCACCATCACTTCATCAACTTTGCCTGGCCTCGGCGTTCTTGGGCGGTGTCTTGGTAAAAGCATAAGTCCTGCAAAGGGCCTTGCTTGATGGGACAGGGACCTCGCGCACATCAAATCAAATATCGCCTTGGGCTCGTTACGGAGGCGGTAGTGCCATGCTTCTTCACGCCGCACTGCATACTCCTCCCGTCTCTTCCACGCGCGCATCCGTCTCTGGCAACTTTCCTGCATGTTTCATTCGAACGAGGGTCGCCAAGCCCAGCCAGTGTTGACACGTGCCCCTTCTCATCACCAGTCCCGAGTGTTTCCCCCAGACCATCACCGCGGTGACCACGGTGGCCGCCAGGTCTTGGAGTTACCTATTCCTCCGAGGCACCCCAAACTCAGCCAATCTTCGTCAAGTCACCTTGGCAACGCTGAAGCACTGCTTCAGCACCCTCAAGTGCCCGTGCCTCCTCTGTTGCGACTGCCCCGAAATTGACAGCGCCTTGAGCGGAGCAGGTGCCTTCCGCTCGCGGGTGACGTGGCAGCAGCCCACGAGGAAGGAACCACCTCGCGCTCTTGTACCCGAGCAGAGCAAAAGGCAGGGCAGCGGAAAAAAAGGTAGGCAAGAGAGTGCGGCTGTGAAAGGGAAGGTGCAACGGAAACCTGGCTCACCTCGGATCCGCAGCCGCCGCCACCTGTTCAGAGACCGCCACGCCTCCTCGCCGTCCAGCACTTCATCGGCTGCCAACTTTACCCAGACCTGCACCTTCGATAATTTCGTTTTTGTCCGACCACCCTCTTCTAGACGTACGGAGCACGGCGACCAGCTTATTTCAGCCCTGCCTCCGTGGCACCCGCATCAGCCCTTTTCTGAGCCTACGAGACACCTGTGACTGACTTTGTCTCCTCCAAGGCAGCGTGTCTCTGCCGGTCTGTTCTACAAGCAGCTCTCCTTGAAAGCGACCGCGTGTGTTGTTCTCACATAACCGCGACCCCCGTCCGTGTGCTTCTCGCAGCAGTTGTCATGGCTCACTCTCGCGACCGAGAGAACCCTGCGTCACCGAGGTCGTCCGCTGGTGGCGCAGAATCCTTCAAAGGAACACCCGAGACACGACTGACGGCATTCTCACCTGAAGATGGCTCTGCAAAGTCTTCAAAGCTTCTCCAAGGCCTTGTGCGCTCCTCGTCGGCCACGCCACCTGTTGGCCTGCCTCCCGGCACCTATCGCGGCTCCGCGGGCCACTTGGACAAAGACCCCTTCGTCACTCCTTCCCATCGATCTGAGAGCCGACTGTCCCCAACTGCGTCAGCGTTTAGCCCTTTCGCAAACACCATCAGCGTCCCCTTGCCCAACAACACAGGTCCACTTGCGACGGGGCTGAGCACTGATTTGGGTGTATCTCGACACTTGGACATCTCCTCGGCAACATCTCTTACCGTGTCCGAAGTGAACTCCTGGCTTTGTGTAAGTTTCTCCTGTCTTTTTGTCTTTCTCTTTCAAAAAACTACAAGATCTAACTTGCAATTTCCCCACCAGGACGTGGAGGCCCATGGGGATCCCCCGCATGGGACTCGCGTCTTCGACTCTTTCGAAGGGCATGTTTACATCCGCTTTTCGGATATCAGAGATGCCTGCTCAGCGTATTCCAGTATTCGACTGGCTGGCGCGACCTGGCAAGTAGAATACGCGGATTCCGGCCCTACTGCCCAGGTAAGGACAATATGCCTGGCACGCAGCAGAGACAGTCATGCTAAAGCCTCACAGGATGACCGTCTACGCCACGACAGCAGACTTCCGTATCCCGCGCAAGTGAATGTGCTTGCTGTCGTCCCACAGCATGTCGTTGCAGACGCACTTCAAGTCACCGATGTTGTTCAACGATTGCTACAGTCGCATGGACGTCTGTTTGCGTTCATCAAACGCTCAACTTTCCCCAACGGATCGTTTACGGCTGTGGCTGAATTCTGCGATATTTCTGCGGTCGCCCCAGCAGTGTCGAGCTGTAATGACCGCTACACCGCTGAGGTTAGTGTTTGGCACCTCGAGATCGCGGGCGTGCACTAACCTTTGGCAATATCAGGGGCTGCACATCATCGTCTCAGCGTACGATACTGACGCGACAGCAATCTCTGACCTCACTGGAGCACTGCATGGCCTTGCTCTGCACAAGGCACCCCAAAGTCCCGCAAGGCACATCGGTGGGGTTCACTCGGCACTCAACAGTCATACGGGGCAATCGGACATGCGTGTACAACCCCAGTTCGCCATGTATCCCCTGGTGTTCCCGTCGCCATTTGCCGCCAACGTTCCGTACATGCTGGAACCGTTCCTCCCAGTCAGCGACCCTGGACCAGTGTCCCCAATGCCTCCTGTGTCCCCTTCTTATCCAGTCCTCGGTCAATTGTTCCACACGCCGCCGTCCCCGGCTCTCACGTCGCACAACAGCTACAGCCCTTCTCGGCCGCTCTCGGGGTTTCATAGAGGCGATGCTCGAAGACAGAATGCCATGCGCGTCAATCGGTCTCCCTACCATAACATCTCGAGCCACCACAACCACGTCGATATTAGCCGGATCCGGGAGGGTATTGATGTGCGGACAACGGTAATACTTCCTCTACAACTCCTCATTCGATGGCTATGTACAGTGCAGTAACTTACGGCTGCAGATCATGCTGCGAAATATCCCCAACAAAGTCGATCAGGCAATGCTCAAACGAATCATCGACGAGTCCAGTTGGGGAAAATATGACTTCATGTATCTGCGCATCGACTTTGCCAACGACTGCAAGTAAGTATCCCCGGAGAATTTTTAATACATGTCCACGAAAATTGTATGAGAAAGGCTGACGCTACTGCTAGTGTTGGTTATGCCTTCATCAATTTTGTCGATGTGAGTATCAGTGGCACGCATAGACTGTATTGTTGTACTAACTCTGACTGTCAACTAGCCCCTGGACATAATTGATGTGAGTTGCACGCACTGTGACTGTGATTGCATGGGGTGCTAACCAAGAGGACAGTTTGTCGAAGCGCGAGGAAATCAGCGTTGGTAAGTCGAGTACTTTAGGGGTCGACAACTCCGCTGACATGATATCAGGAACTGCTTCAAGAGCGACAAGGTCGCCGAGATATCTTACGCCAGTTAGTCCTACTATCCCAACGCGATCTAAACAACTTGGCTGACAAGTCTCAGCCATACAAGGGAAGGATTGCCTGGTGCAAAAGTTCCGCAACAGCTCCGTGATGCTCGAGGCGCCTCATTACCGGCCAAAGGTGAGACACTCCGTGAAGCTGTGGCCAGAAATGCCAGCTGACATAGTTCCCGTGTTTGTAGCTCTACTTCACCTCGAACGGCCCAATGCCAGAGTTGGCGGGACAGGAGGAGCCATTCCCAGAACCTGACAACCAGTCCAAGATGAAGCGAAGCTGTGAGAATGCGGAGCACGTCGGTAGGTTATCAGGCTTTTCTGAGGACCCCTGGAACGCCGCCGCGCTGACCATGGCTTAGGTCTGTTCACGCCTAACGCCGGCCAGCACTTCCGCGATGAGCAGCGTCGCCGCCGTTCGCAATACGACCGCGGCACTCGCCTTGCCGCCTTAGAGGAATACGACTATGAGGCGGCTATCCAACACATGTATGGCACGACTGCACAGTGAAGGTGGCCAGGGAAGTGGCGCAGCAGTCTCGTTTCAGGAGACACTCTGAAAATCTGGGTGGACATTGCTGTTTTGTTCTCGAAAAAGCCATGAGGCGTTTTGCTATCTATCGCTTTGGTGGGCAGAAGAGTCACCTCGTAAAGTAAAAGACGACCAAGCCTATCTTGGGGGCGCGGCCATGTGCATACGATCACGGTACTCACCGTAATCGAGGCATTACGCCGCACCATAATAAATCAAGTCTTAATTGTGGTCAAAAAGGAAGAGGCCTGCTGCAACGAGGATGCTGCAACCGACTCCTAGTAAAGATCCGCCGACCCCAGCTTGAGCTAGCGCGGCGGGGATGGGTGTTCAGGAAGGGACGGGAGCGGCTTGCGTGAGCTCAGGTGCGTCAAGTTCGCTGAGCGGCGAACAGCCGTACTGCTGGGTTCTCCAGGAATGTCGGGCTCTGGCGATTCCGGGCCCATTGGCGTCCTCGTGTCCTCGGGTGACATGTTGGGGGTAAGTGGCGGAGAAAGGCGTCTATACTCCGATGGGGCCTTTTGCGCTTCAGCTAGATGGACTGTTGGCATAGCGTCGGGCGAAGCCGATCCAGCGAGCTCTCCTCGTACAGACGAAAGCGATTGTGAATGCACAGCTCGAACATGGGGATCCTCGAAGCCCTGCTTGTCCTGGTACGTACCCTGGTACGCCAGACGACTCGTCCGATACACGTCGCGACGAGGCGTGCCAGGGGTGCTGGGGGCCGTGTACGAAGTCCCTATGCCATGATCTGACAAGGGGCCAAGCGACGGCAGGGCCACGCCGCGCGAGAAGATGACGAGGAAGAGGCAGGAGAGGAGAATGACGGCCTGAACGATGGCCATTCGCTTCTGGAACACCACCTCATCTGCCAAGACGTTGAGACGGGTGCTGAGAGCCATCATGTCCCGCTCGGACCTTTGGGCTTGGCTTTCCAGGGCTAGAACGGTTGACTGCCAGATCTGGTCGTACTGCTCGCGGATGTTGCGAAGCTCGGCCAACACTGTTTGGTTCAGCTCGTTGAGGAAGCCGGTGACCTTTCCGTGCTGTTTCTGTTCGCCCCTTTGCAGCGCCTCTTGCACGTGGCGGGATTGCTCCTCGACGTACCGGAGCGACAGAGTCAAATTCGCCTCTACTTGCTGCAGCCGCTTCGTGATGGCGTTGAAGAAGCCCTCCTGGACGGTGGGGGAGGCAGCAGGCCCGCCAGAGGTTCCGGTCCCCCTTGGTTTGCCGCTTGGAGCACCGGACACGGAAGACTTGGTGGACGGAGAGGCAACGGTGCTGCTGTTGCGCTCGCCAACGGATCCGTTCGCGCTGGCAGCGCCGGGGCTGCTGCCCGTGGCGTTGCCCGCGAAGGCTTGGCGACTATCCGGAGACGCGACGGTAGAGTTCGGCCCAGCGGCGGATGGAGCGGGCGTTGACGGAGCGGACTCCGGCGGCGCCTGTCGCGGCGTGGTAGATGCTTTCGTGACTTGTGTCGTGGATGGGACGGCCGAGTCTGGGTACTCGCGCCGTTCATTGCCTCCAGGGGAGGCGGTTGTGTCTTTGACTGGAGAGGGCGTTTGTGAAGGAGGTGCCTCGGACACGGGACAGATGGCGGCCGAGAAGATGAGCGGGTTCACGTCAGCGGGAGAACAGTCCGAGGACGCGTTCGGCCGCTGGGCGTTACCGTCCTGGGTGCCGGCCTGAGCGGTGGACACGGGGGACTCTGACGTCGCTTCGCCCTGGATGAGGCTGACCGAGCTGTTGTCCCCCTCTATCTGCGGGTCGTCGTCGCGGCCAGTCTCGCTGTCCTTCCACGAGTCGAGCATGCGAGAGCCGTGGACGCGGAGGAGCGAGACGGGACAGTAGTACTCGTTGCCGTAGTGCGTCAGGAACTCGATCCTGACGTACTTGGCCCAAATCTGCGGGTTCTCAACCAAGAAGGGCTGGATGTCGCGCGAGTTGCGGGCCTCAAAGGTGCCCAGCTCGCGCCACTTGTCCACCTTGACGGGGTAGCGGTCGCTGACGCTGACGCGAAAGTGACGGATCATGCTGGAGAAGAACTCGAAATTTGCCAGAACGATGGTGTCAACGAGGATGTCGTCGCTAAGCTCGACAATGACGTACTTGGACGCCGCGGCGCACTCGAGCAGCATGTACGTGTCCTTGTTCTCGACGAGGATGGCCCTGGCGTTTTTAGCCCCAGCAGCGGTCTTGAGCACCGTGGCGCCGGCATCAAACGACGAGTATGAGAAGCGCTCCTTGCAGGTCTTGCCAGCGTCCTTGCTACGATGAACCGTGGTTGCCTTGCCGTCGCCGTAGACCTGGGCGTCGTGGGTGGCCCTGTCAGAGTCCGCGGCGTCACCTCCGCCGCCGCCGCCACCACCACCGCCGGCAGCCGCTCGACCCTTGTCCTCGCCGTCCGAGTATTGGTCGAAGTTGAGCGAGATCTCGTCCTCCTCGCCCAGGCCGGCGTGCCCCGAGTCCGGGGGGTTGCGGTCGTCGGCCGCGTGCTCGCTGGGCTTGCGGGACCGCCATTCCTGGGGGTCTTGCCCGGCCTTGCGCAGCATCATTTCCTTCCAGTCCTCAAAGGACATGAAGGTGGAGGCTGCGGCATCGGCTGTTTGTGTTTCTTCGGCCAGTGTAGGGGTGTCGGACGTGGTGTCGGCGGTAGTGGTGGCGGTGGTATCTACGGCCGACGCGCCGTCGGAGGAGCTGGCGCTGCCATTGCTTGCGGCGGCGGGTCGCGCGCTCGCCCACGAGCTGGTGAGGCAGGACTGGGGGAGGATGTGGGTTATGTAGTTGATGGTTCGGGCTTCGCAGATGCCGCCGGACGTGACGACGGCATCGACGACAGCGGCAGCGGCCGTGGTGGTGGTGGTGCTGTTGATGGAAGTGGCGGTGGTGGGCGGGTGCGTCGAGGTGGTCGTGACCCCCGTCTCGTCGGCCTGGGCGAGCACGACGGAGCCGAGTGCCAGGATCAAAGCCCACGCATACGACGTGGCGAGGACCATGGTAGTGCGCGGCCACGGTCTGGGGCGTCCATGACACTGTCGAGGCGGTGTTGGAAGGGGAGCGCAGACGACGTTCGGAGTTACATGGCCAGAGGTTGGCTACGAGTATGTCGCAGGTGTTTTGGGGGGGGGGGGACAGTTGGTGGGTTCCTTTCATCAGGGACAGTGGAGGCACGTCACGTCACCCCAGGTCTGTGCTGATAAACTAATAAAATAAAACTCCACCTCTTGTCGACGCCCGCGCCAACTCGGGCACACTTTGACTTGCAAGTTCCAGATTGTCAACACAACACCAAGACGCCTTCGCGCCCATGCCTTGCCTTGCCTTGCCTTGCCTAGCTACAGCTTCAGGTTACTCTTCAGAACCGAAAACGCCAACGCCTTGTTCCCCACCGACAGCAGCGACACGATGCTGTTCATCAGGATGCACGCCGACAGGTCCTCGCCGCCCTCCGCTCCTCTGCAAAGCTCCAGCGCCGTCGAATAATAATTGGAGCCCATGTAGCTAATGCCCAGCAGCTGGAACAGTCGCCCGACGTTGTAGAACCGCTCCGCCTTGGCTGTGTTGCTCTCTTCAGCAGCATTAGGCGCTCCCTGGAGGTACTGGAACAGAAATGCCTGGCCCTGCAGGAGCAGATACTGCCGGTTGGCAGACTGACGCTTCAGCCCGTAATGGACATACGCCAGCCCCAGGCTCAAGTTCACCATCGAATTCGTCGGGTCGAGGGATCGTGCTCGCAGAAAATAGCCTGTGCGTTCCACAACGTCAGCCACCACGTCTCCGCTCACATGCTCGTCATACGTACCCAAGGAGTAGGCGTAGCTGGTTGATGTGAAGAGAATATGTCCGTACAGCATCAGCAAGCACACATCGACCTCGAAGCCTGTGACCCGCTCGCCACCTCCAGCGTCGATGATGCCGCTCCTGCCCAGCGCCTCAGCAGGGGTGCCTTCATGCCTGGCGTCGATGGCCTTGATCTGGCGGAGGATGAATTTCTGGGCCGGGCCAGACGTGTACCACGACACCGGTGACTGGCAGAGTCGCGAAAGAAGCGCAAACATTCGATACGAGTCAGTGATCGCTCCGTCCCTCATAAGATGGCGGGCAAGCGCCACGCATCTCTCTTCGTCATTCGTGTAGATGGCGCATACTTCCCCCAGTCAGCAACACATTCACGGACAAAGGTCGAGTGTGCTTACCGCTCCAAGCCACATATATGGCAAACTCGTGCTCGCTCGATTGAAAGACGGTCGAGTCCTTGGCAGCCTGGCAGATCTGGTATGCCTCGTCACGCCGATGCGCAATCGCCAGCCCGATTGCATAATCAAGGAAAAGGTCGAGCCAGTCGTCGAAGGCGATACCCTCATGGGACATCAAGCCTGGAAGGCCAAAATCCCGCCCATGGACGTCACCCTGCGGAGCGATGGCTGCTTGCAACCGTTAGCAACGGGCAGGCCTTCTGAAAGGTACTCTACGTAGCACTCACATCGTGTCAATCGCTCATACATCTGCATCAGCTCGGAATCTTGGGGCTCGCCAGCACCGGGGTGCTGCGGAGGGCCCCTGGGGCCAAGAAACCGGAGATACTTGTCCCATGTGTAGAAGCGCTTGAGAGACCTGAAGTCATCCACCAGCTCCTTCGAGGTGGCCATCCATGCCGGGACAAGGTCATGGCGCCCAGCTAGGATCTGTCGCTTAAGGTCTCGCACCGCTTCGTACTGATGGGAGAGCTTGACGGCGCGAGCTTGCTCATCCTGGAGGCGCTTATCGGGACCGGCAAGCCGTTTTGGACGATAACGTCGGGGGACTACTGATGCCTTAGATCCGTCGCCCGCTGCCGCTGCCTTGTCCGCCGCCTTTGCCCGAGGTTTTCGGGGCCGTTGCTTGCTGCTGTCGGCTCGCTTTGGACGGCGTGTTGCCTCTGGTGACTCGGCGCCACCGGCTGGGACAGAGGATGATTGCTCTCGAGCCTCCCGGAGGGCCATGGCTTCCGCTGCCAGAATGAGGGCTTCTTCGTCCTCTCTGGCCCGCTCGTACATGTTGGCAAGCTCGACACGAGCTTCTATGCTGTCTTCATCAGCGTCGATGGCTGCCAAGAAGCACTCTTCCGCAGCGGGCTGCTCTCCCAAGGTGAGATAGCACCTTCCCAGCTGCAGCAGCGTGGCCGGGTCTGGTTCCGCGACTTCAGTTCGCAAGAGCTCGAAATATTTGATCGCAAGAGCTTGCCGCCCACAGCGGGCGAGCTCGGTGCCCAGTTCATAGATAAGGAAAGGAAAGTCGCCGACAAAGTCGGCCGTGTGGCTGTCAGTGGTATCAAACCAACCTAGATGCCTCTAAGGAGATATTTCCATTAACAATGCTCCCCCTTGGGGCTTCATGCGAACATCGTGACGACTTACCAGTGCCTCGGTCTCATGGCCCAACTTCAGTCTATACGTAGCAAGGCGAACGCGTAAGTCGAGGGGCAAGGCATTGCCATACAATGTCTCGTCGGAAGGGTGGGCAGAATACTCGGGAACTTGTGACCGGCGATCCGCGCCCGTGTCCCATTCCCGGTCATCTTCCTGGTAGCCATCCCAGTACTTCTCAGAACCCCGCCCAACAAGCCATCGCGACAGCGCCTTGAGTTCGTGAACGGCTTCTCCATACCGCTCGCCGGCAGCAAACAGCTCCACATATATTCCTACATCGTGCCAAAGCGACTCCAGCTCGGGAGAGGCTGGAGACCGGATTTCGTGATCGAAAAACTGACGGTATGCTTGTATTGCCGCAGGCAGAGCCGTGCTGGGGTTCTTGCTGTCGACACATGATTCTGCCAGTTTCCTCACGAGATCCAAGTCGTAAGGGCGACTCCTGAGCACGATTTTGTACTCGGCAACTGCAGCAGCATGATGGCCCTGGCGGTGGCACACGGCTGCCTTGCCGAGTCTTGCGTCAATGTGAGTTGGATCGGCTCTCAAGGCGGCCGAGTAGCAGAGTCGCGCAGTATTGAGGTTGGTCTTCTCGTCCTCCTCGATGGTGTCCAGCGCAAAGGAGGCGCATCTCATCCAGCCGGAGACGTCTTTCGGCCGCAGATGAGCGGCGTACACCATAGCGGAGAGCGCCCGATCGAGCTCGCCACGCTCACGGAAGATGGACGACAGAGCCGTCCAGGCCTGGTGAGTTTCCGCATTGATCCGAATCACCTCAAACGCAAGGTCCACAGCCTGGTCGTAATCGCCGGCGAGGAAGGCCTGGTTCACCTTGGACAGTCGAGCCGTGATGTCTCCACGTGGCTTTGCTGCTTTTCGCGGGCCCCTCGCACCTCGCCCGCGACCACCGCCCCGAGCTGAGCGTGGTGCATCTGAGGCCCCATGATGAGACGCAAGGAACTCTCGCACGGACTCGTCGAACTTGGCGATATCCCCTTGAAGCTCCTCCAAGTCCGAGTCCGCGTCGGACGAGTCGCGTGTTTCCCTGGATATTGTATGTAAGCACCTGTTCTCATCTCAGCTCAAGAAATGGTCCATACCTCTCAGGAGAGCCATACTCGCGATGGCTTGAAATATCCATTCGATGGGAGTGCTGGGCGCGAAAGGTGCCTGCGCTGCAACAGGTGCTGCTCAACTGAGTCTCGATAGTGGGCTGAACCTGAGCAAACACTGATGCTGCGCGAGCAGCATCCAGTGAGGTGAAAGCCTGCCCTTGCCTGCGCTCAAACAGATTGTAGTATGAGCGCCCGAAGAGTACTTTTGTGTATCTTTGCTGTGACCATTTTGGCCAGACCTAGGACGACCAGGAATGCTCCGAGTAAGTTGAAGCGGCTCGAGGCAGCACTCACTGTGGCGCGTGCCCAGTGTAAATACAGTGGAGGGCAACCGCTGAGTCAGCCGAACTGACGCTGGAGCGTGCGGCCCTTGCGATCCAGGCTGGAACCTTGGAAGTATATACAAAGTACACAGAAACAGCCTGTCACTGAAGTGAGAAAATTAAAAGACGCCCTTTATTAGGAAGCCAACGGCTGGTGCTACAGGGCTTGTACTACGACTCGACACTCGAGCTTCTCAAATTTCATACGCACGAGGTCCCAGTGCGCACGCGCGGCCCCTGGGCCGGCCTCGCAGCCGTGCCAGGCACCAGCACTGGCCGTGAGCTTCAGCAATCACACATCAAGCCCCTGACAAACACGTCTCGAGGTATAATATTGGGACATAGTCTAGACTCTCAACAGCGACAGCCGCTTATCCATTGAACTCGCTGAAATAGTGGTCCTCCTCAAGACGGCATTGACGTGGATCGACTCCCCTGACTTGATCGAGCGAGGATAGTCGAGCATTGCCAATCCAGGCTACACTCAAAAGGAGCGTGAGGCGTTGTAGAGACAGGACCACCTTTGCAAAGCACAAACTTGGAGAGGATGTCACCTCGACGCTGGGGTCGCTCTAGCCCAGCTTGCCATCTGCCTTTGCCTCTGTTCGTTCTCATTAGTATTGAGCGGGGCGCTGCAGTAAGGGACCTGAATACCTTTGACCTGCTCAAAAACCTTGAGCATCTTCCTCCTGGCGCCAAGCGCGTTGACGCCGCGGTCTTCAAGCGCCTTGTCGTCGAGCTCCACAAGCTCGGTCCATTTCATATCCTTCAAATTGTCCGTGTACTTGTGCAGTCGGAGGCTGCGCAGCCAGCTCGGAATGTCTTGAAGCAAAGTCGGATCAGTCGGATCCTCGGGTGGCTTGGAACTGCCTCTACGACCTCTAGGAGATCGCCCGCGAACCATGTCAGAGTGGTCCGACAAGTATCCCTCATGGCCCGGTATTCCCAGTTGGCCGAGGTTCACCGACGGCATGCCGCTGTTCAACAGTCCTGAAGAGCCGTCGTAGGCACTCAGAAAGCCATTGTGCTGGGGCGAGGTGAAGTGTGCCATCGAGCCAAGGCCAGGCTGCATCGCGATGCCGGGAGAGCTTGGGCGCGACCTCTGGCCACCCATGCCGAGCCCTTGCTGTGCCTGCATGGCCAGAACTTGTTCGCGGCTCAACACTTGTCCGTGCTCGTTAATCATAACAACATTAGTACCGGGGAGATTAATGCTTTGCGTAGGAGGCGACATCTGGCTGTGGCCTGGCGCGTCGTTGGAGCGAGCGCGGCGGTACTTGCGGACGTCGTCGAGTGCGAAGCGGTTGTTCACAGTGGACAGGGCGGCGAGTTTCATCGCAGTCGCGTTGGCAACCATGTCGGCCTGAGTTCCAGCAGCGGAGCCAGTGTTGAAGGTCGGCGCCATGGGAGTGTTGACCATCGAAGCCCAGTTGCCGCTACTGGCATTGTACGGAGACAGCAGCGGCAGGTCGGCGGGGTTCTTGTCAGGCGCTGTCAAGGTTGTCTGCTGGATGGCAGAACCCCCGCCCATCTGCGGCCGAGGGGACCGGAGGCCCCCAGAAGGAGGGGGCTGAACAAACTGGCCCATGGGTGTCTGTGACGCTGAGACCTTGGCACTGCTGCCTTGGTCGCCAGACCCGGATCCCCAAAGCGACGCGGTGTTGCCGATGCCGGCCTCACGTTGCTCCTGAGAGCTCGAGATGCCTGGGCCTGCCATGGACGAGCGAGGATCAATGGCGGCGCTGTTACGATTGGACGCAGGAGGGTTGCCGGTCTGCTGAGTGAACTTTGCCTTTTCGGTTGCGATGGCTGCAGCAGCGTCGGGGAACATGGCATTGATGGTTGAAGGGTCCAGGCCAGAGTGGCGTTTGGCCGTGGATCCCATGGCAGAGTTGCGCGCGTAGGAGTTGCGTGTCGAGTCCACGTTTAGCTTGTTCATGGCGTCGCTCAGACGGTTGGACATGGGATCTGCGAAAGCGTCAGCAGAACAGATCGAGCCTGGCTGCCCACCGAGCCGCAACGGACCTTTGTCAAAGTTTGCGGGAGAGAGAACCCCGGACATGGGGTGATTCTTGCCCATCTGCTGAAGAACCTGTATGAAGAACCGGATCTGGACCTGGGTCGTTTGTTGGAGCAAGGCGTAAAGGGCAGCCGTGCGCTCGGCCTCACTGAGGACGCGAAACCACTGCTCAATAGCACTAAGCTCGTCCTTGAAGTCCTGGTCCAGAGTGGCGGCAGCCATCTCCTCCAACGTAGTCTCATACTGATCAATGTCGGCGATCCACTGCTGGGCAATCTTGTCCTGCGAGTCGCTCTCGAGGCCGGCTTGGCCATGCCCCTGCTGAGATTGACCGTAGAAGTCGGACGACGGACGGATGCGGCTCGACGGCGAGGATCCGGTGAGGGCAGCCATGTCGGCAGAAGCGCGCAGCGAACTGCCCGAGCCGATGGCCCGCGACGACGGAGGCCGCAGCGACGAGGCGCCGCCCGCCTCGGGCGTGCTGTTGCGGTTTCCGATGATGTGGCTGCCGGACATTTTGAGCATTACTCAATCGACGCAGCGGCGGAATATCACGAATAAAAAGAGTTCGTCGCTGGGAGGTTCGGCGGAGGGCGCGTTCAGGCGTGGCGAATGCTGGCGATGATGGAAGGGGTGGAGGGGTTGCGGATCGGCGACCGAAAGCGAGGCTCGTCTCGGGACTCCTGCAGTGACCGGCTGACCTCAAAGGAGCTTTCGACAAGGCGAAGGGCAGCGAGATTATCGCATGTTCTACCTGGAAATCAAGGACGAAGCTTGGTGCTCGTGTCAGTCAATCACCCAAGAAGCGCTCGACTCGACGACTAGTCGCACAGGCAGCACACGGTGGCCAGGGAGCGGTGGCAGAAAGAGCGGACGGCTTACAGCGAAAACAAAGCCGACAAGGCGACAACGAAGGTACGAAGTCTGCGTCCAGGCAGGCAACAAGAAGTTTGATGGATTCGGCCGCTGCAAATGCGGACCAAAGCCCAAGTAGCGATGCTGGGGGGGAGGTCAGACACGGGTCGAGGTGTCTGGGCCAGCACACGAGCCTCTCAAATACCTGGGACCCCGGCCAGGGTGGGCTTTTTTCGCGGTTATGCCGCATGACCAGCGGGTGCGGTACGTACCCCATGCTTATGTGCATGAGGCAAGGCAAGGCCAGACCTCCCTTTGTCGAGGGTCCATTCCTCAACACCACCGCACCGCGTCACTGCGCGGCATGCTGTGCTACCCAATATTTTTTTTTGTTCCTTTGTGAACACATGCAAGCTGCTCGGGGCTCAAGCGGCAGGCAGATCGCGGTTGGTGCGTTACGTGACTTAAGGTGGTGGTCCGGGAACCAGGTCGGCCTTGTCCAGGAATGTCAGCGGCCTCGAGCGACAATGTCCGCACACTACGGCGAAACTTTTGAGGCACCCGCAGGCATGATGCATTGCATGTCATTGATGCACGATGGCTGCTTTGTTGGGATCATGCCCGATGCTACGGTATCGCCGCCTTCACCCCAATGTTCGTGGCCGAGAGCCTTGTCGGACTCGTGGACTCGAGATGGCCTTGGAGCTTGGTGCGGTGTAGTTCTTTCAATGCACGAAGTATGGCCTGCTCCTGGAAAAACCAATTCGAGGGCGACCAAGTGCCATTGCCTTGAGTTGGATACTGTCCGTCTCAAGGCTATTGGGCAAGTAAAGCCACACCCGATCTCGACATCACGTCGCAAAAGCGCACTACGACCTTAAGCCACACGCCAACCCAGACAGCGTGTCACAGCGCAAGAGGAAAATAATGGAGGCAGTGTCGGCATCGCAGATCTACCCACCGCGGCGGCATGCACGGGAGCCACGCGAATGGGCAGCGACTCCGAGGCGGGTGCAGAGTCGAGCATAGCCAGCGACCGCCACCCCCCACTGCACCAGGGACACACTTTCGGAATGTTCAGGGAGGATCGAAATAAGGGCCATGTCAAGAAAACCGGTGCCTTCTATTATCCGTGTGTCGCTCCGTCGCTTCGGGACGTTGGAGTAATGGCGCCGTGCGCCTCGTGATATCGATGCCGTCTCTGCCAGACCACCCGGACCAGAACAGAGCCCCGCGTCATCAGTACATCCTCTGCATCAGCATCCAACGCCCTCTAGACGGTCTCCCGCTTGCCCTCCTTGGCCTCCCTCTGTTGCAGGCTGTCAGCGAGAACGGCTCCCGATCCAGGCAAATTGGGAGCCCTTACCAGAGCCTTTTCGGTGCCGTGAAGAGCATGTCGGTGGTTGCGGCGGAACTTGGGATCGCAGCCCTTCAGAGACGGGTATCTCGAAGTCTTGGGCTTCTTGGTGCTGCGAGACTGTCAGTGGCTTCGGTCGGTACGGTGGCTGGTCGTGGATTCGACTGACGGGTTGCGGTGCGCCTTGCGCCACTGGTTGTGCTGCGAGGAGTTCTTTGACTCTGTTGGTTTCACGGTCAGCAAGCCGTGAAGGCATCCAGAGGGGTTTTCTGTCAGCACTTACTCGCCATTGCTGCTGTCTGCGATGTATGCTGCACAGAGACCAATTCTCGCGATAGTTCGAGTCGGAGCAAAAATGTGTGCGCCGCTGCCACCAAGCCCTAGGCGACACAGGAGATGACCCACATGTGACATAATCACACTCGGGAGCACTATTGGTCAGCTCAGTGGCATCGGTGGGTCATCGGGTGTGAATGTGTGATGGGTCATTACATAATCTTGAACTGAAACTCAGCTCAGTGGGGCATCACAAAGCCCCGGCAATCATGGCGGGGCGCTCGTCGTCTCCAATCATTCTCACGCAGGGGAGGGATGCTGCTTGGACTTGAAGCAAGTCTAATGTATCTGGCGTTAGGATCTAGTCCTCGTATATATCGGTCTGTCTATCTGCAGCTGCCCATACGGTCCGTCGTGATACATGCCGAGCCACTCCTATCATCCAATGGTGAAACTGAAAGTCAAGAATGACAACAGAACAGACGAGAAATCCGAGGGAACCAAGTCGACGAACGACCACAGCGCCACACAAAGGGAGTTTCTACCAAGGACATGAAAAATGTACGAAGTTACCAAAACGCGGCCCCGTGTCGTCGGCAAACGGCCTTAGGAGGTCGTCAAGGGTCTTGTCGTGCCATTCCGGGCACCCTGCTGGGCTGCCGCCGAAGCGACCTTGGCGGCCTTCTGGAGCTGCGTACTCCGGAGCGACTTGAGGTAGCGCAGGAAGAGGACGAAGAGGAGCTCGACCCTGAGCCAAGCCAATGTTAGCAAGAACAGTACCAAACGACCCTAGCGGACGATGACACACCTCTCCTTGGTCATCATGAGGATGCCTTGAACCAGGAACCCCTTGAAGATTTGAGGCCCAATGCCCTTGAAGAGGGCCAACGGGCCTTCATGCTCGATGATAAAGTTCATGACCTCAATGAAGCTCGTGAACGGCTTCCCGTTCCTGGCAGGCGGCGGCTTCGACTGCAGGCCGACCTTGGCAACGATGAGCGGCTGGGTGAGAATCGTGGCCAGGGCTTTTGACATGGCACCGAGGACTAAATGACGGAGGGTCAGCGGAGGACGATATAGCTCGAGCGACAAGGCGCAACTGACGGAATGCTTCCCAAGGCTGCAAAGTGCTCTTGTCGCGGAAGAACATGGTGCGCAACCGCTCGTATGCGCCGTATGTGATGGCAGGATTCACGACGAGGACCAAACTGGCCTTGAGGCCCCTCCAGAGACCGGACACTCCATCAGGGCCCTCGACAACCTCGCGGGCTGTGGCGAGGAGCCCCTTGCGCTCGTCGGCGCGGGCCGTTTGCTGGCGGGTGGTGACGACGGCGACGGGAATGGTGAAGAGTTGAGCGAGAGCGCCGGCAACGGCGCCGAGAGAGAGCTCGGTGGCCATGGAGGGGGCTGCGGTTGCGGCCGAGGAGATGTAGAGCGACCTGGCGACCGTGTACCAGTAGAAGTAGGCGAAGTTTGTGGAGGCAACGCCGAGTAGGGAGCCGTTCATGCCGGCGTAGAGGCCCTTGAGGCCATCATCGGCGACGATGCGCGAGATGGCGTCCCAGGTCGAGGCGTAGTGCGGGCTGTCGTCGGCGCCAGCGGCCGCCTTGGCAGACTTGACCTGGACCTGGAGTCGCGTCTTGACGCTGTGGTGAGAGGGGGGGTGCATGAGTACGAGGATGGCATGGTGGTGGGCGATGTACGGGCAGACTCACATGTCAAGCGGATAGACGAGGGCATTGGCGAGGACAGCGCCCGTAGCTCCGGCGGCAGCACGCCCCCAAGGAGAGATTTCGGGTTTCGACTGCGCACCCATTTTGACGGCCGGGCCAGTCGCGAGGAATCGCGGTCTGTCGTGAAGGGTTGAGGAGACGGGACGGGGTTCCGGTCGCGCAGGCGCGCGCGGGGGGTCCGAGGGGAGCAACCGAGGTGCCGTCGACGATTTGCGAGTGCGAGGTACGTGCGCCGACGGGGGGGCAGGACGGGAACACCTCAAGGACAGACGACGAGGTCGAGAACAGGCCTTGGGAAGACGGCAACAACAAGGTGCAATGTCACAGCGACGACGAAGACACGGCCTGGACTCGCAATGCGAGCCGGGACGACAAGAGGGCCGCGCCGCGCATGATATCACTGGCACTTGCTCGCTGGTCCGAAGCGCCGGGGAACGGGTTCGGCGGGCTGCTCTGGACCTCGGCCCTGGAGGCCCCGTCAGCGGCCAATCCCGTGCGCGCCTGTCACGGGCGGTCCACCTCCGCCTGGGTGGTGGCTGTTCCTCCAGGGCCCCAGGCACCCGACACATGCGGTGGGGGGGAGCATGAGGTACTCCGCCGCCTGTATTTTAGGCGGCTGGTGCGGTGACTTATGGGGTAGCACTGCTCCAATGGACGGGATGGAAGCATCGGGAGTGCCGACGGAGCCCCAAAGGCCTGTTCTGTGGCTGCCGGCCAGCACAGCAGCACCCAGTAGATAACGTACCTACTAAGGTAGGTAAGTAGCTGCACATGAGCGCGCTCGGTCGCAGGCTGATCTGAGCTCCATGGATGCGGCATCGCGCAGCGCAGCGCAAGCCCACATGCATACGATATCTCTGCTGAGGGTGGCGGGCATGTGTCCGCCACACGCTTTGTACAATTTTTTTTTTTTTTTTTTAAATTCTTCATTTCACTTGAAATGCTACCTGCGGGCAGGACGTACTCGTATGCATGGGTCGCGGGTGCCAGCCATCCATCTCCCCGACTGATGTAGTCAACTCCAGCGGGCAATGTCCCGGCCGCGGCAGACCTCGGCTGAGCTCCACCACCGGCGGGCAGGTTCCAGCGCACGGCACGCGCTGCACCGGAGATCCATGGCCGTCCACTGTGCAGTCCAGCGACGCCTCGCCATTAGCCCGTTGCTGCCACTGACCGTCGGCAGTTACATGGAACCTGTGCCTCATTACTGGGTGGCATTCCCTTGCTTCGGCAGCGACCCGGTTTTTCTGTGCCGGCACGATGTGAAGCTGGCGAACATTGCGACTAACCGGCACTTGGAGACAGCAAGCCGGCAACGGCTCTGGAGCCTCCCCCTCTGATGCCGTGAACCAATTGACCTCCCGGCGCCGGAGATGCGCGGCGCGGCTCTCTGCCCAGTGGGCGGCCACTTCGGTTCCGCGGGGACATGTAGGCCAGCGTCTTGTCGGACTTGTACAGGATAATTCTCGGCGAGGTCTGCTGCGAAGCAAAAGTGCACAAGTGTTGGGCTGTCTGCTGTTATGACGGCAAGAAATGGGTACTTGGAGTATGTACGAAGCATGGAACGTTGCTCGTTGCCTTGCGGCCCTGTGCCCGCCAAAGCCGTCAAGGCATAGACCCAGCCCAAATAGAACATCACTCTCACCATCAGAAAACAAAACTTGGTCACCCCGCCCACGAACGTTGTGATTGATCCGTGCCCAAGACGTACGCACTCTAGGTTAGTACCTCACACTACTATGTAACCTGCTTGGTACCTACCTGCCTACCTAGTAGGTAGGTACCGTGCCGCACTCATGGCCTACAGTGCCTGTCTAGGTAGCCGAGATTGATAACTGGGCCGCCCCGGCCCCCAAATGTCCGTCCGTCCTGTCAACGTGACGCTGGCCCCATCAATTCGACCAACCCTCGTCACCTTGCCTTGCCTGCTGGCTCCGTTGATCCGTCCCTGCCACATCCCCACCCGTCCACCCCCGCGCCGCCGTTGCCGTTGCCGCTGCCGCTGCCGCTGCCGGAGTCCGGCTCACCCCAGGCCATCCACCACCACCACCACGCACCACCACCACCATCACCGTCGTTGCCATCCAACCACGTCCACTGTCCGGCGCCGCGATCGACTGCGGGAGCGGACCCTCGAATCCCCCTGCTGTTTGCTCTGCTTGCATAGGCGTCCGCATTCATCCTCTCAGCGCGCCTCACCTCGCCGCCTCCGCATCTCCGGCACCGAGCTACCCTGACCCAGCTCCGAAAGCGTCTCAGCCAGCCATCAGGGGACCCCCCGCCATGCCGCGTCATTTGGCACGCGCACAAGTGAACCTCGTCTCCCAAGTCCAGCCCCTGCTCGTCGGTACAATTGGGTAGCTGAGCTTCGCCCGGGACGGACACGGCCCCTAGTGAGGCTCCTGATCGTCTCGGTCAGACCTGACCTGGACCGCGGGCTCCGTCTTGGTGACGGCGGCACGGGTTGCTTTGCTCTCATTCGCAGCCCCGGGACATGGAGAGACGAGCACAGGTCAGTTCTCATTCGCCGTTCTCAACCCTCGTGCCTCATTCTCACGAGTCTCCGTCTCAGGCCGCCGAGGCCCTGCTTGCTCGCTCCAGCGGCCAAGATGCCCTGACGTATGCCATCCGTGCTGCCGAGCTGTACATGGCCGCAGCGGGCGAAGCTTCTGACAAGTCTGATGCCGCCCGACTGAGACGCAGGTGCCGCGAGCTCATCGTCCACGCCGAGAAGCTCAAGGCGCAGATTGCTGCAGCTGCCCAACCGTCCCTACCGCCCCAGCCCGACATCTTGCGCCGCGCCTCGCGCCTGCACGGCAATGATTTCCCTCCTTGGAGTTCCCACCCCTCGGACGACGACTTTGCCCTACGCCCCGGCGCGGCCCAGTTTAGGTATGCGCCGTCCCCATGGGCTGCGGACTTGATGGTTATTGTTGACCCTTTTCCCTAGAGATGACGCCGCGTTTCCGCTCTCGACAACGCAGGCCGAGAACTTTGCGGGCTGGAAAAGGCCGGCCGAAGTGTTCCAGCTGGACGCAGTCCACGAAACTGCCGACGAGGGTACCATGATGCAGCTTCCGGATCGCTGTGACTTGGTGCAGGACATCACCACTGACTGTTCCGTCGTCGCCAGCCTGTCGGCCGCAGCCAAAGTCCTCGTCGGAAAGCATGCCGTAGGTTGACCTAGAGTGTCCTCCTTTCGTCGGCATTCTGACCCCTCGTAGGTACTTGCATCAATAGTGAACCCGTACGACCACGAGCAAGGCCGTCCGAGGCTCTCGCCATCGGGCAAGTATGTGCTGCGCATGAACTTCAACGGCTGTGCGCGCCGCGTTGTCATCGACGACACGCTCCCGGCATCGCGAACCGACCGCGCTCTCTTCGTGGTTGACAGGCGAAACCCTCATCTATTATGGCCGGCCCTCCTTGAAAAGGCATATCTTAAAGTTAGAGGAGGCTATGACTTTCCTGGCAGCAATTCGGGAACTGACCTTTGGGTGCTCACCGGCTGGATACCCGAGCAGCTGTTTCTTCAACGGTACGGACTCTCATCTGCCGACCGATCCCCATCCAGCTTACTGCGAGTGCCTTCATATTGCACGCATGGCCTGCTGACCCTGCCACAGCGAGGACTTCGATCTCGATGAGACGTGGGAGCGCATCAAGGCTGCCCACGAATCCCACGACATCGTATTCACGTTAGGCACAGGGCGGATATCCGCTGAAGAAGAACAGTTGATGGGCCTCATTGGCGAGCATTGCTACGCCGTGGAGGACCTCGCCGTCGCCGCAGACGGTGCCCGCAGTTTGCTCATCAAGAACCCTTGGTGCGATGCGCCACTCATGGCCGGGACGGGCCGGCATGGGAGTCAAGGAGCCGAGAAGGACAAGTGAGTACTGCATTGCTATCTCGGCATGTGCGAACCGGCTGCTGACCGATACGTTTGCGAATAAGCACCACGTGGATGGCCATCGAAGACGTCGCTCAGCACTTTGAGTCCATGTACCTCAACTGGAACCCTGGCCTTTTCGCTCATCGACAGGACCACCACTTCGCGTGGGACATTCCCCCCAAGTATCTAGGAGGGTCCGTTGTGCGGAACCCCCAGTTCTCCTTTTCCTCGCCGACCGGAGGCACCGTCTGGGTCCTGGTGAGCCGGCATTTCGTCGATGCGGAGCTGGAGATAGCCCGTAATCGTCACGGCACCATGGCCGCGGTCGCTCGCCAGCTCGGCTTCATGAGCATCCTCGTCTTCGACAACAAGGGGAAGCGCGTGCAAGTCAGCGACGGCGCGACCTACCGTGGGCCGTACGTCGACTCGCCGCAAACGCTGGCGCGCCTCGAGACAGCCCCTGGCACGCAGTACACGCTCGTTGTCGATCAGCACGAGTTCCCCCTGTCCAGCTACACCTTCACCCTCTCCATATTCTCGCACACAGAGCTCGCAGTCCGCGAGGCCGAGGAGAGCATGTCTCATTTCACTGAGAAGACCGGCTCCTGGGGTCGACGAACCGCCGGCGGGAACCCGTCCTGCCCAACGTATTACCAAAACCCACAGTACAAGCTCTCCATCAACAGGGCGAGCCCCCTATCGATCCTGCTGTCCACCGACAGTACCAATGTCCACGTTCACATTGACCTCATATGGGCACGCGGGGAGCGAGTGTCAACGATACGCGTCAAAGACCTTGTCGCCTCCTCGGGCGAGTACCGCCGTGGCTGCGCCGTAGCTGAGGTGCCCGAGCTCGAGGCTGGCGACTACACCATGGTCTGCTCGACCTTTGACGCGGGCCAAACGGCAGACTTTGCCGTGCGCGTCGCCTCCATGGTGCCCGTCGCCCTCAGCCCCATTGCCGCCGACGGAGCCGGCAGGCTGCGCACGGCCCTGGGCGCCTTTCGCCTTTCCGAAGGAGACGAGAAGAGCCGCATCCCCCTGCACGCGTCGTGGCTGACGCGGGCCAGCGTCTCCATCCGCAGCGTGCTGCCGCTCGGCGCCGAGGAAGGCGGGCGGCAGGCCTCGTCCCTCATGGTCCGGGTATCGGTCGTGCAGGGCTCCGGGCCGGCACAGGAGACGGTGGTCGTCTCGGGCAACGGCGAGTTTCAGGACCCTGTCACGGCTATCCGCACTCCCGACTTCGACATCGACCCAGCCACGGCGCAGAGTGCGGGCCTGTGGCTCGTTGTGGAGTGCATCGGCACCCACCAGACGGCGTGGGCCGTGGACGGAGAGATCCTCAGCGACTCTCCCGTGCAGGTCGGGGTTTGGGAGCCGTTTTGACGTCGGCAGGTGCTGTGGGAACCCCCTTACACGCCACTTCCAGAGTCAATACCAGACCAGATGATTCTGGCGGGCGAATGCGACTACGTCAGAGTCGGATCTGCAAGGCTCCTTTGCGCTGAGACAGATTTACATATCATATATGTAACTTGGTGTGTATAAAACATGTTGATTTTTTTCTCCTCCACCGTCATGAACTCGTTCGACTCGCATTTGATAGCCTCCAGACGCCGTGCCAGCCCTAAAACATGGTATCTGCCCGACATGAAGTGTGCCCCCCCTCCCAGGTCAGCCGCCCCTGCCACGAGACAATGGCTGGCCCGACAAAGGCAGACAACGAAGAGTAGCGAAAGAACAAGAAAAATAGCCCGACATCTCATGGCCTCCTCCCCAAAGCCTGGTATATAAAAGTCGTATCCGAATGCGCCGGGCCTGCCGCTTTCAACCAGAGGCGTGAAGCCGAAACGTGGTATGAAGAAAGATGTAAAACCCGCCGGCGAATTGCAGGCTAGTAAACGCTTCAGGAATGGAAAAAAGCGCTGATCAAGAAATTGGGCGTAAAGTCGTCTCGGGCATGAATCCATCCGTGTCGCGGTGCTCGTCCGTTGCCGTGCAACACGATTTCGCGGAGCCCTCTCGCTGAAGCCGCAGGGAGACAAAAATCGAACATTGACATTGAGTGCATCGAGACGCAGCAGCAAGGAGCCCGGTTGTTATCCTGGGACTCCCCGCCTTCTCCGGCCCCGATTCGGCCCATCGGGACGCTGTGCCAGTACCTCCCGAAGCATCGGATCGTCTTTGTCTTTGTCAACATGGTGTACCCGGACGTGCCTGCGCGTTCGGCCATTCGAGTCAGCGTCGCCTCTTTACAACTGAGACAGGGGACCTAATTCACGAACCTTTGCAAATTGTCCGGGCGAGGATACTTATGCTCTCTGTCCGGGCAAAATGGGCAAACGTAGCCCGGCGAATCGTGTACTAGACCATGTCGTATCATTTCGTTCTTGCGCTTGAAGCCCTTGCCACCCTCGCTCCGTGGGCAACCCTTGACCGGGCAGTAATGAGGTCGCGCTGATGAATGGACGTTGGCGTGAGAGTTGAGTAGATATTGTGTCTGGAAGGGCGGGGCGTTGCAGCCAGCAAAGTTGCAAACGAAGACTCCGACGGGCGGGTTTGTGATGCCGTCAATGCTCATGCGATCCACCACAGACGCAACGGTGGCCGGTGTCGAGGCTGAGTGGTCGGTGCTGGGAGTCTCGCCGGTGCCGCTAGTGCTGTACTCGACGCTGGGCCGGTGGTTTATGCCGTTGGCCTGGTAGTAATAGGGGCTCGATGCCGGGAGCGAGTGCGGCGATGGAAGGCTGCGCTGGTAGGCCTCGTTTGGAGAGATTGGCGGAGAAGCATGAGAGGCTGCCATGGGTGGTAGGCGTGGCCTGCTGACCGGGGGCGATCTTGCAAACGACGCCCCGGCGGCGTGGAGCGCGGGTATCTCGTTGTCCGCCGGCGTAGGCGGTTCTGAGGGTAAGTGGTTGATGTCGCCTAGTGTGGAGCGAATAGAAGGTAGGCTCTGTCCGTTCGACTCGGACCTGGGAGAATCCATCTGGAGAGGAGGCAGCTCGCCGCTCGCGGGTGTTAGCATCGCCGGTGGCGACTTGGCGTCTGTGTTCAGGTGCACAGGGGGCCTTTGCTGTTCCCTGGAAGAAGCGTAAGCTGAAACGGGTTTGGGTCGGTCGTCGCTAATGGACAACTGGCGTGTCGACGCGGAAATGTCAAGCGCTTCCCGAGCCGCAGGGGCGCGCCGAGGCTCCGTGGACACGACCTGAAGCGCATCTGCAGCCAGGTGCTGCAGACTCGGGGCCATCATGCCAGGTCTCGGTCCGGAGAGGATATCCCGGGGCCGGGGCGACTCGACAGATCCGGGGGACGGATGGCGACGTGACGTGTCGTCGTCATCGTCATCCTCCTCGGCGTCTGGCAGAGCTTGCGCACCGGCGGCCCGTGCCAGTTCCGGACGGCGGCCATTGTCCAAGTAAGACACGAGGACGGCGTCTCCGGAGCTAGGGCGGATCTTTGACCGATTAGAGGTGAAGAAGTCGTCGATGGGAGGAGGGCTGAGACTGACTTGGGCCGGGGGGATATCCGGCGGCGGGCTCGGCGACAGTTCGAGTTTGGGACGCAGGGCTTGCATGAGGGGACTGTCCCGGGGGACTACTTCATCGGGGTCAAAGGTGTCGGTGGTCGAGAGGATTGGGAGCTGTGGAGGTTGTTGCTGATGGCGAGCGGCCGTCATCATAGTTGTTGGGGTGCGGAAGCAAGCAGCTCAACTAGCCATGGCCCTGGAAGGGCGCCTGGTGGGATGGCTGGAGGTGAGGGTAGCCTCGGGGTCGTGAGATGGCGCGAGCGCTGAAAAGCGACGGCCGGCGAGGTCTAGGGAACGTATGCCCGACAGGGGAGCGCCGCCTGGAGGCGCAAAACGACGACAAAAGGCGCACGGTGAATTGCGCCGTGTCTCGGTGGGACGCTGCGAGCGGAGGGTATCAGTCAGGCAGTCAACGAGCGCCCACTGCCCACGATGGCCCGTCGGTGCGCTCGCCGCAATTTGACGTGATCGCGCGTTGTGGCGGGCCGGCTATCGATGGCGCGCACTGGTAATGAGGACTCGGAAAATGAGACGCTGTGCAGCGCAGCGGCGCGGGTCGAGTCGAGGCCAGGCGAGGCGAGGCGAGGCGAGGCAACTGCCACCTTTGAGCGAGTATGGTGGTGAAGTACCGCGCAAGACTGCTGCCCTGACAGGCACAGGCAGAGGTACAATCCGAGGCGCGGTGTGATGCGGCGGCCTGATATGGCAAGCTTGGGTCAGTCGAGCTCGAGAAAGTCAACCGCGACCGCTCTGGCGACGGAGTCCAGCAAGAAGCAGACGGAAAGACGGGGGGTGGAGGAGTTGGTGGAGGCGCAAAGTCAAGAAACGGCGAGCCCGTGAGGCACGTCAGGCACAGTGAGTTGGCGACGCGGCTGCTGTAAGGTGACGGAGGTACTTTGCACGAACAGCAGACCGACAACTGACCACCGAAAGGCACCTTTGGTTGCCAGACCTTGGCGACGCGCCGTGTCCCGAGTATAGCACCACCCACGGGCAGTTCCTGGACGCTACAGGTGCAGCGCAGCAGGCGCAGGGAGAGGTACCAGAGGTAAAAGCTGCCTGGTTTCCCTTGGATCGCGTTCCTGTCCTTGCAGCAGAAACAACGCGCATCCGTGGTGGACGATCGGCATGGGGGGAGGGTCGGGAAGTGCCGATGGCTGCGTGCCGAGGGGACGGGGCGAACGAGCGGCGGGCGTTCCAGGTCAGGTTGGGTTTGCGCAAGTCGTTGGTCGAAGGATGAAGAGGGACAGACGGGAGGGGACGGGAGGGATGGGGAAAGGACGTGCGCACCGCACCGCACCGCTTGACGGCGTTGCGCTGAGGCTGCCATGCCATGCTGCTGCGCCGCACCACCACTTGGCCTGGGGGGGGCAGCGAATTATGAAGATGGGTCCGGCGTGGTCTGGGGAGGGGAGGGGGCGGAGGAGCCGCTCAGGTTTGGCGCGCGCGATTCCATTGACACCGACGACGTTGCGGCAAGAGAAAATAAAACGAAGCTTACCTCGCGCAGGGGGTGAGGTGGGCTGCAGCGTACGGGAGTCCGCACGGGTCGGGCGTGGCCCGAGATGGCTCTTGGGCAGGGCACGTCGTCGTCGTCGTCGTTGTTGTCGTTGTTGTCGGAGGCGTCGATGGGTTTTGTACCTAGCCAGTGGAGCGGACGGCGCAGCAGACAGGGCCGTGGTGTAAGTGCCCTGCCAGTCTCGCTGGGGACGGAGAGGCGGCGCTTCGAAGGTCGGGTGCGTCAGAGCGGCGCAGCCAGCCAGCAGTTGCAGTAGCAGCGTTGGCGCCCTCACGGGGGACGCGATGCGACGGGAGCAACTGGTGCGGCTCGTCGCCTCAGGACGGCGGACCCAGAGCTTGGGCGTCTCGCAAAGGGCCGAGGCGCGCGGCAATCCGGGGACGGATAAGAGCTGTGAAGTTTGTACGAAGGTATGTGGTGGTGGCCTCGTCGTCTCGTCCAGTCTGGCTCGGCGTCGTTGTCGTCGTCGTCGCCCGGGCGTCTGCTTCAACGTCGTCTCGGTGGCCGCCGGTCGAGTGAGTTGTCGTAGTCCTGCGAGAGGAGGCACGACGCGACGAGGCAGAGAGAGAGAGAGGAAGAGAGGGCGAGGCCAGAGTGAGTGAGTGAGTGTTTGTTTGTTCCAAGTTCGGGCGAGCGCACGAGGCCCGTTGCGAGTGCCAGTGTGCATGAAGAAATGCAAGAGCGACAGAGCACGCGCGCGGGAAATGAGCGAGGGCCCTGCCCAGATGAAGGAAGGAACGGTTCTCGGTCTGTGAGCACCAGCAGCACCAGCAGCAGCACCTCGACGCGGCCTGCCAGTAGAGGTACTTGCAGGGCTTGCGTGGGAGCGAGTACCTCGCTGCAGCTCGACCGCTGCAAATTGACTCGGCTTGTTCGTGCATGCAGCACCAGACAGGCCGTCTACTACATCGTACCTCTACGACGTCCACGGAGGGTAACGTGCCCGACCTTGCGGGCAATAAGGGTACCTACCTATCTTGGGTACTAAACTGGCACGGAGCACGCCCCCCAAAGCTGGCCGGTACCTCGACGGTAGCTGGAGAGGTGGTACGTGCAGGGCGCCGTGTCTGGGTATGCTACTTCAAGAGGTACTGGGTAGTAGGCAAGGTATGCGCCGCGCTGTGCAATGCCACAGCTTCTCCACGGCCCGGGCACTTTCATGTCGGCACGTTGACTTGTTTCCCGCAGGACGGGGGCTGGGTTTTGCTGGGCCGTCCGGGCAGGGCATCCCATCGCCGGAGACGCTGGCCATCTTTTTTGCCGTAGCCCCCCCTCCATATCCACATCCACCACATCCACATCCACCACATCCACCACATCCACCTCCACCTCCACCTCCACCTCCACCTCGATACCTCCTCCTCAGGGGATGGATGCGGCAGCTCTTGTTTTGCGTTTGGAGGGTTGTGCGTGCGTGAGTGGCTCGCTAACAAAGGCCTGCTCCGCCCGGCGCAGGTTAGCAGCAGGAAGCACGAGAGGCGGACGAAGCGTATCCATCCCTCGGCGGCTCAGGTACCTTGGGCATCTCACCCGGCCCATGCATCCATTGCCCGGCCAGCGATTGGGCTACCTGCCGCTTCGTGGCCGCGAGTAATCCCGCGTCCCATCCGGCCGTCACGTCTCGCGTCCTCGTCTTGACAAGATACTCGCACGAGAACGTGCTCTCACACAAAACGTCGTGCCCACACCCCCGGCAAAGTTAGCCGCACTGTCCTCCGGACTGGCGAGATAGGGTCGTGGCAGCCGTGGAGCGAACGCCATCTAAGCCTCATCCAGCGGGAGATGAGTTTTTTCAACCCCCCCTCGCGCGACATTGGATGGGACGTGGCATGGGTGGATGGTGCGGCCAGGGCCCCCCGCTTGTCATCAACGCGGCAGCGGTTTCTGGCGGGCGGGTTCCGTGACCCCGGGAAGCCACCGTTGCATTGGGCGCTGGGAATGGCTTCCTCGGCGCTCGCCCTCGCAGCTCCCGCGGCTCAGCTCTGCTGCGAGGCATGCCCCCGGTCCGGCCTCTGCGTGACTGCTCCAGCGGGGAGAGGAAAGGGGGCCGGACGATGCAAAGGGCGACATGCGATGCGATGCGATGCCATGTAATGTCCCGCGGGGGCAACGGAGAAAAAAAAGGGCAGAGCGCATCGGGGGCAGGCCTAACGACGGCAACCTAGCATCTTGGACCTCCCTCGCACGAGGCGAGGATTCCATATCGTCTGGCGCCAGGGACCCTCGCGGCGGGCGGGATCCACAGCGGCGTCGATGAGCAGCGGAACAGGCAACGAGTGGCGGGGTAAGCGGAAAAGCCGAACGAACCCCAGCGGAGCTGCTGCAGACCAGACCTTCCACTCTTCACTTCACGTCCAGTTCCGTCGTGCCTTGACTTGCTTGGCACTAAGCTTGCTTTGGCCTCATTAGCCAAAGCGCTCCTTCACGCTGCTCCTCTTCCCATCTCGCATCGTCGTCTCTGGCTGCAACCGACCGAGGCGAGGCCAAAACGAGCAAGGCAGCATCACCTCATCCATCACCTTGATCCGTGCCGCAGCTCATCCTGCTGGGTCAGGTACCGAGACACCCAATCAGCAGCACAGCAGCATTCATCCGCACCAACAACGGCACCAGCAGCTTCGTGGGGGCTGGCTACAGTTCGTACGCGAGCTCTTCCACCAGCTTGCCCAGCCTGGCCCGTCCCTGGGTCCCCGGGCAGGAGGCTTGTCACCAAGTGCAATCCAGCAGTGCGGCACAAGCTTCGTGCTCTGGGATGGGCGCCGCCAAGATCCTTGACCATGCTTCCAGAACGACTCTGCTCTCGCTCCTCCCTGCCTTGGCCGGACCAAGAATGCTCGGCTTGCATCCGGCCAGGAGCCGAACCGCGCTGCTAGGTCGCTTACAAGTTAGCCTTGCTTGGACGGACTGGCGGACGGACGGACAGCCGGCCGGCCACGCCGAGAAAGAGGCTCTTGCTCTCCCTGCGCTGCTGCTATTAATATCCCCCCAACTACGTGCGTTACGTATTGCAACGGTTTGGCAGTGCTCCGATAGGCAAGGTAGTCAGTCAGTCGAGCAGACGAGAGGCAGGAGAGTAGCGCACCGCGCCGGCGAGCGACCCGATCTGACACCTTGGCAGCCCCGGCGAAGGCGGCCCGGCGCTGCATCGCACGAGAGAGAAGCGCGCACACGCCAAGGGGAGGCGCAAAAGACGAGTGGTGCTTCTCGTGTCCAGCAAATTCGGCGCGCACCTCGTGCAGAACCGAAGGAGCCCCATCCTGCACGCACCACCGCGGGAGGCCCAGTCCTTTAGCCTCAGTGGGGGCGGCCCGCCACACCAGCAGGGAGCCCCCCTGGCTCCTTTCCAAGTTCGCGGTGTCTCGGAGGCTGGTGGTATTACTGGAATAATACTCGCGCGCAGGGCACCCTGTGATGTGGCGTGGTGTGCTTGTGGTGGGCACATCGACGCCGTCGCGGCGGGTATTCATCTCAATCGGTCGCACAAAGAAGCTGCAGCCACTGCCACTGACTCTGACTCCCCTGCCCCCTCGACAGATTCAAAACTGCCGCTAATGCTGCCCGCTTATCCACTTACTCGGTCTCTGTTTAACCGGGATCCCGGGTGCCTTTTCACGCTCTTTGCCGGGGCCTCGACTGGTCGCCCTTGCGCAAAGCTCTCCCTACCAAGGTATGAAGGACCGAAAGGTATTCGAGCAGCGCTAAAGTACGGCATGCCACCGTACGACATCCGTGAGATGCGCTGGATGTCGGTAATCAAAGGGGTGTCCGCACCAGGCGGCGGACCCCCCCGCTGCGCGCGTATCTTTGCAACCTCCAGCCGTCCAGATTCCCGACAACCTGGTCTCCTGACGTAGATTGCCGAGTGCCCGCGGCGCCTCCAAGGCCCGCGGCCATTATCATGTCCCGGGGACCAGCCACGCCGGAAGGGTTATGATGTGCCGCTGTTTCTGCCGTGCTTGTATTATGCAACCTTGGACAAATAGCCCGAAGCGAGCAACGCTGCGGTAGGTATCGGTAGACAAGCCCCAGGGCAGAATGCACAGCTGCACCCGCATCTTCGCCCATGAACGCTTTGCCGACTCCTAGCGTTGTCAATGCTCTTCATAATCTTCACTCGTGGCGCCTCATGATGGAACAGGCTCCGTGTTGGAGCCGTATTGTACCGCGGCAAGAACATTGTCAGCGACGTAGCACATGCAGTGAGAGCCCGACTGACAGACCGCGGTGAGTTCTGAGTCGAACACACGATACTGATTCACCCTCAAAGGCGAATGAGACAACCGCCACACGGTCCAGGCGCGTTCCAACTTACAAGGCTCCGCTCGGCGAGAAAGCTCAGTTGCTTGAATCGCCCGCACGCCTTTCTGTCACTCTGCGCGATTGCAAAAGCAAGCGAAGACGCTCCGTGGAATCATGCCGAGGCTCCGCGCTACAAGCCACCACCACGGATGGCTTTTTGTAATTCGGATTTCCAGCGATTGTATTACCAGTGGATTTGTAAGGCCATGCCAATCTTCATGTCAGAAGCCATGCCAGACTGTTTGAGGTCTTAGCTCGGGCTATCGGTGCTGCGTGCGGCGAGGTCGGCGGCTCCCTACCTAGGCTGTAAGCCTGCCCGCCCGTCATCCATCTCCCATCTCCATCACATACATTCTAGATGCTAAACACCAGAGATGCGACAACGTGCGATACCGAGCCGCTTGACATGTCGCCAGCAGCCGTGGTGCAATTTACACGATATGTGACTGAATGATGTAGTTTGTGGACCTCGGAGAACCCTCTCGGCATCCATTCTTTCTTTCCCCGCGCTTCGGCGTCCGGCAACCCCACTCGTTCTCAGGACTAGTAGCAGCGACAAAATCAAGCCTCGCGAACCTCGGCCCTCTGCCTCCCACAACGTGCAACGTTTGTCATCCCACTAGATATATCGGGAGGCTTTACTCGAGTCCCATCGGAGAGCGTCGCTGTGCCATCTCTAACACCGACCTGAACCATCAAAATGACTTTGCCGACCACCATGAAGGCTGTCGTCTTTGACGGCCCGTTCCAAGTCTCGGTGCAGGATCGCCCTGTGCCGAAGAGTATGCCGAGCTCCCGAGTAGACCCTCAGATCCCATCAAGACTGACTTTGATGGATATGCAGTCCAGGATGACCAGGATGTCATCGTCAAGGTCCACGCCACGGCCTTGTGTGGCTCGTGAGTTACATCGCTCCACGTGCCGCTCCCCCGCAGTCGTTGACTTCGTTCTCTCCAGGGAACTGCATGTGTTCCGAGGCCATGAGACGACGACCAATGGCTTCATCATGGGCCATGAATTTACGGGCGAGGTAGTTGAGACAGGGTCGACCGTAACCAGCGTCCGCGTAGGCGACAGGGTTGTGTCGCCCTTCACTGTGTCCTGGTATGAAATAGTCCCGCGCCACCCATCTGGACTGCGTTGACAGGAAGTCTAGCGGGAAATGCTTTTACTGCAAGAGCGGTTTCACTGCTCGATGCGAAAAAAGTCTCTTGTTCGGCTCACGCTTCCTAGATGGCGGCCAGGCAGAGTACGTGCGGGTGCCGTTGGCGGACGGGACCATCTTCAAGGCCCCGGATACCATATCCGACAGGGCTTTGCTGCTCATGGCCGACATCTTTCCCACCGGGTATTTCGGTGTCAAGAGCGCCCTCACCTTGTCGCCTACCATTGATGTCGAGCAGTCAACCATGGTTGTCGTGGGCTGTGGCCCAGTTGGCCTCTGCGCCGTCCTCTGCGCACTCCAGCGACGCCCGCGACACCTTTTCGCAGTTGACAGTGTCGAAAGCCGACTCGAGGTAGCGCGCAAGCTGGGTGCAGTGCCGCTGAACTTTACAGACGGCGACGACATGCGCCAGAAGATCATGGAGGCCACCGAGGGCCGCGGGGCTGACATGATTGTCGAGGCTGTCGGCCACTCCCCCGCCCTGCGAACCGCGTTTGACCTGGTCCGCACGTTTGGTGCCATCAGCAGCATCGGCGTTCACAATGGCGAGGTTCGTAATGATGTGCCGAGTTTGCGAGTTGGATACTGATGATGGCATCTCGCAGATTCCTTGGACTGGGCGAGAGGGATATGGGTGAGGACCGAGACGGAGACCCTTCAATGAAGGGCGACCCTTGCTGACCATTATGGCGATGCAGCAAGAACATCCGCCTGCAGATGGGTCGCTGCCCCGTCCGATACATCTTCGGCGAAGCCCTGGCTGTGCTGGAGAAGAACCAGGACAAACTCGAGTGCGCCTTTCCCAACCCTATGGTCTCAGGCCAACGCGGCTGTTGCTGACCGCCGACAAACTCTTTAGTTTCATGTTTGACCATATCATGCCCCTGACCGAGGCCAAGGAAGGCTATGACCTGTTCCACAACATGAAGGTGCAGAAGGTAGTTTTCAAGCCATGAGGGCAGCACATGGTGGGCTTTGGGCGGGATGTCGGCCGGCTCAGTTCTGTCGAGGCTTGACCATTCCCTCGTGCATGAGATAGTAGACGACGGTAGAGTCGTTGTGGAGCGAGGCCAGCACAAATCTCTTGGCCCTCCTGTTGGGCTCTTGAGGGATCGAGTCGAAGACGGCAGCGAATCGTGCGATGGACCACTTCTCAGTCAAATGGACAGGCAGAACCCATTCAAATTCAGGATCCTGGAATAGCTTCTCGCCAGTTTTGTGCTCATGGGCGAGGGCCTCAATTTGGTCGTCCGGGTGCAGGTAGAGCCTCTTGGGCGGCAGTCCTCGAACGAGCGGGCGTGGAAAGTCCTGGCCGTCGTGGATTTCGACCTCGGTCCAGTCATGCTGGTCTTCGAGGTTGCTCATGACGGTTCGCGCGACGTTCATGACAGCACGGCGCTCTGCCGCCACCGAAGCGTCGTTGCCTATTTGCTGGTCGGGCATTTTGAGTGTCGAGTGGCTTGTGCCCGCCGACTGATACGTCGCGTGGAAAAGGCACCTGAGAAAAAAGGTCCGTTTCGGGAGCGACTACGGATACAAGAGTTGAAGTCGCAGATGGAGGTGCCGGAATTTTTGCCTGGGTGGAAACGTCGCGCTGGCGGCGTGAACCTTGCTGGGTCACTGCCGCCAGTAGGTGCCCGCTGAAAAGCGGATCCCTCACCGACCCCGCGAGCAACCAGCCCAGACTCTCGGGACGCAATGAAAAAACTGCCGATGGGAGTACGCACTTGCATTCAGAGCGATTTCGCAAGACCCTCTGCGTTTGCTTATACGAGAAACTATCTAGGGCAGCGGGCGGCGTTTACCTGCGAGTCGTCAGTCGCCCTGCACTGCACGTAGGGTCCAGGCAACCTAGACGGGACGGGAGTTGGTCACTGGCGGCTGTCGGCTGGAGGAGCGCCTGCCGGCCACAGCCTGCAGGTGGATGGAATTGAACTGGCGTTTAGACGAATGGGCGCTATAACCAGCCCGATGTCCAGCAACCAGTCCTCCAAAAAGCAGCACAGCATAAACTCGTGCGCGTGCGCATAATGCTACTCCGTACCGAATAGCTGCTGCTGCTACTGCCAACGACGAGCACGCGGGCACTCACCCGGGGGGAATTGGCTTTGCGTGTCCACATGGCCCGGCGAAGCCGAGCGAGTCCCAGATGGCGCGTGCCTGCGAAGGTGGGCGGCCGCACAAAAAGCTTGACGACGCACTTTGTCGTCCTCAGGCCAGGGACCGCTTACGCGGTTGTGCGACGTTTGCGCCACACGGATGAGCCTCCAGCGCATGCGTAGCCTGAACTTAGGTGCCAGCCGCGGTGGAGATTCCAAGATATAGTGCAGATTGGTAGGGCGCACCCACCCCCGTTCCCAGCCAAGATCGCCTCCCAGCAGAATCACAGATGACGATCCTTATGGCTGTCACTGCCGCCTTTGTCGCGGCGTATCTGGGTTTGTGAGCACGGGAGCCGCACATGCTCATGTGTTGCGCCGTACGGCACAGCTGCAGGGCAGGGGCAGGTCAGGCGTCCGGAGGAGCAATGCCCGGTGAAGAGGCACAAGTTGCCGAGACCCTGGCACCCAGTGACCAAGGATGAGGCGGATGGAGGCAGTTCCAGTAGCGCCGCCGCTCGGCCTGCCTGCTCCCTCCCCTATGGTTGGCTGCGGGCGGTTTAGAGTTGCAACCCGAGTCGTACGCCAGGCCCTTTGAAAATCGGACCTCGATCCATGTGGACGCGGGCTCTGGCTCCCCCATACCCAATCTCACTCCACCCCCGACCATCTCCCGTTCTGCGTCTCCTTTCGGTCTCGTCTGCTCTTCCCACCACATCGCCTCTTCTGCTCTTCTTTCTCCCTCTTCAACACTCAGTCTTGCGCTGTAGCCGCAGCCACGCTCGCTCGAAATCGACGGCCGTCTCGTTGCGCACGATCCGACACCACGGCCAACAGACGCATTGACCAGCAACTTGCTTATATCGCTGCGCCATCCTTCCCTGCCCTTGCGCTGCCGTCGGCTGTCCCAGCTGCTCGTCGCGGGCCGCAATGGCGTCCCCCGAGAGTCCTGCGGCGGCGACAGCGACGGCGACGGAGCCGTTTCCCGCCATAGACGGGACTGCTCCCGGACCACTCGCTCAGTCCCCGAGCGCCGACGACAGCCGGAGCGCGACAACTAACCGCCCTGCCGCCTCGTCGTCACTCAGCGGACACCTTCGTCGCGCGTCCGTCACCTTCAGTCAATCGGAGCTTCCCGAGGGCTTCTTCGCCGCCGCAGGCGGAATCGCCTCGTCCGTCTTCTCGCGCCAGAACGTAGCCCGACCTGGCTCTTCCGCGCCCAGCTCTCCCGTCGTCCAGTCACCCGAGGCGCGCCAAACCATCCCAGAGCACTCCAACGGGACTCCCCCCTTCTCGGAAGAGCCCGGCTCGCGTGAGCCCAAGACGGAGGGCAGCTCGGCATCGCAGACGACATCCATGCCGATCGACGAGCCCGCCGCCGCGGCCCCCTTTCCCAACGGATACCATTTCCCGCCGAAACACTCGTTTGGCCAGTCCATGAAGCTTGGTTCCATTTCCTTTTGGCACTACTTCATGACGCCCCTCGGGTTTGTCGTCACCATATATGGACTGAATGTGGTTGCCTGGGGTGGCATGCTCTTCCTCCTGCTCTGCAATGCCTGTAAGTAGCCCAGCTAGATCGCTGCGAAACCTTCTCTAACACACAGTTCAACGCCACAGCGCCAGCTATGTGTCACCCGACGTGTGACGACATCAACTCTCCCAGGCGGATATGGATCGAGATCGACTCGCAGATCCTCAACGCCCTCTTCTGCGTGACGGGATTCGGGCTCGCACCTTGGCGATTCAGGGACTTATACTTTTTGCTTCGGTACCGACTACAACACAGGGAAGAAGCTCTTCGCAGGCTCGCGGGAATCCACAGAGGGTGGTTCCGGCTCGAGGGCTCCGCCGCCCTGCCCATCAACATCGGCCCCAAGAACGTCGAGCAGCATCTGTCGCAGGCCGCGTCGCGTCCCGCTGTTCCTTTCCCAGCGACGAAGATCCCCGACGTACCTTTGACTGGAGTTCGTGCGCCGCCGACTAAGTTGTGGAAGCTTGATCTCGTCATCTGGCTCATGGTGTGGAACACGTTTCTGCAGTGTGTCCTGTCGGGGTTCATGTGGGGATTAAACCGCTACGACCGCCCGAGTTGGTCAACAGGCCTCTTTGTCGCGCTTGGCTGCACCGTTGCGGCCGTCGGAGGCCTCATCATGTTTCTTGAGGGCAAGTCTGTCAAGGGCATCGAAGGTGTACCCGTCAGTCAACAGGATCTGGAGCAGCTCGAGAGTGACCGCGAGCGCGGCGTGTGGCATTACAACAACATCAAGGACGAGGACCTGGAGGCCAAGAGGAAGAAGGAGGAGGAAAAGAAGAGGAAGCATGAGAAGTGAGCAAGGGCGTCAGAGCGGAGGGACGAGTGGCCAGTTGGTACCATTACGAAGCATACGCTTGGCAAGGCGGCGTGCCCAACATGCACAGGCTGGAGGCGATGGGGCGACGATGGCGTTTTCCGAGCGAAGCTGCTTTCCGAGTATCAGATCATGAGTATCACATCATGGAGGCTTATTTCGGGGCCTCGACTTGGGTTGGGCCCATTATGGAGGCGGGAGTATTTTGTGGGATGGGATTTTACGGATATCGCCTGGCGAGGAGGAGAGACGCTTGCCAGAGTGGAGCTCACGGTGACTTGCTACGACCTAGACGACCTTGGCCCTGACGGGCAATAATCCAACCCTTAAACCTGCACTCCGCGACCAGCGCCACTGCGTCCTCGAATCATTTTTCTTTGATAGGGAAAAAGAACTTCGTCCCCTGCGCGTGAAGTGTTACAGTACTACATTTCACGTGCCTTCAGAACTGTAATGCCGTGGTCGCCAGCGGCTTCGAGGACGATGCCGGGGCGGACCCCACCGCGGGGGGCTAGAGGTGGGGTAACCTGGAGGCGCGCAGCCCAACTTTCGCTGCAGCCGGGGACCGCTCTGGCTGCCCGCTGGGACTCGGATGGAAGCGGACGCCCGGGCGGCCTGGGCTGGCGATACAGCGGGCGGGATAGGCGGGCGGGGTGGAGCGATGTGCGTCACGCCCGCCTGTGTCGCCTTCCATCTGCTTTCACCAACCGCCCTGGCTGGTCTCCCGCTCAGACATGCCGGCGCCAACTGCCAAGTCTCCGTCCCCAAGGTGCACAGCTTCGTCCACCAGGCAGACGTTCGCCAAACGCTGACAGACAGATAGAACTGGCTTGCCCTCCCTTGCCGACCTCCCACCAAGAACAGCTCAGAACCGCCGCCTCGCGTGACGGCCGCCCGCCGCTCTGCCGACATTCCTCGTCGCGCTGACCACCTAGTGACGCCCAGTCGGTCACACCACCACCAACACCAGTACTGCCACCGCTACCGCTACCGCTACCACCACCACCAGACGCTCACCGGCGCAGTCGCCTCGCCCGCGTTACTTCTTCTGCAGCTGTCGCCTTTCTTGTTCAACACCATCTCCAGGCTGCAGCCCGCCGGCCCCCAGCCCGAACTCGACATCGTCATCGGCATCGTCATCGGCATTGACTCTCAACCAACCCCGCTGAGCCAGCTGACCTGACCCGACCCGCCGCCTGTTCTGCCTGCCGTCCCTTCGCCCGCCGTCTCTCGTCTTCTCTCGCCCGCCGTCTGCACCAAACTTCACTTCGACAGCAACCCCGCCTGGCGATCCGAGTGCTGCTTCCTCGCGCGCTTTCATCCCTTCCTACTATCCCCGCTTTGCGTCCAGCGCGCCCAGCTGACAGCACGCCGCCGTACGCACCCTCCGTCGAACAACGGACGTTCGGTTATACCTTTGCATACGAGTTCAGTGAGCCGGCACCGCAAGCCTCGGGCTCCGCGCACACGTTACACACACACGCCGACATAGAGCGCTGGTAACAGCGCCTGCACACCAGAGTATACCGCATCCAGCTGGTTGCTTGTCCGCCACGCGGCGCGTCGGTCAACCATGGGGCTCGCATACAACACTTATCTGAACAGCAACAAGATTTACGGCTGCAAGACGTGCAAGACGCATCTCGCCAACCATGAGGACATTATTAGTAGGGTATGTTGCCGTCCCTAGTGACAACTCCGCTACTACTTGTCGAGACCACATCTCTTCCCCCTCATCTGCTTTCTGCCCGGCCCTCGCAACCTCTCCCGCAGCGCTGACGCTCATCCGCCCGCAGAATTTCCGTGGCCAGCACGGCAAAGCCTACCTCTTCCACAATGTCGTCAACGTCGACGCCGGCGAGGCCAACGAGCGTAACATGACGACGGGCCGCCACATTGTCCGCGACATCACCTGCCGCCAGTGTAAGGAGACGGTGGGCTGGAAATACGACAAGGCCTTTGAGAACTCGGAGAAGTACAAGGAGGGCAAGTTCATCCTCGAGGCTGAGCTGCTCTGCAACGTCGCGTAGGCGACCCCGGCCGCTAGGACGGACGAGGGCAACAGGGCCGGAAGGGCCCGATAGGGAAGGTTGGTTCACGGCTGGTCGGTTCAACACGGCGTTTGGGTGTATTTAATAGCATGCATGGAGCACGCAGACGTCAACTTCGGCTCCTGATGCTCGTTTCTGGTTGATTTGCTGGCTCGAGGCACCTGATGGCCCAGTTTACGGCCGAGGAAGTGGGATGTTCCCTTTGAACATCGAGTACTTCAATAACCTAGCGTGCGGCAGCGGCAGACTCCATAGGCTAAGATTCAAATTGTTTACTAGGTATGCAGACTAAATCGACACGAAATCTCGGCATGCTACTGTCCAAAACGCCCGCATGACGAAGCCAGCCGAATCAGATGTGTGCTCTAAAACCCATGAGTTGATAGGTGTGCTCTAATGACCAGACCTGAACCAGACCGCGATCCATGAACTACCAAACACCAAAATGCCATTGACGTGTGTAGTGCGCCGCCTACTGGTGCTCGATCGGCTCCTCCGGGAGAAGCTCCTCAACCTCGTGGCTGGGGCGGAGGCTCCTCAGGGGCGGCTGAACGATGCCGTTGAAGAGAAACGTGGAATAGACGAGCATGGCGAAACCCACAATCTGCAGCGCCTTGAACGACTCCCAGCCGAGGCCGAGAGAGACGATCCAGATGAAGAGCGTCCTGCAGGTGTCAATGGTCGACCGCGAGGTCGCACTGACGGTCCGCGTCACGGAGAGGCCGAAGAAGTTGAAGCCACTGGGACTTCTGGTCAGCGAGATCTAGGCACTGTTGGATGATGTGCTTACCCGATGCTAATCATGATGAGAACACTCGTGACCCAGATGCGCTTCTGCATCATCTGTCGCAGGCCCTCCTGCATGTCGAAATAACCGTAGCGACCGGCGTCGGTCCGGCCAACGGCCAGGTGCATGACGATCATGACGAACAGCGTCACAGAAAAGCCAAAGATGCCCTCCCAGCCAACGACATTGAGGGGCTCGATGGTTGAGTTCTCCAGCATCCACTCCTCGAGCACAAACTGCGTCGCCGTGAAGATCTGCGCGCCAGCAATGAGCAGGACGCCGATGATGGCCCGCGCGGCGTCGGACAGGCCCCCATCAGCCGCGGCATCGTTAAAGCCCTGCTGAGACACCTTCTTCTCATCTGGCCAGATGGCGCCGGCCAGGCCGACAACGCCGACGCCGAGGACCACACCGACCAGGGACAGCCACTGGAAGAGATAGAGGTGGCGCCGGAGGAAGAGGACGCTGAAGAGGCCGACGAAGAGGACGAGGGCGCCGCGGGTCATCTGGTAGATGGAGGCAGCGACGAGGAGCAGGCCCGCGTTCATGAGTGTCGTTCCGCAGATGTCGCAAATGGCCGGCAGGGCGAGAAGCACGACACGGTACCCGCGAAGCACAGACGGGCGGTCACCGTCGGGCTTGGGTCGGCCGTGGTGGTCCTGGTGGGCATCGCCGTTGTCGACAGCCTCGTAGCCGCGCTCCGTGGGTGAGGGCTGAGACGTGACGCGGCGGTAGATCGACATGAGCCCGACGACGAGCCAGCATCCCATCTCGCCGACGAACATCTGCGCCGTCTGCAGCACCGGCTGCTCAAAGTGGGCCGGCCGCTTGCCGTCACTGGGGTCACAGTTCCGCACGCATTGGTTGTCCTGGCGAGCTATCAGCGAGTACTGCGAGAACCGGCGCAGGGCCATCATACCTGGTACTTGGTGAGCAGCGTGTTGCAGACGCCGGTCAGCAGCATCATGGCCACCAAGAAGGGGACCGCGGCGCGGGACGCCATGGTGGGCGGATTCGGATTCGCTGCTGCTGCTGCTGCTTGGTGGAGGGAGATGGTCCCGCTCCGGGCGACAGGCAAGTGGGTGCGGCGGTGACGACGGCGGCGGCGACGACGACGAGCAACGACGTGGGCGAGCCGGCACTGGGCGTCGAGTCTTGACGCAGAGGGGTGTAAAGTGTCTCTGGCGAGACCGCAGCGAGCGGATGGGGCTGGGGTCTCTTGCTGGTTTTGATGGATGAAGCTGTCAGCAGGAAACGGGAGTGAGCCGGATGGGCATGGAAGACGGCACGGGACCCTGGAGACGCAGGTGCGGATCCAATGACATGGATGCGTGACCTCAGTCCGCCTCAGTAGCTGCATACCTGGAGGGTAGCCCGCCCCAAGCCTCCGCCTTGTCCCTTGCAGCGCCAGCAAGTCCAGCCACTGAGGTCGACGACCAGCGCTGGCCGGCGCCCCGCTGCGGACAATCAGCCCATCAATAAGCCAGGGCCCACTTGCTCGATCAGGTAGGTAGCTCGCCTGGAGCCTCGACTACAGCGGCCAAAAGCCGTGATGTGGGCAATCTCTTACGTTCCCAGGTGTCTTTGAGGTCACGATCCCATTGCGAGAATTGCTGGCATCAAATGGCGAAAACAGCACAACTAGTTTACGTAAATTCCCGTGCTGCTCGGCATTGCGCAATTGTCATGCCCTGGAGTCTCGCCCGGCTCCCACCAACACCCGAGGACGACCATCCCGTCTCCCCCGTGCCAACGGCCAACTGCCCATCGCTCATAGCAAATCATCCCAGTCATCCTCCGATGGCAGCAGCCGCAGCAAGCTGGACGGTACCGGGCGCGTCCGGATACGTTTCGCCGCCGGTGCCGACTCACCTCCCTGCAGCGCTGCATCTGGAGAGTTGCGGCCCTCGTTCTCCTTCCCCGCACACAGGGCCGATCCAGCACCATTGCTCCGTCTCTTGCGTCGCGTCGTACTCGCCTTCAAGGCCACTGGCGCCTCTGCACTGACGCTGCTGGAGCGAGAACGGTTGCGCAATTGTCTCAAGGCTTCCCGTGGCTTCGCCTTCGCGAAGTCTTCCGCGTCGCCGCTCGGGAGAACCCACTCGCTGATGCCCTCTTCCCATCGCCAGCCGGAGAACATGGTTCTGCTTCCGGCCGGGTTACTGGTCCCGCTCAAGCTTTCTGCAAACGCCAGATCTCGCAAGTCTTTGGTTCGCTGCGCCAAAAGAAAGGCGACGTCCTTTGGCAAGCTGTGGTTGAAGGAGTCTCCGAGCTCCAGCTCACTCAGCTGACCGCATATATCCGCGACGCAATCTCTGCTGGAGACGACGCCGCTTCGACTGCGGTACTGAGCAATTGAGCACAGCAGCAGTATGGTTCGACGATATAGCAATTGCGACCCGTCAGTACTTCTCGGCTTGGCTGCCAGTGCCACGAGATCACTCCGAGCTTGTTGTGCAAACATCGAGCCAGCCAGAGGCCCAGTTGCGGACACAATGTAGCGTGCCAGCGCCAGCATGAATGCACCAGCATCCCGTCCTGATCGCCCACGTTTGCGACGACATGTCTGGTGAAAGCAGAGATCCAAAAGGTATCGAACACGCCGCTCGGCTCGATGGTGCCTCGATGCCGCATGATCGCCCTGAACGGCCTTGGACAGGATGAGCGATGTGGCCATTATTCCTGCAACCACATTTGCAAGCATCGGCTCTGACGCCTTCGGTTGGCTGTTCGCTGCACTGTCGTTATCCAGGATCATCAGTGGCAAACAGGTTCTAGAGAAAGCCATGGCTGCCGTGCCAGATGCGGTTGATGCCATCATTTCCAGGCTCGTCGTCCAAAGGCTTGCAAACACGCGCGTGGACAGCCACTGCGTTGGCAAGCGACTATCCAGCGCTAGAATCGACACCGAAGTCATCGCGGCTCGGGATGTCTCTTTCTTTGCTCCGGAGCCAACCAGCTCACGAAGTGGCAGGAGGTGATTATCTTCGGTGAGACTGCTTTTCATGGTTCGTGGCTCAGGCAGGACGATTTTGGACGCGGTTGCAAGCTTATGGGCCTCCTCAGTGCACCCAAGTCGGACGCAAAGCCGGACAAGAAGCGCGAGGTATCTCGGGTTGAACAGCTCGTCCGCCACTGCTTGACAAAGCAGCGATAGGCCATGTGCTCTGATCGCCAGTTTCAGAGGACGCCACCCGCCTGTGGTCGATCCCAGGTTCTCGAGCTGACCATATAGCTCGAAAGGCACATTAGATGCGTCCCACATCGACTGCCGTCCCTGTTGTTTTGCCACGTCTCGTTCGTAACTCTCGATATCGGCAACGCAGCTGGGAAATTTTCGCAAACACATTGCGAGAAGCGAGTTCGACGCGGGCTCTCGGCCATGAGGCATGGTCGATTGAAGCAAGGTGTTGAGCCAGCAGAGGATGGCATGATAGATTCGGTATTTTTCTGCACCAATGTCCGCTGCCAAATGGCACAGGTCCGTCGTGACGTCCGACAAGGCAATCCCAGCAGGCGCGCCAGATATGCACTCGGTGTGGTCCTCCTGGTTGTTGCTACTGTGCTTCCGCGCGGGCGTGTCTGTCGGATCCCTGATTCTGCGCCAGACAGGAGATGGAATGTCCACCTGGCCAGCCACAGGGGAGGACTTGATCATTTTCATCGCTCCCATTGTGCGCATGGGCCTTCTAGGAGTACAGCTCGGGATCAAGGGCTCTGAACCCTCTGTATCAGCCTCATCATGCCGCTTGCGGCTGCCGTATGTGAACTTGACGCGTTTCGCTGGTGCCGGCTTGATGTCGGCTGGACTCGTTCGTTTCGATTCGTGGAAAGGGGCATGATTCTCATCGGAGGTGAGTTTCCGCAGCCCGGCCAGCCGCGACTGGAGCTGGCGAAGAAGTCGATGGCATCGTGTGGCGGTCCATGGTTGGAGGTCTTGCGCGGCGGTCGACCGGGTAGAAGCGGCGCATCGTGTCGGCTTCATGTCGCGGCCGACGCCTGAGTCTGCGGCGGTCGCATCGGCTCCAGAATAATGCATCGGCCCTAGTCAAGCGAATATGGATGTTGCCGAGAGCATGAGTACGCGATAACCGAGCCGAAATGTTGGAGCAAAGGGATGCTATTGATGAGAATGAGGGAGCAAAGTGCCGGCCCCGGCGCCCTCAAACATGCGACATGTTTACTTTCTTCCTCTCCCGGCCTAGCGCCACAGCGGGACCTGGAGTTACCCGGCTTCGGGGCCTGCGGCTTCGCGGCTGTACGCGCGTAGTACGCTACTAACGCGGGGACCGACGCGGGAAGCCAGGTAGCGCCCAGGTAGCCTGAGCTCCGAACGGCCGGCTCTTGCCGTGCAGGCAATTCGTCCAATTTTTTTTCTCCCCAGAATCCCCATTCTCTTCCCCGTCTGCCTCTTGCAAGCCAAATTCCCCAGTTGTTGCGCCTCTCTTCAAACCATTGCCGGAGGGCGCTTCATGACCGGCGGTCTTTTCCTCCCCTTTGCTCCCTTGTATTCTAATTGTACCTCTTATTCCCATCCCATCCGTCCCCTTGTATAACAGAACGCCATGGCTGCCGAAGCACAGTCGCAGACGCCGGTGCCCGCTGCTGCAACCCCAGGTTGGTGCATGCCCTCGTGACTCCCAGCTACCTACAACTCTTGGAAAATCGAGCTTTGCTAACCGCGACTTGCCTGTCTCTTTCTAGACGAGGCCTCCAATGGGCCCAATGATGCTGTCGCAGCTCCGGCGGAGGCTGAGGCGGAGGCCGACGCCGACGCTGGCGCCGACTGTACGAGATCCTCAGCCTGCACTGCACACCTTCCCAGCCGTTGCTAACGACGCCGCAGCGTTAATAAACCTCACTATTGTCCTGCCGGACTCTGAGGCACAAAAAATGCAGATCATGGTAAGAACCATGGCGAGTCGAACTCGACTACTGCTAACAAGACGCAAAGGTGTCTACCCAAGAACAGGTCCACGAGGTCCGCCAGTCCATCATCGACATGCCGTCGGCTTTTCGCTACACGTGCTTTCACCTCGAGCATAACGGCCAAAAGGTCAACGACTTCATCCCCCTTGCGGAAATTCCCGATCTCGAGCCGGAGCCCGTGTTCCACCTCGTCCAGGACCCGTATACCGAGAAGGAGGCTCGCATTCACCTCGTTCGCATCCGAGAGTTGATAGGGGCCGCTGGCGACAGGGCAGATATCTCGCAGGGCGTGCTGCCTGGCCTGTCGCTCTTCGAGGGGCTGTCCTTGAACTCTCAGGCGGCGACCACTGGCAACGACGCCGACCAGCTGCCCGTCAAGGACTATGACTTCCAGGCCATTCCGCCACTCACCACTCTCATTCCAGAGCCCGTCAGCCCTCCTTCGAAGACTGTCAAGGGCATCGCGCTTTCCTCTTGGAACCCCCCGCCTTGTCATCTCAAGCAGCGCGGCCATTTGCTCTACCTGACGGTCACGACGAACGAAGGAGAGCAGTTTCAGGTGACAGCGCATGTGTCAGGGTTCTACGTCAACAAGTCGTCCAACGCAAAGTTCGACCCTTTCCCGAGGCCCGCTCCCAAGGGCCAGTCGGCTCACTCACTCCTGGAGCTCATTGGCCTCCTGTCGCCTTCTTTCAACGAAACATTCCTCCAGCTGCAGGAGTACAACAACCAGCGAGATCCTCTGGCTACTTTCCAGATCACAAATGCCATTCCTGCTGCGCCTTGGGCTGTCCCTTCTCCCAGCTCCGCCCTCTGCGCCCATGTTCCCGACGCCACACGCCCCCAGGAGACATACCTCCTCTCTGGAGCCGAGAACGTCGAGACTCTGCGTGACTGGAACGAGGAGTTCCAGTCCGCCAAGGAGCTCCCGAAGGATACCGTGCAGGACCGCGTCTTCCGTGAGCGCCTGGTGTCGAAACTTTTTGCTGACTACAATGACGCTGCCACTAAGGGTGCCGTCATGGTCGCCCGCGGCGAGATTGCGCCCCTGAACCCTACGGAATGCCGGGATGCACAGATTTTCGTGTACAACAACATCTTCTTCTCGTTTGGTGCCGATGGCGTGGGTACCTTCACATCCGAGGGCGGCGACGAGGCCGCCCGTGTTGCTACTGGCAAGGATGTCGCTGGTGTCAGGTTGGTCAACCAGCTCGACATTGACGGCCTGTTCACGCCTGCTACGGTGGTCGTCGACTACCTGGGAAAGCGCATTGTTGGTCAGAGCATTGTTCCGGGCATCTTCAAGCAGCGGGAGCCGGGCGAGAACCAGATCGACTACGGCGCTGTTGATGGTAAAGAAGTCGTTGCTGCCGATGACAGATTCACGGTCAGCTTTGCGCAGCTCTCCAAGGCGCTCAAGGTCAAGAACCATCCTGTCTGGGACAAGGATGGCAAGAGATTTGACCTGGAGGCCAGCGTCGAGACCAAAGGCCTTATGGGAACCGATGGTCGCAAGTATGTCCTCGACCTGTACAGAATCACTCCCTTCGATATAACCTGGCTGGACGAGACGAAGTCGGAGACCAGCGACCCGGCAATCAAAGAGTACCCCCACCGGATGACCGTGCTTCGCCCAGAGCTGGTGGAGTCGTTCGCTCGATTCAGGATGAAGCAGTGGGTGGACAAGGAGCTGGCACGCCGCGGACAGGCCAAGCAGGAGCAGTCCGCCGAGAAGTCCGCCGAGACGACCACAGAGGAGAAGAGTGCCGACAACGAGGCCGAGAGCTCCGAGAAGAATCAGCTGGATCTGTCCGACTTCAAGTTTGCCCTCAACCCCGACGCTTTTAGCGGCCAAGTTCCTCAGACCGACGACGAGAAGACCGAGCTCGAGAAGGACGAGAAGGAGGTCCGCGAGGCGTGCGACTATCTCCGGGACAATGTCATTCCAGAGCTCATCCGCGAGCTCTCCGACTCTGACATCAGCTTCCCCATGGACGGACAGTCTCTCAGCCGACTCTTGCACAAGCGGGGCATCAACGTCAGATACCTCGGCAAGGTGGCGACCCTCGCTTCGGATGGCCGCGTGCGCTGCCTGCGCGAGATTTGCATTCAGGACATGGTCTCTCGTGCCTTCAAGCACGTGGCTGCGATATATCTTCGCGCTCTGCCCGTCCCCTTCACGCCTGCGTGCGTGTCTCATTTGTTGAACTGCCTTCTTGGCCACAAGTTCAACACTAAGCCTAGCGCTGAGGTTGACTCGTCCCTCCGAGAGCTCTATCCTGAGGCAGACCTTAGCTTCGAGCACGTCACGCCAGAGAGCCTTCGGGAGAGCATCGAGGAGCAAGTCCTCCAGCGTTTCAGGTACAAGCTGGACGCGGACTGGGCCCAGGAAATTCGCAGCACGCAGCTCCTCCGCGAGGTCTGCCTGAGGCTCGGCTTCCAGGTCCAGGCCAAGGACTACACCTTTGACAACGCTCAAAAGACTGAAACCCCAGTCGAAGCGGAGGCCGCTTCGGGTCAGACCAATGGGCAGGTCAACGGTGAGTCCAAGAAGAAGAAGAAGAAGGCTCGCGATGGCTCGCCCGCCTCTACCGCATCAGCGACGACAAACACCACGTTCACGCCGGACGATGTTGTCGATGTTGTACCTCTGATCAAGCACTCCTGCCCCCGAAGTGCTCTCGCAGAGGAGGCTCTTGAGGCCGGTCGTCTCTCCATCATTCAAAACCAGAAGAAGCTTGGCCAGGAGCTGTTGCTGGAGTCCCTGTCGCTCCATGAGCAGATCTACGGAATTTTGCACCCGGAGGTGGCCAAGGTGTACAACAGCCTGTCCATGCTGTACTATCAGCTTGATGACAAGGAGGCGGCCGTCGAGCTGGCGCGGAAGGCCATCGTCGTTGCAGAGCGTACTGTCGGTGTTGACTCAGCTGAGACACTGCTCAACTACCTGAACCTGAGCCTGTTCCTGCATCAGGTCGGAGACAGCAAGGGCGCCCTCACAGCATCGAAGCATGCCTTGATGCTCTGGAAGATCATCTACGGCCCTGGCCACCCGGACTCTATCACGACCATCAACAATGCGGCCGTTATGTTGCAGCATCTGAAGGCGTACCACGAATCGAGGCTCTGGTTCGAGGAGTCGCTCCGAGTCTGCGAATCTGTCTTCGGAAAGCAGTCGGTGAACTCTGCCACGCTCCTGTTCCAGCTCGCCCAGGCTCTGGCGCTTGACCACGACTCCAAGGCCGCAGTGAACCGCATGCGCGAGTCGTACAACATCTTCCTCAACGAGCTCGGACCGGAGGACAAGAACACGAAGGAGGCCGAGAGCTGGCTGGAGCAGCTGACGCAGAACGCCGTCTCCATCGCCAAGCACGCCAAGGATGTCCAGGCCAGGCGCATCCGATCGGGCATCCGCTTCCCCGCAACTGCTGCGCCGGCCCAGGCTACCACCGGTGGCCCTGCCCAGCGCATGTCGCCGTCTTCGCAGATGGACTCCCGCAGCATTGACGAGCTCATCAAGTTCATCGAGGGCGGCGATCAGAAGTCAGCGTCGTCTAAGAAGCGACCTGGCCGCGGCAACCCGAAGCGCAGGGGCCAGAGCACAAAGGCGTAAGAAGTAGCTTGAGGCGCAGCAGGCGCGGGCTGTCATGGACGGGTTGATGACGGTGCTGTACTATACTGGGGTCAAACATGGTTGTACGCATATATGGTTAGAGGTTGGTAGCATGAGGCATGGTGGGGGCTTGCGGTCTGCAAATGGTTCATTGGGGTGTTGCAAGGGCGGCACAGGGAACCTGATGGCCAAGTTCCGAGAGAATTCAAGGCGGGCTGGGATCCGCCTGGCCAGTGTACTCGTATATCTCATCATCATAGCTGCATCCGCTTCGGATTGCTCAAACGGAAGACATCATCACTCTCACACATATCTATACCATCCACGAGAGCATCGAGACTACGGACCATAACCGCGGCTACCTACCTGGAGGAATCGGAGCACCGCCGCCCCCCCCGCCGGGGTGGCTGGGGGTTCCAGCGTATTCCAGTACGTCACACAGTGAATCGAAGGAGCGTCGCCCGCGATGCAAGTAAGCGTAACATTTAACTCAATGCCTTTGCACTTCCGTGCAGGGAGGAGGGTCCGTACAGAAACAAGACAACCTACGCCGGGGAGACAGGCTCATGCATGCCTCAAACACCTGGAAATTCGAAATCCAACACTCTCGCCCTGGATGTCCGCCGCCGCCGCCAAATGTCCATCTTGCTTCATAACGCATCGCACGGAAGACGTGTTTTTGTTTACCCAGCGCCCAAAGGCCGTTTCCGCTTTTCTTCATACCACCTAAACGCGTGATTAGTTTCCCTTCAGCGCGTTCGCGACCGAGGCACCTTGCCCCACCGGGGCGTGGTACGAGCCGATGCTTTGGAAGCCCCTAGCAGAGAAGAAGACGGTTAGCACCAGCCATATGCTGCCGTTTGGGATATCCTGCTATGGGGCTCAACTTACTTGGTCAGGTCGAAACCTTCGTCTTCTGGTTCCTCGGGCTGCGTTCGCTCTTGAGAGCCGCTCTTCTGCGGCCGCGAGGGGCTGCTCGGAGGAGACTTGCTGGCCTGGGGAGGGCTGCTGCTCTGGGGAGGCAGCCCGCCGCCCAGCTTCGAGGGGCTCAGCTCGTACTGCGTAGATGGGCGTAGGGGCGTGCTTCCTATGTCGGCGTACTTCCAGAACGGAGCCGGTGAGCTCGTCGGCATGTGCTGGCTCGGCCGCTGGGCCGTGCTCGGGGGCGCCAGTCTCGGGTGGATTCGGGGCGGTGCGGGTGTGACAAACGAAGCGCCCTCATCTTGTAGGTACGACGACGTCAGTGTGGGAGACTGCGGGTTGAAGGTCGAGAAGGACGAGTCAGGCCCTGCAGCAGTGCCAGAGGCACCTTTCCTCTGCCGAGGCAGTGGACTGCCGTCTGCTGTTAAAGCAGACGTCCTTCCCGCGCCTCGCTCGGGCACACGCTCAGGAGTAGACTGCGCCGCCTTGCGTGCAGATCTTGGCGGTGGTGACACCAGCGGCGAGCCTCGTCGCTTCCGAGCGGACGTGGGATCCCTAGACGCCATATCTCTCGGGCCTTGAGTGATGTAGTTCAGCTGGTTGGGCGAGGACGGCGCGGAGGAGCCGCGGTGACCGCCTCGGCCGATCTTGTACGCGTTTCGTATCATTTCTTCCCTAGCCTCCGGAACGATCTGCCACTTCATTCCCTTGCCCGGCTCGTCTGTCGACCGTGCCACTTTGTCAAAGGACTTGTTGAGGGAGAGGTTGTGTCGAATGGAGTTCTGGTAGCGGGAATCAGCAATGTTCTCGGCGGACACCAAAGACCAGTCAACTAACCTGCCAGCCTGCGGCTTGTTGGTGGCGATAGTACGCATAGCTGTTCATGATGTACGTGTATATGCCGTTCAAATTGAGCTTGCCGTCCGGGGCATTGAGAATGGCTTGCGTTATCATTTGCGCGTAGCTAAACTGGGGTTTGATGTGGTGGTTGTCGTCGTGACTGAGGTCCACGCCGTTAGCTCCCACCATGACGGCAGGAGTGCTGACCGCCGGAGACTTGACGCTGGAGGGGGCTCCACGGCGTTGCGCGGAGGGAGGCGTTCCAGGGCGCTTGTAGTCCGGAGGAGCGGGTGCGATCAAGGGTTGCCGCCGTGAGGCGGGTGCCTGGGACGTCTCGGGGCTCAGGCCGCACCGCTCTAGGAAGGAGGGGTGAACATGCAAAGGGCTTATCTCCGAGGGCAGGACAAAGATCATCTCGACATTACCGATGTCGATAACCTGACCGCTCGTCAGGGCATGGGCGGCCGGGGGCTTGAGTGGCTCGCCGTCGACCTTTGCGCCGTTGCGACCCTTGACATGGAGCAGCCACTTTTCGTCCTTGGAGTCAAACGATATGGTTGCGTGCTCTCGGGACACGGTTTTGCTAGGGCCGAGATCGATGTGAACGTGTCCCTCATCGTCGGGGTCGTCGGGGTGTCCGACCTCGGGGGCGCGGCCTATATTGACGGAAAGTTTGGTGATGTAGAACGTCCAGTCCTGGGCGGCGACCTTGGCGTACGCCTTTACGCCATCGCCGTTAGCCTGGTACTCGTGGAAAGCATTGGCGTGGTCTTTGGCGGCCTGGACAGCCTGGCCCTTGAGATGTTGCGTTACTTGGGAGAGGATGTGGTCGTCATTTCGGGGCTGGTCCTCGGCGTCGTGCGCCGAAGATAGCTGGCTCCTCTCGGCGGGGTCGGGAGAACGAGCTCGTCTGCGTCGCTTGGCCGGGCGGCTGGGAGACGAATCTTCGACGTGGGTATCGGTGTTGGCATCGGCTGCTGCGTCTCTATCGCGGCGCAGATCGCGACGGCCTCGCTGGGCGCGCTTGGCCGAGGGCGGCATGGCGAAGGGCTGACAGGCTGATGACGCTATGCGGCGGGCGGCAAGCAACAAGCAGCGAGCGGGAGGGGGATCGTCGTGCGAAGGCCGGTCTGGCGATGACAAGTCGAGTGGTAGTCGTTGGAGCCGCTCGCGCTCACCGACGGTTGCGGCTACGTAGGAGATAAAGTTCTGGCGGCGCCAGGCGCGTCGTCGCAGGGGGACACGGGCGGGCGGGCACGTGTCGAGGGAAGAAGGGTTGATGGATGACGGTCGAGCAGCAAGGGAGACGGTGTTCGGGTCCGAGTTGGTTTGCTCGCTCCCTTGTTCAGGCCATGGCGGCGTCGACGCACGCGGTGCCAAAGGCAAAAGCCATTCGATGCATGGGACAAGTCGTCGAGACAGGTCAAGTCAAATCAATTAAGCCGCCGCCCTTGCCAGCCAGAGTTTGTGAACCGCGTTCGCGTTTGGCCGCCGCTCGTTTACGACATTAGCGCGTGGAGGCTCCACCCGCCCTGCCTGCGCCTGCGAGTGCACAGGTACGCCGGACGTCACTGCGGGTACCTACCCGAGGCTGTTGCGGCCTTGGCGCCGCGGCGTGGCACGGGGCCCGGCGCAAGTACCTCTAAGCCGGCCTCAGGTACCCCTTGGCCTGGTTGGATCGATGGCCGCCTGTCCCGGGACCCCGATACAAGCATGCGCCCTGCGGGGCCGGCGATGATCCCTTCATTAGTACGAAGTACCTCGCCCAGGCAAACGACTCGGGAGTACCTAGCGCACCCAGCCAAGCATAGTGGCCTAGCACTGCAAGGGCACCACAGGGTCCAGCCAACCCTCAACTATAGGTAGGATCTGTGGCTGTCTCACCCCGAGCGCTGCATTGCTCATGTTTCTCCGTCAGCATCAGCAAGCATTTCTCTGTTATAGAATGTAGATGCGGAGTGGGAGAGAGAGAGGCCAGCGCCCCGTGAGAAAGTGAAAAAGAAGCCTTTGGAACCTGAGTCTCGGTCATTCCAAGTTCTTGGGTGCACTGGTCAATCATGCCAACGAGGTACGTACTGCTACGTACATTAGGACTACCTAGGCAGGTAGCCCAGAGCGTGGGCTCGGGCACAGACCCAATCTATACTCCTTGCCGTGGCAGCGAGATGGACGGCTGTACGCCAAACTTGCAGATGGCAGGCCGCCCGCGCAGTGCTCCATGACACGGGCCAACCCCCGGGACCAGGTGTTGGTTGTTCCATGCGACAGCCGGGGCTGCCAACCCGCTGAGGTTCCAGGCTGGGTGGGCCCCGTAGGCCTGACACCGCAGTGGATCACTGCTCGCCAGCCGGTACCTACCTTACCTAGGTACCTTACTAGAGGCAGGTTGACAGCTGGGGCGGCTGGCTGCCGTCTGGTCCCGGTGATGGTCCACGGGTGGTGAGGTGCTTCGGAAAGCCCTGAAGCGCAGCCCCTCGTAGCCCGCAGCAGGCCACCCCATTGCACTAAAACCCATATTGCGGCACCCTCCGCTAGGTAGTTGAGGTGACGCCGGACATTATCTAATACGGCGCGCTTCCACCACTCCACTAGCCAAGCCAAGGTTTATACTAGACGCAAACCAAACACACGCCTCATTGCATCCTTCTTCCACCCCCATCGCTGCCAGGCTGCCGACGAACGAGGCCACCAGCCCAGCCTTACTTGTAACAACCGCGTCGGCCCTAGCGCTTCGCGCGCGTCTCTCCTTTGCCTCTGTTTTCCTCCTTCAATATTCCTCTCTCTTTTCCTGGTGTCCCCCTTCACGCAGTTGCTGCTGGGGACGGTTGAGACCGGCTGTCACCAGGCCACCGACGGATCGCCTGTTCCTTTCGAAGCGCTCCGGCTGGCCAAGCTGCATCATTGGTTCTTTTCCCTTTGTGAATCGCACCCGCGTCGGCCCGAACCGACCAACCTTGATCTTTTCGAACCGGATACCATCACTGCGGCGCGCGCGCTTACGCACACACACGCTCGCTCCCCCATCGCCGCAACACCCGACTCTTTGAACCCACAGCCATGGCCAGCGACCGGGTCTACGGCGTGACGCCGCCGCTGTCCCTGACGCTTCCGACCGAGGCCGAGAAGCGATGCAGCGATGCGTTGATTGAAGAGCTGCGACGTCAAAAGACATTCGAGAGCCCGTCGGACACAGAGAAACGGTGCGTTGCAGGCTTCCCCCGACGTCGCGTAGTGTGCTGTGTGCGAGTGCTGACCCGATCGCAGATACAAAGTTCTAGAGTCCCTGCAACACATCTGCAACGAGTTCGTCAAACGCGTCGCAAAAGCGAGGGAGCCCAAGAACGACATCCTCATCAAGAATGCGCGCGGAAAGGTGTTCACGTATGGCAGCTTCCGCCTGGGCGTGTTCGGACCTGGCTCCGACATCGACACGCTCATTGTCGCCCCCAAATACGTCACCCGCGATGATTACTTCGAACACTTCCCCAAGATGCTCGTCGACATGGCTCCCGAGGGCGCTATTACCGACCTGACCGTCGTCACCGACGCATTCGTCCCCATCATCAAGTTCGAATACTCCGGCATCAGCATAGATTTGATCTTCTCGCGCATCATCCAGAAGCAGCTGTCGCCAGACTTTCAAGATCTCAAAGACTCCTCCCTTTTGCGCGGCTTGGACGAGGCCGAGTTGCGTTCCCTCAATGGCACCCGCGTCACCGATGAGATCCTCCATCTCGTGCCAGAACAGAGCACTTTCAAACTCGCGCTCCGTGCCATTAAGCTCTGGGCGCAGCGACGCGCCGTCTACGCGAATATTATGGGCTTCCCTGGCGGTGTGGCCTGGGCCATGCTCGTCGCTCGCGTCTGCCAGCTGTACCCCAAAGCCGCCACCGCCGTCATCGTCAACAAGTTCTTCCTCATCATCAGCCAATGGCGCTGGCCGCAGCCTGTCCTCCTCAAGCCCATCGAAAGCGGTCCTCTGCCCGTCCGCGTGTGGAATCCCAAGGTACGTATCGGTATTCAATCGCATCAGGCTGACCACTGCTAACCTGCGCAACTTTTCATAGGCATACAAGGGCGACTCGTTCCATCTTATGCCTGTTATCACGCCGGCTTACCCATCCATGTGTGCAACCTTCAACATCACACGGTCATCCATGACAATCATCAACCAGGAGCTGCAGAGAGGCCTCGAAATCACCGAGGCCATCATGGTAGGGAAACGACCCTGGAGTGACTTGTTCGTCAAGCACACCTTCTTCACCGCCGACTACAGGTACTACATCTCCGTCACCACCGCGAGCAAAGACAAGGAGGCCCACAAGGTGTGGTCTGGTTATGTCGAATCCAAAGTGCGCATGTTGGTCCAAAAGCTGGAGACGCACCAGTCGATCGATCTGGCGCGCGCCTTCAACAAGGGCTACGACCGACGCCACCTCTGCAAGAACGACGAGGAAATTGCGCAGGTCCAGGAGGGCTGTCTAGACTACCTCATGAAACCTGACGACGAAGTGCCCACCCCGGCTGCCGCTGCCACACCGGCCCCCGAGACCGACGCCGACAAGCCCGTCGAGGAGTCGAAAGAAGCCGACGGCGCAGCGAAGCCCGCTTCGCCCACTGTAGTGTACACCACTACTCACTATATTGGCCTGCAACTGCACAAAGGTACGTGCTATTCTGAGCACAACGTGATCCCGGCCGCGCCACCCGAAGCAGGTTGCGTGAAGCCCTCGATGCTGACAATGGTTCTCTGCAGATGCAAAAGCCCTCGACCTTTCCTACCAGGTGGACGAATTCAAATCTCTGTGTACTCACTGGAAAAAGTACGAGGAGGAACTGAAGTCTCTGGTGTCGATTGGTATTCAGCACGTCCGCAAGTAAGTCTACGCGATATTTGTTGCAAAGTCCCTAATCTAACATTTGTCTAGCTCCAACCTTCCGGACGATCTATTCGAGCCGGGCGAGACGAAGCCACAGAAGAAGAGTGCTAAGGGTGCTCTCAATGGAAAGAAGCGCGCCCAACCAGAGGTATTTATGAAGTGCCAGCTTTTCTTGTTCAGGAGAGGCGGAACGCGGCACCCAGAGCTATTCCCTCGTTTGGATATGATGAGCTGACTGTGCTGCAGGACAACACGCAACCTCCCGCCAAACGACAGCAAGCCTCTGTGGTCGCAGCTGGCTGAGAGACACCGGCCTTGGCCGGCTGAGAGTAATCACGCCGAAAGGGGCATGATTACACGATATTGGGGCACCAGATCTGCCCTGTTAGGATAACAACGTGACATGGGCACTATTGCACTGAGAGGCCCCTGGCCTTCCCTTACAGAGTACTAACGCGCGCCTACATGGCGCAGCTTCCTCTAGCAAGATTCTGGGTTGAAGGCCGTAAAGACTTTGGCTTCCAGTATGCCAGAGGCCTCCACTGGTTGTCGCTGGCTGACTACGAGACAGAAGGCAGCGTACATGAAGAGCGATCCAAGCAAAGCTTGCAGATCGGTGACAGAAGAAGAAGCGCATGCATGCGAGGCATCTGCAGACGGGCCTGACAGGCGTCGCTGCAGCCCTTGCGGGCGCGATTTGACATACCCTGGGAATTCGCCGACGGGCGAAGAGACCCTCCCGACAGGTGTCTGTATCTAGAACATGTGGCCTCGCTAGATGATGAATACAGACGTAATTACGAGGCGATCTGCCTCGCTGACCAATCTGATGCGCCACCATGCCGTGCCGTGCCTGTCCGTCACTACGAGCTTCGCACTGCCATATTGAGGGTGCCATGCTTCTTGCTTGATCTGCGAGCAGGGAGGTTACAGTAGGGTCTTTAGAGCCTGCAAGCTGTCCCAGGGTGTACGTTGCTCCTCCATCGCTGGGCAATGCCCAAAGCGCAGCCGAGGGGTCTCATAAATCGTCGTCGTCCTCGTCACTCCCGCTAGACCAGTCGTCTTGATAGGCATCGGCGATTTCGGCCAGGCCATTGCTCAGCGTCTCCCGTTCCTCCAACTCGACGGACCGGTACACTTGCGATCGCAGGTTGCGCATGCGGGCCGTCATAGCGGTTGTTGTGGACAGCACGGTCCGCACCGCCGCGGTGGCCTCGCCGGCGGGCACGTCGTGGTATATATGCGGGTAGCTGTCGAGCAGCGGGAACTCCAGAGCGGATGTGTACCTGGATTTTGGTTGCCGACGCGTCAGTCTGGGGCAAGGGGGCGTCCAGGAAGGCGGGCACAGGGGGGAATGAACGCTTTCAGCGAGAGAGGACTTTACGTACCGGCGGATGACGGGGTTTCCAGCTATTGGTCTTGAGACACGGTGGTCTTCGCCCTCTTTCTCTTCAGTCTCCTCCGGCTTGGCCGTCCCCCGATGAGACGAGAGCTGGCCAAACACGCGTCCAGCCTTCTCTCGGTACCTATCGTTGCGCCCACGGCGGCCCAGGTGGAACAGATCCACGTCGAGCTTTTCTCTCTCCAGCTCGTCGGCACGTCGTCCCACGTCCATGGCCGCAGCGGCGAGGGTCTGACTCCCCGTCGTGTTGAGACTCTCGGCCAGATCGTCCAGCAGCGTGGGCCGCTGGCTAGCGAGCCGGGACTGGAGACCCGCGCTCTCGGCCGCCGTGGACAGCAGTCCGGAGACGTGCCAGGGCGAGCTCGGATCGAGGGCCACGCCAGACGGGAGCGGCCCATCGGGGAGAGACAGGGGCACCACCATGGACGCCTGTGAGCAGGTCTGGTTCAGTGCCTGCGCCGTGTTTGCGAGCCGCAGCTGGCGCTTCTCCCTCGGGACGTCAGCAAGCGGGTTCTGCAGGCCCCAGACCCAGATACACGTCTTGGGGTACTCGTCACGCAGCGCCTCGAGATACGACGACGCAAAGCCGCCCCACGCATCGTCGAGCGTCGTAAACACCTGGATCCCTTGCATGAGGTCGCACTCCTCAGCAAAGGGCCGCCAGTCGCGGTCGACAAGTTCGTGCTCCTTGTCGAGTGACGAGAAGAGCTCGGCGCCCATGGCGAAGCGCTCGAACGGGCGGATCGTCGAGTTGAGCTCAAAGTCGTAGAGCTGGACCAGCGACCGCGGGTGGTAGTAGACGCGCGAGAAGTCGGACCAGTAGCGCACGCTCGACGCCGTGGGCCGCGGCGGCGCCTGCTCGCCGGCGTCGAGGCCCTGCTGGTACGCGCTCGGGCTCACGGCGTCTTGCTTGTGCACCGTCGCGCGGCCAGACCTTGCGTAGACGTGGTTAGCCAGGGTTCTTACGCGCGAGAGAGCAGTGTCTTCTCCAGCCCCCATCCTGGGACACTGAGGGAGCACCTACCACAGAGAGTCGGCGGCGGCGTCGGACTCGAGCGTCGCATCGTAGAGCGGGTTGATCTTGCGCAGCGAGCCGAAGCCGCCTTTGAGGTCGTAGATGACGGTCCGCGGGAGGAACGTCTCGGAGCCGTCGTGCCCGACACCCGCCCGCCAGTGGATGTCGTGGTTCACAGGCGACTGCTCCTGGTCTCCATACGTAAAGTACGACTCTTGGGCGTTCCAGAAGTGAGTGGCCGTGTAGTTGCTGAGGTTGCCGAGCTGGAGGGTGATGATTTCGTGCATCACGGCGTTGTCTCAGAGCCGCGAGGGTGTGCGTCCTGCGACGGCGGTGGGTGGTTCCAGTCTCAGAGAAGACAATGTCAACTTCAACCTCGACCTGACAGAAGAGTGTGAGATGCAAGTTTCGTCCCTCGATTCTCGTATACGGTGGTTCCTTGAGATGCCGGATGAAGTTGAGCTTCTGAATGTGGATATTCTCACACATGTGCAGGGTAGCCCAATGGTGGAGCACTGGAGCTCCATTTAGCTGAGCTTGGGACTCTCCCGCGCGGAGCTTCAACTCAGCTCGACAATTGTAGCTGCCGATGCACGATTACTTAATACAAGAGGTCATGCCGTCATTGGCAACAACACCTCCTCCAGCTGCACCAGCGGCATAGCATTGTCACTCCAACCCCCCTTCCAGGCACGCAAAACACCAAACAAAAACCATCGTTGTTTTTTGTTCCAAACCCAGTATTTGACTTGGGCTTTGAACAACTCGCATGGTCCTACGCCTGCCGTTGCCGTCAATCTCACCGCTCTTCACCTGTGCCATGCCTGAGACGACCGGCACTTCGCCCTCCAGCGGCGACAACACGTCCGCCCAGCCAAAGTCTGGTTTCTGGGCCGAGATCGAGTCCCTCAAGACGCCCGCGGTCAAGGACGTCGCCCCCGCGCCCAAGGTCGGATCACCCGCGCCGTCCACGGCTCAGATACCCCTGCCCGACGGCCGCAAGACCCTTGTCGTCTTCCTCCGCCACTGCGGCTGCCCGTGTAAGTTGAACCGTCATTGCCCCTGCTCCCCTGCCTTCCTTCTTCACTGTTGGTGTTGCATTGCCGCCGCCGCCCGCAGAATCCACTCGCTGATGGCAGATCAAGTCGCCGAAAAGACATTCAAGTCCCTCACTGCAATCTCGGACCAGCACAAGGACGACCTGCACTGCGTCGCCGTCTCGCACTCGTCCGCCGAGGCCACCGAGCGCTGGGTGCCTCAGGTCGGCGGCGCGTGGCAGACTGACGTTGTCGTCGACGAGGGCCGCGACGTCTACGCCAAATGGGGCCTTGGCCTCTCGAGTGCGTGGCATGCCTTCAACCCTTTTGCTCTCTACTCCGTCTATCGTCTTGGTGCCGACGAGGGCATCTGGAACAGGCCCACCGAGAGCGGCAGCCGCTGGCAGACCAGCGGTGCCTTTGCTGTCGACGCCGACGGCACTATCCGCTGGGCGCATGTCTCTAGTGCCGCGAATGACCTCCCCGACTTCAACGCGGCGCTCGATGCTCTTGGTATCGAGCCCAAGGATGAGCAGCACGATAAGCATGAGAAGCACCACCACCACCACCACCACAAGTAGTTCCGTTCACGGTGCCGGCCTCCCTTTAATCACCAGCTCCCTTATACCCTTGCTATTGCTGGAACTTGTCGAGACACTGGGGCGAAATCTTTTGCAGATAATGCGTCCGTCTAGTGTAATGTAAGCCGAGATGAGGTATTCGATTCAACGCCAATTCATATGCTAAGCTGAAGGGGGTATTGAGTCCATCGTACAAAACAGATTATATGGTGCCTTGCACAGCGTCCTGACTGCTGGCGACTCCTGAATGTCATGAGCTCCGGCCCGACTCCCGATCCGTGCTGCACCTTCAGCAAGCGGCCAAACACCAGGGCGGCGGAAGCTTCACGTCCCAGTGACGTGCCAGCTCAGGCCGAATGAACCATGCAGCAATGCAGCCCATCACTCCCATGCTGCTGATAAACTCCAAGGTGACGCCGCCTCCGTGTTTGATCTGCCCGACCAGCTCCAAAAGCCCTAGCGGATCTTGGTGATTCGGGTTTACTGGTTCTTCGGCAGCTCGCCGCCGGCTCTTGCTCGATCGACCCTTTCCGTGAGTCTTGCTCAATGGCAACTCCCTTCTGGACAACTCGTGCCCAAGCAACTGGTGGGACTGGCCAAGTCTTTCCGCCGCGAGACTCTGGCGCAAACCCTCGGCCCAGCTTGATAGCTCGATTCGGCCCCAGTATTGTCGTTCCATGTACGGATTGGCCACCCCGTACTGGATCAAGGCCCCCTCAGCGGGCAGCCTCCGGCACGTCAGGGCAGACTGAAGAGAGCTGCTGCGAAGCTGGTGCCGGCGCCAGCTCACCGCCTTGAGCGCGGCCGAGTGCCTTAGCCAGGAAGAGCCTTCCGGTGAAAAAATGTGGCCGACCAGGTGACTGAGCTCCGTGTCAACCAGGGGCTGAAGGTAGTCGGAGCTCATGAGGATGCTCGCATCGATCGTTTCAGGGTCCGAGCGAGTTGCGCTCGACACTGCAAATACGTGTGTGGACTCTCCCACGCTCTCGGGGCTGGCAAAGGAGAAGCAATTGGCGTGCGAGTCTCCCAGAGCTTCCTCGACCTTGTCTTTGGACGCCGTGACCTCTTCACTGCTGAGCTCGTCTGCCCTCGCAAGGAGTGGAATCACATTCGTCATGCCCTGCAGGGCCGTGATGGTATCCACATCGGTTGCGTCAGGGCCTAAAATGCTGTCAGCTCTCCAATCTGTTTCGCAAGTACATCTTTGACAGACCTGAATGAGGCAGCAAGTAAAGAACAACATCAACAATCGGCTCAGCTCCATTGCTGAGAAGTGTGCAGAGATCCGAGTCCTCGATAGGCTTGTTGCAAAGCCGTGTCAACCGTGACTCGACGTACGCAAGGTCCGGCCGGGTATTCTGTCCATGTTAGAACGAGCACACCCTTTGCAGCTAACGAGGTGACGTACCTTGGCAGTATTTCTCGATCCCGGGCAGTCTACAAAACACAAGTTCCGGTCCAATATCTCCTCTGTCGCCGATGACATCCGTCTCCTCCGGATGTAGGTTGCGGGGTCCATGTCAGCTCGCCACCAAGGATGTGGCCTCGTGCTGGCATGTACTTCGGCTACGTCGTCGGCCGGAGTTGGACTCAGAGAGTCCATATGTACAATGTGAGCACAGGACTGTGCCATGGCTGAAATCAGAGACGTCTTCCCGATGCCTGCAGAGCCGTGAGTGACGATTCCTGGGCGTGTCTAAATGGAGACTCACCGGTTGGACCCGCCAGGAGAACCTTGAGCTTTCCGAGCGACTTGCCTGCCTCCGAAAAGGGGCGGCGGCGAGGAACGGTGAGACTGGGCATAACCAACTGTGGTCCGGGACTTCCCAGGTCGCCGGTGACAGGACTTCGCCGCGGTGAGGCGCCCGGTGACAGCTCCGGGAAGCTGCCCGACATGCTGTGGGGTTCCTCCGAGAGCGACACGCTAGACGATATGGCTGGAGATGATGGCACGCTCATGGCAGAGCCTGGGCCAAAAACGCCTGTAAAGACTGGCGTCATGGGCTGTGAAAGGCCGTGATCGATGTCCGACGACAAGGACGGGGACGCCGGGCGATTCCTGCGCGCGGAACGGTCGGACGCGGACACACTCGAGCTGCGACTCCGCTTGGACGCATAGCTCCGTGAACGAGGGCTCAGCTCTGGCGAAGCTTCGCTGGAATCGAGCTCGGCCTCGGTCGCGAGGAAGCAGGAAAACGGAGCTATGGGAGTTGTGGCGCTCGACGACAGCACGTCCGCATCGTTGCGACACGGCGTGCTCCGGGCTGCGTCTGCTGGTGTCGGAACGGGCCTCATCTCGACGCAGAGGGGGAAGACGCGGTGATTAGAGGAGGCCCTGGCAAAGAGGCATGCGCCGGGCCGGAGGAGGGAGTAATGTAAGGAAGATGGAAAAGGAAGAGCAAAGGGGGACGATGTCGGCTGTTCATCACCTCAGCTGTGCCGAGTCCTGACGTCTGATGGCGGGCGGTGGCACATCGTGTGCTCCTTCCCCTCCATGTTGGGGTGCTCAGGCAATGATACCACGGTACCATGCATGTCGCGTCAGCACCCCGGACGAGTACTGACGCACTCATGTTTGGCGGGGCCAGCACTCGGTACCTCCCTGGCGGTACTTCCAGAAAGGCGTTCCGTACTTGGCGCCTGAGGAACTCCCGCCGGCTGCTCTGTGCAGCGCGGGGCAACTGCGCGCTATCGATAAGGCCGATACTTTCGTCCGTGGCAGGGCTACGGCGTCAGGAGTACTCGGGTACCGCCATGTACCGTATGCCTGTACGGCGGAGTTCGGCTTTACGGGGCGCTGCCCCTCCCTGTGACTCTGACCCTCCCTGGGCCGCCATGGGCTGAGCACGCTGGTTCGGCAGCGACGCAAGCCAGTCTCAACAGACAAGCCATCGCGGGCAGTTTCTTCCACAAGCCGTTCTCCCCTCGGACCACGAACCCGCGACACCGGCAAACACACGCGCTTCTGCCGTCCCCGCCTCCCACATCATCAACCATGGATGGCAAACGACATCCCAGCTCCTTCCAGCAGCTGGAGAAGCTGGGCGAAGGCACCTACGCAACAGTCAGTCGCTCTCGCTGGCGCTTAGAGACTCGGACGAACACCCAGCTGACGTGCACTCCCATGATAGGTTTTCAAGGGCCGGAACCGCCAAACGGGCGAGCTCGTGGCGCTCAAAGAAATCCATCTCGACTCCGAAGAAGGAACTCCGTCGACTGCGATTCGTGAGATCTCGCTTATGAAGGAGCTCAAGCACAAGAACATCGTCGCCCTCCACGATGTCATCCACACCGAGAACAAGCTCATGCTCGTATTTGAGTACATGGACGGCGACCTCAAAAGGTACATGGACACGCACGGCGAGCGAGGCGCCCTAAAGCCCGCCACCATCAAGTCCTTCATGTATCAGCTGCTCAAGGGAATCGACTTTTGCCACCAGAACCGCGTCCTGCACCGCGACCTGAAGCCGCAGAACCTCCTCATCAATAGCAAGGGACTGTTGAAGTTGGGCGACTTCGGCCTGGCCCGCGCGTTCGGCATCCCCGTCAACACCTTTTCCAACGAGGTCGTCACCCTGTGGTACCGAGCCCCCGACGTGCTCCTGGGCAGCCGCACCTACAACACGAGCATCGACATCTGGTCCGCCGGCTGCATCATGGCAGAAATGTACACGGGCCGACCCCTCTTCCCGGGCACGACCAACGAGGATCAGATCATTAGGATATTCCGCATCATGGGCACCCCGACGGAGCGCACGTGGCCGGGCATCACGCAGTATCCCGAGTACAAGCCGAGCTTCCAGATGTACGCGACCCAAGACCTCCGCAACATCCTCCACGCCATCGACCCGACCGGCATCGACCTGCTCCAGCGCATGCTCCAGCTACGACCCGAGCTCCGAATCAGCGCCCACGACGCGCTGCAGCACCCGTGGTTCAGCGACATTGTCATGCACCAGGCGCAGCAACAGCAGCAGCAGCAGCAGGCTCTCCACGCGCAACAGGCACGCTGTCTCTTATACACATCTAGATGTGTATAAGAGACAGGTCATGCACCAGGCGCAGCAACAGCAGCAGCAGCAGCAGGCTCTCCACGCGCAACAGGCACGGGCGTACCAACAAGGCGTGCCGGCCCAAAACTTTGAAACCTACTAGATGTGGTGAATCGGCCCCCGCGGGGGCGAGGTCTCGGGTGCGGTTGCTGCCGGCTCACGCTCCGGCATAGTTGTCGTTTGACGAATGTTGTTTACGAATTGCTCACCTTGGAGTTGGTGGATTGTCTTAGACTGGAAAGGAGGCGTGCATTTTGTTTAGCGAAAGGGCGATAGAGCATAATGTCTGAGCGTGCGGGCTCATGTACTTGATGTGGCAACCAGAGAGGCCAGTTAATACACGTCCGAGGCGCCAGTGCGGGCCTGCAGCGGTTGTCTTTTCTATTCTCATGTGTCGCTCAGTGTCTGTTGACCAGACTGCCGTCGACGGGGCTCTTGAACTTGCGCTTGCTTGGTTCCTTGGACCACGTCTCTGCGAGGGCGGCCGTCTCGTCCTCCTCGCGTGGGAAGCCCGCGCTCTCGCGCAGCTTCTCGATCTCGTCACGCACAGACTTGGCAACTTCTATCCTTAGTTGCACGGCTTCCGGGCCGTGCTGCAAGTCCTCAGCGCTGCTCGTCTCCACCAGCTTTTTCCAAGCGGCTCTCTTTTCGCCAAAGAGGCGATCAACGTCAGTGGGCTCGCCGATGACGACCCTGAAGCGCTTCCCTATGCGGGGAAGGAAACGCGGGAAGCCCCTGTCCTCGGGCATGATGGACTGGGTGCCGTGGATGAACATGGGTATGAACTCGGGGGCGGGATCGCTCTCGAGGATCAGTCGGGAGACGCCCCATTTGAAGTATCGAAGGCCGCTGTCGGGGCTCTGGTGGCAGCACGCCTCGGGGAAGACATGGACCCAGGCGTTGCGGTTCGCGGCGTATGCGGCGGGCGCGGGGAAGGAGTCGGTGCCGTCGGTCGAGAAGGTCAGGCTCGGCGGCGTAGGGGATGTAGATGGGCCGGACAGGAGCTGGACTGCCTGGGACATGGTGGGCTGGTAGAGGCCGCCCAACGGCGAGTGCCACAGCCGGCGGGTGGGAAGCACTTGGCCCAGGCTGAAGAAGGTGGAGAAGAAGCTGTCCCGGATCAGATGCTATGCCCATCATGGATTCATGACAACAAGCCCGTCAAGGTTCGGTACGGAGAGGCCAACCTATTCTTGAAGCATATGTCGTGCGCGCCCAGACCCCATCGCAGGTTCCGGACATCGGTCTGGTAGCGCAGAGGGAGAATCCCCCACATGAGGGGATCGTCGACACTATGTGCGCGCGCGTGTGTAAGCAAGCTATGTATGACACGGTCCCTCGCGCAAATATGCGGCACAATGGCTCACGTACACGGCGACGTGGTTGCACACGGTCAGCAGGCCGCGATCCCGGCTCTGCGTCCGCCTGCGATCCAGCGTGGCAAGCAGATTATCCAGCCCCGTGACCTCGACCTTGTTGAGGCCGTAGAGGAAAGCCCTCGAGACGAAGCCCACGCTGCTCATGACGGCCACGGAGCCGAGCCGCCACGGCAGCGACTGGCGCACCGGCGGGGCGGCAGCCGGACCGGACATGGTTTCGGACGCGCGGGCGTGTCTCTAGTTTCGTATCGTCGGATGGGGTTCGGTCGAGTCGTGACGCGCGCGCGCGCGCAGTTTGCGGGAGGATAGAACGAGGGTTTGGCGAAACTTGCAACAGCCGGGGGGGCACACCGTCTCTCTCGGCCCGTCGCTCAATGCATGGTGGTTGAGTTGGGCGGTGCGTTGAGAGCGGCGACCCGCGATATTAATGAAATAAAACCTGGGGCGGAAAGAGGACCAAGAGAAAAAAAATGGAGGCCCTTGTTGGGTGCCGCGGCGGCGCGCGTCATGCATGGGTCGCGGGAGTCGGAGCGAAGGACGGATGCCCCACGTGAAAGTGGGAGCATTTGGCGTGTGGTGGGGTGCCATCCGTGGACTCGTTTCGTGGGTAGGCCCTTTTGTTGGCTCCCACTTACACGGGACAAGACTCTGGCACAACAAGACGTCGATGGACATGTCAACCACAACTCAGATATACAAGACAGGCGCCGAAATGCGAAAGTCGCTCGGTCTGGAAACGGCCTAACCTACCCACACCCAAAAGAGTCGATGGGGACCGCAATGCAATTGTCACGGCCCACGACTCTGCGCTCACGTTCTCCACAGCAGTCCGGCTCTTGATCATAACTTCATAAGCCAAGTCGTTCCTTTGCCGCGATGAGTGTCGTCATCTCCAAGAAAATAGCAAAGACACTGCACAAATACAGAGGTGGGAGAGTGCCCGTCGAGTAACCAACGCCACCGGCAGCGCCAATCCCATACCTACAGAGATATCCTATCCAGTTTCCCCAAAATCTTCTCCATGTACCTCACGCCAACCGCCGCGCCGTCCTCGTCCTGGAAGTCCCGCTCGTCGCCAAAGTCCATATTGTCTTCGTCCAGACACGTCAGGCACGTCTCCACGACCTCGCTGTAATATGTGCCCATCTTTGCTCTCAGGGCGGTGCTGCGGCTAAGCCTAGTCAAATGATCCTTCAACGCGTCGGGATTTTGTAGCTGTGACCTGTCTGAGTCAAGTCCGAGGGCTGCCGAGGGCTGCGCAATGCCGTCAGCTTGGTATACAACGAGCGACTCCCACAGTCCAATCTCCAAAAGGCACACCCCAAGGCTGTAGATGTCGTGCTGCATAACGTAGTAGTCGACGCTGCTTCCTTGTCGTCGTGGATGCCGGTACACGTTAGTTTCCCATCTGCAGTCCGCTACCGAGTATGTCTTCCCGTCCTCTTGCCGGATCAACTGAAACCCAACCAGACACGCTATGCTAGGGAGTTTGACCTCATCCGCTCTGCTGATGGTCAGCATCGTCTCAGGACGGATGCTCTTATGTACGAATCCGTACAAGTGAACGTAATACACAGCTTTGGCAAGTCGTTTCGCCATTTCGAGTCGGTCAGAGAGGGACCCATGGGATTGACCTGATAGGAGCAGTTGCCGAACGCTGCGGATGTTGGTGTAACCCTCGGGGATGTAGAAGACGAAGCGGAAAGCCGAGCGGGTACGCGTAGACAGATTCACTGCTCCTTTGCACTTGAGGATCCCAAAGGTAAATGGATCCGAATCTCGAAGGCGCCAAGCAAACGCCCGGGCGTCGTCTTCCGCAACTGCTCCTTCGGTGGCTGTGTCAACAATGTACGCTTTGCGGCCACCCGGACGTGTGGCTATGCAGGCCATACTGTGCGAGACGGGGTTTTCGCCGCAACGCCGGAACTCGCTCTTACTTATGAAGCTGCTCTGAGGGTTCCTGGCCGGATCAACGAATGCTCGACGAAACTTTCTGGCAACAGGACTGGACTCAATGGTTGTGCCGACTACGTCAACCAAGGTGCCGAATTGGGTAGGGGCGTATTTGATCAACGAGAACCACGAGGGCTCAGAACGCCGCTGCCACGACTCCAACTCTGTAATGGATTCCTCGAGGGCATCCCTTAGACGCACGAATTTCAGCCTCTTTGACATGTTGAATATCGGATGCTTGTCGCACTCGGAGAGTTTCTGGATGGCATTCTCCAACTTGGTGCTGAGGACGAAAAGCATCCGCTGCTGGAGATCTTTGTAGTCATCGGCCATGGTACTCTCCAGCGTCTTGGTCACTTCCAGTTGGTTGGCGATCCGCCACCAGCACGCCTGAACCCGGACGAACAGCTCCTCCAGCTTATCGTTGGCATTGCGGTAGTCATTGCACGCCCGGACAAATGCATGTCCCCATCTTGTTCCCGAGGTCAATCTTTACCATGGGCACATACACGGGAGACTACTCAAACTTACTTTATACACACGTCGACAGTTCCCGCCAGGCCGGCGATTGAAAGAACAAGCTCGGCCATCTGAGAGCTGGAACTTGGAATTTTGGCCGGCCGGATTTCCAAACCCTGAACCCTCGGGCAAGCTTGGTATCGTGAGACGGAGGCTGTGGAGGCACAGCTGAGCCTGAAAGCGGTCGCTGCACTTCGTACAACCTTGTCATCAGCGCGTCAGCTCTCGCTTCTTTTCACGTTGCGGGGTCGGTAACAAGCAACATGCTTTTGTCCCGTTTGTGCTCGGGGTGCCAACTGCCGACCCGTCGTAGGGCATCCGAAGCGTCTTTTCAATCACGGCACAGCCAGAGCGGCCCATGCCGCCGTCGCCGCCGCCGCCGATTTTGATTTTGCTTCCCAAGTCGTCAGGAGTTGGGCCGACTCTCCCCCTGGCCTCAGCCCGTCGGCTGTGGTTGTGCGTAACGCCGCAACCACCGCCCATTTGATACCGTGGTATGTCTGCATATGCACTGCCACTCTGCGTTGGGTACGAAGTACACCCCGTCACGCACCCCCTGCCCATCAGCTGCCCTGTCTGTCAGGAAAAGGAGAGAGCGGGGAGGTCCATCTTGCCAGAGGCTCCACCACCTGGGAGACGCGGCAGATCACACCAACACCATGGAGCACTACCTGCCCGGCCATGTGCGGGACTACAAGCTGGACACGCAGTTCCGTCCGGATGGCGGAATTGTCCACTTTGTGCAGGATCCGCAAGCGCCTCCCCCATCGTCAAAGGTACGCGAGTGCTGGCAGCGGATGAGTCAGTCCATCGGTTCGGGCGGTCATGGCACGGTGTTTCTGGAGAAGTGTGTTTCCCCGGATGATCGATGCCACCTACAACGCGCAGTGAAGGTCATACGGCTCAGTGACGGCGGCGCGAGGCGACGTTGCGTCAACGAGCTCAGTACCACCATCAAATTCTCCCACGACAGAGTACGCTTTCCCACTGGGCCTAATATTTTCTCGCTGAGCACACACCTGGCCCGGCCCCAGGTTGGTATGTGAAGGCTGACCATGGTGACCAGTACTCTAGGCACTTCGTCAAGGCACTGGGATGGTTCGCGTCCAGGAGGCACCTATATATCGCAATGGAGCATCTCCCCGAGGGGGATCTGGAGACATATCTTGCCGGCAACCTGTTACTCGAAGATGACGCTCGCCAGATTGCCGTCCAGGTACTTCAAGGCTTGGCGGCTATGCATGGAGAAGGCTATGCACACCGCGACATAAAGCCCAAGGTAAGTCGAGTCCAGGAGCCTGCCGATCGTGCTTCCGTGTCTGAGGTCTGCCACAAGAATGTTCTGATTCAACAACGTCCAGGACCCATGGGAGCCAGTTCTTGGTGGGTCAAGCTTGCAGACTTTGATACGAGCAAGCAGCTCGGACTGTCTGCCGTGACAAGAAGCACAGCGCATTTCAGTTGGAATTACGTGGCGCCCGAAGTGCTATTCGATCAAGCAGGCCCCTCGAGTATCGACCACCCAGCGACAGACATGTGGGCCTTGGGCGTCATGACCTTCTACATGTTGACCAAGTCTCATTTGTTTCCCTGGCAGCAGAATCTGTCACAATACAGAAGAAGCCCAGACGAGATCTTTGGCAACAAACTAGACGAGTACCGAGTCGGGCGGGAAGGGCAAGAATTCATTCGCGCTTTGGTGAGGCTAGAGCCAGCTGAGCGACTGAACGCCAAAGAAGCAAGCCGTCATGAATGGGTGCGGGATGGGATTCCCCTCGAGCCACTAATCTCAGACGCCCGCAGCGAGTAAGTTGCGCGAGGATTCAACCAATGTGCTGAGCTGACGGCTGGCTGTCAAGATCTCCGGCCTCATCACTGTATCCGGAAAGTTCGATCGACGAGGAGAGAGGCATGACAACGGATGTCTCGCAAGAAACCGGTCCCCAGGGCGCGCCATCGACCTGGAGCGATCAGTTGTCGATGATTACGGCTCCAGAGCAAGCATACGTCGAGATACTCGGCAGACAGGGAATAATTCGACCAGCCGATACTGGCATGAACCTGCGGGTTGGGGCGGGTCAGTAACCCGGTTTTGGTGCCGCAAATGTTTCTCGTCGAGGCTTACAAGATACCAACAATAGTAAACACCATCGGCGCCTCTGTGAATGGCCACAAGCCGGTGTCAGAACCTGACATTCTCAACAATTCCGTCCCAAAGACACAGGCCCGCTATCACAGACTGGCAGCTAGAGGAAGCGAGTCCGGCGTTACAGTAGCACCTGGGCTTCGGATGGGGCCACAGGATGTGGCCATCCCGACGGAAAATGCCCCGCCGCCGGGCGATAACATGGGCACGCAAAGACCAAAAGCTGTACGACGGACCCAGTCTGCAAGTCCAAAGAGAGGCAAAGGTGAGGAACACGGTCATCCCAGGGTAACACGGGCGGAGGGTAAATTTCTTGGCAACGTCCATATCTATAGCTAATTGGCAAACAGACGCGAAGCCTAAATGGCGAGGCTGTTACCAGAGATATGGGGATGAAGGGGGAAGTTCTAGAGATAGTCTCTTGCACTGCTCTAGCCGAGCCCGTGGTATTAATGGCATCGACGCCCGCAAGCCCTGGCGCACCCGGTACGTCCTTCTGGGGGTCCTCGAAGCGGCAATTGAACAGTCTCTCTGACCGACCGTGGGATAGAGCGGACCAAATGACGCCGGAAATGGTTGCCACATTGCCTGTGGGAAGCTATTCCGACGGCGCCATTTCGGTTGAAGAATCACACGCAATCAGCCCTGTCCAGGAGCTAGCAAAGGGCGCACCCCAACCACGAGGCGCGAGTGACTCTGGTGATGACACAGCAATTCCAAAGACAAGGCAACAGACGCCCGAGGAACCGGATGCCGACTCGCTTCTGTATCCATTCCCACCCGGCTATGTGCCTCAATCACGAGGCAGGCCTGGGTGGCGCATACCCAGGCAACGGGTGACCGACACACAGGAAGCCAGACCGCTCCAGTATCCATTCCCACCGGGCTATGTCGCCCAGTCGCGGGGTCCCAACTACTCGTACGGTGGCTCAGCAACCTCACGGAAGAGGCAACGGACGCCCGACAGACAGGCCGCGGGGGGGAGGCGCAAAGTGAAGCCGCACCGACATACGCCCGAGAAACGGACGCCTGAGGAGGAACGAAAGCTGAAGGCAGGACAGACGTCCGAGGCGAAAGGGGCGCCCAGGGAGGAATCAACGCCCAAGGGGGAACGAAGCCCGGAAGGGGAGCAGACGCATGAGGTGGAATCAGCACATGGGGAGGAGCCAGCGCTGGAGGAGGGACGGACCCCAGAAGGGGGACGGATGCCGGAGGAGCAACGGACATGCCAGAAGGGACAGATGGCGCATGACGAGCCCGAGGAGGAGGACAAGACCAAGAAGGGGGGAGGGATCATCGCGGGAGGGATAATGATGTTCAAGCGCTGGCTATACGCGCCTGGGCGCGGCAAGGGAGGAGGAGCTCTGGTCTAGAAGGCCGCTGAGCGTAGATGATTTGCCCTGATGAAAGATTAGACTTGACGTCGCACTTTCTGCCGCCGCGTTATACGTGGGATGCGTGCGTTGGTACATTTCACGTCTGGTAGTATGCAGGGCTGCCTATCGAGCAGCGCAGGGGAATCGCAAGCTCATGGCCGGCCATCGTCGGGGCCAGTGGTGAAGCTTGAAATATTATGCCATGGGTGATATCGCCAGTGTCCTCTGCCCGTTCTTGAGGTTGTCATGATTGCACAAGTGAGACGCCGGTGCTAGCAGTGAGTCCCATGGGGCGGCCGACGGGACTTGCCCAGGGCAGGCACCAATTACAGCGGACGTACGAATTCCAGCGACCTGGGACCGACCTGTGGACCTCAGGCGCGCATTGCTTAGTGGAGGCACCACGCACTAAGGTAGCTCAAAGAATCACACACTCCATCCGAACCACCTCCAGACATCCACTTCCACGCCCGCCCTTCCGACACAGATTCTCGCCCGCCAAAGCCGAGCTATCTGAGCTCTCGAACAGGATAGCCAAGATAGCCCACGGCCCGGCCGGAACGAGCGCGCATCATGTCGCATAGTCAGTCACCCCCAAGCCCACACCTGCTGCCATCTGTGCTAACAAGGCGCGCGAACCAGGCAAACGAAACACGTCCCGCGCCGTCTTCACCTCGCACGAGCGCGAGCTCGCAAAGTCCAACTGGTCCACCAGCTCCGCCCGCCTCAACCGCGACTCCTTCCTGCCCTTCGGCTCGTGCGGCCTGTGCCTGGGCGTCGCGCGCGAGCCCGTCTCCTGCCCGCGCGGCGACATCTTTTGCCGCGAGTGCGCCCTCGCCAACCTGCTGACCCAGAAGAAGGAATTGAAGCGGGCCGAGAAGGCGCGGCGCGATGCCGAGCTCGAGGCCGAGAAGCAACGGGCCGCCGAGGACGACGAGGACCGGGAGCGCGCCGTACGCGACTTTGAGATGACGCAGGCCGGCCTCTCGACCGCCAGGAAGCAGAAGCAGGAACAGCCGCAGCAGCAGACCGCCGCAAATGGCACCGCGCCACAAGACGAGAGCTCGACTGCCGTGGTTCACGTGGGCTCCAAGCGAAAATTCGAGTTAGACCAAGACGAGCTGCAGCGCATTGTTAGAGAGGACAAGCTCAAGGCCAGAAAAGCTATCGAGGACGAAAAGGTAGTTCCCACCATCCAGCACTTTTCATACATATCCAGCTAATCGTCGCCTCCCAGGCCGCCAAACCTACGCTTCCATCCTTCTGGACGCCGTCTCTGACACCCGACGTGCACGACTCGAAGCTCCCCAACGCCAGCAAAAAGGACAAAGCCGTTCCGATATGCCCTTCCGCGCCCGACGACCTCCCGCACCCGATATCCCTTCACAAACTGATCACCGTCAACTTCAAGGAGGAAACAGATCCATCCACCAGGGACGAGCGGCGAATATGTCCCTCATGCCTCAAGGCGCTCTCCAACTCGTCCAACGCCGTCATGACGGAGCAGTGCGGCCACGTCCTCTGCATGAGCTGCGTCAAGAAGTTTCTCCTCCCGTCCAAGAAGGGCTCGAAGGCGGAGGACGACGAGTCGCCGATAATGTGCTACGTCTGCGACACACCCGTGACGGGCAAGGCGTCGAAGCACCGAGAATCTGGCCCCGCCCTCCCTCCGGGATTGATAGCCTTGAAATCAGAAGGAACTGGGTTCTCAGCCCGGGGCGCAAACGTGGTGGCGAAGCCCGGCGAGGCATTTCAATGTTGAGGGGCGTCGATGAGTGCCGGCGCCAACCAAGTACACGTGCTCGCGCAAAGCATGCCGCGAGCAGTTTAGATGGCATCTTGGCCAGAGGAGAATCATTTTCGCTGCAGCCGTCTCCGCAGATGAGGCTGCGAGAGGGCCCAGAGCCGGATGACCAGACGGTGCAGCAGGCCCTTGGTAAGCATCGTCAGGCCGTGGCTGAAGAAGCCCTTCAGCAGTTCGCCTTGCAGACCATCATACAGAGCCCTCAGCCCCTCCCGCTTTATGATTCTGAAGATGACTCCGATGACGGTCTTGTCGAGGAACTCCAGCAGTCGGCTCAAGAGAGATGGCTTCCGCTGCCCGCTTAGGCCCTTGTCCTTTTCTGAGGCCTCCTCGGCCGGCGTTTCGCTGGGCATCTGCAGCCTCGTCCTCCCGGTCTGGAACGGGTACGTGAGGGCAGTGGCAGCCGCCTTGCTAAAAGCAGCCAACAAGAAGGCAGCCCAGGCGATGGGGATGTCCTCCTCCTCGAGAGCCGGCAGTATGCGCTTGGCCAGCCTGCGGTTGACAAAGAAGGTGAGGCTCGGGTTGAGCGTCAGGACGAGCGTCGCCGAGTAACCGGACCACAGGCCGAGCAGGCCGCTCTCCCTGCGCATGTCGGCGAGCATCTCGCGCAGCGTCTCGCCGCCCGAGGACATTTGCATGCGCGTCACGACGCTCGAGATGGGCGTGGTGCAGGCCTTGGAGCACGCGCCGGCGAGCGACCCCATGAGCAGCTCCTGCACCACGCTGGGGTGGCGGTTCCGCCCGCGCAGGTAGCTGTAGAAGCCGAAGAAGAGGAAGCTGTCGACGACCGACTTGGCCACGTCGGGCCCCAGCCCGTTGTACAGCGCCGACACGCCGCCCTCGTTGCGCGCGATGCCCTTGAGCGCGTCCACCACGCCGTCGTACTGCTCCTGGTCGCGCAGCCGCCGCCGCTGCACTTTCAGCCGTGTCGTCACGAGGTCGAGCGGGAACACGGCCGCCGTCGAGATGGCCGTGCCGGCGGAGCCCGACACGGCGTGCCCGAGGGCGTCGAGCGCCGCGTTGGAGGGCATGGTCGCGGGTTCTCGTGGATTCGTGGAGCCTGCCTGCCGGCGTGCAAGCAGTGAGCTCTTGTAGCGGCTTAGCTCGATAGTAATCCGACTCGGGGGGGCTTGCAATGGCGATGAATCCTGTGTGAAGCTGCTGCGGTGTTTCTCCTGCTCGCGCAACTGAATGAATCAAGTGAATGCCCAATTGACAAGCCGACGAGTCCGCCCAGCTCGGCAGGCCGAGGTCGACGTTGGCGAAGTGGGTTCCACCGCCGCAGTGCATGTCGACGACGCTACGTCATGACCCGCCCAGGAACGCGATTCGCGCCCAGCCACGCACCCAGGCCCATCTCGTGCATGTGAAAGGCGCCGCACACCGCTGTACCACCACACGTGCACAGTACCTGTTCCACCATCGGACCAACGCTGTAGATAAACTGACGTGCGACTAGCCAACGCTCACGAGGAAGAAAGAAAAGAGCTGCATGATATTTTGGGTATTGAAGAAAAGGGGGACTCATACGCCCCTGACGTGCATTGTCCAAGCTACCATACCACGATGTGGTCACGATACCGAGTCAAACATCATAGTCTTCTCCCATAAACGCCGTTACCGCCGCCGCCGCCGCATGTTCCCTGGACCGTCCCATGCCCCACTGATCCCCAAGGAGCCCGCCGCCATAGAAATTCAATGCCCGCACCACTGAAAGAGCCCCCGAAGACGATAAAAACACATGGCCTTTCCTATCATGTGGCCCGCCTGCCCACCCGCCGCCGTAACGCCTCGCTGAGTTGTGTGTGTGCGCATTCTAGCCCAAGTCCGCCGACACATGCTGTAAACAAAGAGTTGAGAAATCAAAAGAAGGGGAAGCATCGGTCGGCCATCAGCCGCGACTAGTGACGGATGGGCGCCGCTGAGCTGCCGCGTTGGCGCCAAACGTTGCGGACCGCGCCGAGTTGGGGAAGGGCACGTTGCTGACCTCGACCTCGCCGGGCGCGTCCTCGCTGTCGAGCAGGCCCGGGTGTCCGTCCGCCAGTTTCTGTGCCCCGAAGCCCACGACTTGGAAGATGTTGGTGCGACCGCCGTTGGTGGCCATCTGCAGCTGCTCGTGCAGTCTCGCGAGCTGATATTGGCGCTTGATCGGGGTGAAGATCGGCTGCGGGACGAGGGGCTGCGGTTTCCAGTGCGCCAGTGCGCCCATCACCGCCGCCGTCTCCTCGTCCGAGTCGACGGGGCCGTTGTTGGCGTCGTCGTCGTCTTCCACAGGCGCATTCGCGTCCAGCGCCGCCTCTGCATAGGGGGTTAGTCGCGGGGCGTGGCGCCGTGCTTGGGGTGCCGACTTACTCTGCTGCTTCGCCTGATTCTTCTTTTGGTAGGCCGCGAGAAGCATGTCGTATGGTAGAGAGCGACCGGCGACTGCGCGCTTCGCTCCCATGGAGTGACTCTTGCATGTCAACGACCGAGCACAAGGCTGGCCATTGGGCAGAATGACACCGCATTGCCGCTCGACGTCGACAGGACCTGTGAAACGACGGTTAGGCCAGAAACGCAATCCACCCTGTCGCAACCAAATCTTACCTTTCGGCTTGGGGACCTTGGCCTTGGGCTCGTCCTTCTTCTTCTTGGCTTTAGGTCCCTTGTCGGGCTCGTTCTCAGCCTTGCGCTTCTTGCCTTTCTTGTCCTCCTCGGGCTTCTTCCCTGCAGCCTTTTTGCCACCCGTGCCGGGCTTCTTTTCGTCGTCGTCGCTGTCGTCTTCGCCCTTGCCGTCAGCGTTATCCGGGTCCGCCTTGCGCGCCTCTTCCTCCCTGGCCGCCTCCTTGGCACGCTCGCGCGCCTCGCGCGCCTCCTTCTTTCGTTGTGCCTTTTCCTTTTTGAGCTTCAGGCACTGCTCGATGTGCGCCTTGGCGGCCGTCTTGAGGATGCTCTTCTTGCAGTGCTTGCACTGCTGCAGGTCGGGGCTGTCCTCGAGCGGGCGGCCCGTCGCAAACGTCTCGCGCGCGGTGTCGTCTAGCTGATTCACTACGGGGCCGGGCGATGCAGCGGCCGAGGTGGACGGCGAGATTCCATTCTTTTTCTTCTCGTCTGCGGAACGTTGTTAGCCTCGAATGCGGGTAGGGGGCGCGTGGGTCTCGCGCGATGCGGTCGCGGCGCATACCTTCGACAACGCTACCATCTCTCCAGTTCCCCGGCTTGCTATGCTTGGGAGGCGGCTTCTTGAGCTTAATCGTGCCCGCCTTGCTCTCCTTTTTCGACGCGACCTTGATCGTCTGCTCGGATTCGGGCGCCATGCTGGGCTGATGTCGGGCGCGCTCACACGCGACCGGAGGTGGGGTTGCTCAGGTCGGAGGTCGTTTGGGGGGTCGCCACCGCTAGAACGAGTGCGCGGCAACGTGAGGCGAGATGCGCAGGGAGCCCCTGGCTTTGCGGAGATGGAAAGTCGTGATCTCAACGGGTTGGGTGGATGGATGGGAGTCGCAGTCCGGTCCGATGAACGACGCGCGCCAGACTGGTTACGGTGCACGTGCGGGGCGGCAACAAAGATAATCCGACCAGGCAACCCCGGATTCCGGCCCCACCGCTGAAGTGGACCCGCCCCCAGTGACCCAGCGGCGCCGGGGGTTGGAATTTGGTACTGGACCAGTCCAACGGTGCCCAGCATGCTCCCAAGTTCTCAGCCAGTCCGCACACATCAAACCAAAGAACTTATATGCAAAAGAACTTGTATGCAAATGCCTTTTTGTCACAATGCAAATACAAAAAGCCTTGGCTCATTATAGTTCATATACTCGTTAACCGTCTACCGTGTATCGTGTCTTCGCTAGCAAGGGGTATATTCGCAAACGCCTCAATTCTTGCCCTGGGTCTCATTCTGCTGTCTCTCCTCCCACAGCCTGTAGATTCGGTCTCTGATGGCCATGTGGCCCAATGTTCGCTGCCAGAGCTGTCAGCGAAATTGAAACAGGGAGCGGCGTGGTATAATGTCAAATTGGACGATTACTCACCGGATGGAAAGTCTTGCCGTAGTACGTAGGCACGTACCACATGGAATTCTCGGCCACCATATCACCATGTCGAGTTTTCAACGTCGGGTCCTCCTTCGCTGCCATCGCCATCATGCAAAGCGCGAGCTCGCCCCAGTCTCCAGATTTCTCGGCGGGCCCCAAGCAGAGCTCAGGGTCGATGAGTGGCGACGACGGGCTGAGCAGCACGGCGTGCGCAGAGGCGGCGTTCAGCGCGGCGGACTGATTTGTCGCCGAGTTGTCTTGACCTCCGACGAGGAAGAACCACGTTTCGTTTCTGCCGTAGTCTGGCTCGGTAGTGTTGCGCTCACAGAACCGATGCCCCTCAAACGCGTCATCGTAGTCGACAAATGTGACGCGCGGCTTCGTGAAGCCAGCGTTGATGGCGTCGACGGAACGTCGTATCTTGTCGTTGACACGCAGTACCATGCGGTTCATCCTCTGACGGAGGTCGCGCTTCAACTTTGGCCCGCGCCACCACACACCAAACGACGACTCGTCGCACTCGTTGGTATCTGCGTTGAAGAAACGAGCGTACCCGGTTACGAAAATGCTGAACCACGGGTTCTTTTCCCACTTTACGCGATCGAGAATCTCCATGATGGCAAGCCGCAGGCCGTGCTCGAACTCGGGGCCGGTAAGGGCTTCTTCGGAGCGACGCAGTGCCTCGTCGCAAGTGCCGGAGTAGAAGCTGTAGAAGCGGAAGATGCAGCTGTTCATGATGTCAAAGAAGCCAAGGTCGTTGCCGCCGATGGATAGCAGGGCGAAGTCGGCGGGCAGAGACGTATTGAAGGCATCTATCTGGCTGTTGGGGGCGCCAGACAACATGTCTTCGATGGTGGACCCTGTGCAAGACAGGAACTGGAGAGCTGGCGGCGCCGCATCATGGCCACGGGTAGTGGTGTTGAGATCAGCCTGGATGAGCCTGGGGTGGGCATGGAGCCCACGGCGGCATTCGTCTTCGGTGCCGTTGAGGCCGGTCCCTATGCCGGCCGAGTAGGAGTCTCCGAGGGCGACAAAGCCGGCCACGGGGCGGGAGGGGCGATGCGGAAATGCGATTTCGCCGTGACTTGCCGGATCTGCCGTTGCTGCTAGTGATGGCATGTCAGTTCAGCCGTGTGGCTTTGAGGTTGGTGCTATGTCATGGACTCATGCGGGCATGCGCCGACATCATTTAACGGGAAGCAGTTGCAACCTACATTGAGGTCGAGTCCGGAAGACGTGCTGCTCCTCAGGCTCGTGTAGCCACTGCCAGGGTCGCGCCGTGAGACTGGGCGGCCGCAGAAATGCCGCCGCCGCCAGAGTTGACGAGGTCAACAAGCTGGGCAATAACCGCATGGTCCTGTCGCGTCAAAGGCCCGGGATTTTGTTGAGTCGAGGCCGAGCGCGACTGCAGCGGCCGTTGAGGACAATGAGGAGTCAAGACGGTTGTGGATCAGCGACGGTGCGCAGGGCCTCCGCCGTCGAGGCCATGCGCATTTAACAAATTCAAGGGTCTGCGTCGTCCCCCGCGTTCTCACGCATGCAGCTAGATGGTTGTAGAGTGCGCATGTGAGTCTGAAGTGAGGATGTGGTGGTCGCGGGCTCGGGCCAGTGGGAGCCTCCCACGGCGCCGCGTGTCGGAGCGATGCGTGGCTGTGGGTTTTCGCCGATCGCGGTCAGGCAGCACCTGATGGTCGAGTCTCCGGGAGGCCTGGACCCCGGCGCCGACGCGGTGCGGGTTTGGGCGGGCCTAATAAGTTCAGTGCTTGATGGGTCCGTGGTTGGGAGGGTTACAGCTTACATAGATGACGCGTAAAGGGTAGGTACCTAGATTTTACCGGGCCATGATGTTTGTCCGAGTGCATGTCACGAGCACCTTCACACTCTCGGTGGGTTCAGCCCTAGATACGAACAGCTTGTTGGGGCAGTCGCCGTCGACTCGACGTTCCTGCCTTGCATGACCCAACTGCCAACAGGGTTCGTGGTACGAAGTACGTAGCACTGACCTTGCATTGTTCGTCGGCCTCTCCACCTTATTACCCTGAGCCAGTACTTTGGCAGCTCAAATCCGCAATCAGCAGACACTCGCACGCTCCAGGCTTCGACGTTGCAACTGAATGCCAGAGTTAACCCAGGCATTTGCAGTGGGCCCCACCGTGCAGAACCGCCGCCCCAGCCGGCGTGGCTCCCGGCAGGCGGCCGATCACGTCAGTCCCTTTTATTCTTCTTAGCGAGATCCATGCCGCCTGCAAGCATGGATGCCCTGGAACGTGCCCCAAGTCACTGGGGCAGTCAGCCTGCCGCCAGCGAGGGCCGGCGCGCGAGCGAGGTGGTGACGTCAAGGCCCCGAACCAGACCTGCGCACAACTGCCATGCCCTCGATCCCGGCCTCATCTTCAGCCGCGATCACCTAAGTTCGTCGCACTTTATTAGTGACTGTAGTACCAGCGTCACCGTAGCAAGCCGACATCCCACACAGCCTGTGTTCACATCCACCAGCGCCGCCACAGCGGCAGCAGCAGCAGCAGCAGCAGCAGCAGCCAGCCAGCCCGCCGTCTCCAGTTCCCAGCTCCTCCAGCTCCTCTCCTCCATTCCCCCCTCCGCCAACCCACATATCCCCCTCCACATCCCCCAACCTAAGCAACCCTTCCCGCCGACCCGCGCACCAACGGCCCCCCCGCCAGCCAGCCAGCCGACTTGGCGCAGCGAGCCCACAGTCAACGTCATATGCAGCCCCGGCCTTGGCCCGCCCTGCCAACACCTGCCGCCGCCGCCGCCGCCGCTGTCCGTCATCCGCGATCGATCCCGGCCGCCCGTCACCGTCGCAGGAACCTTGTCATTGTCAATGTCCCCTCCTCTGGTCCCCTCTGCTAAGTTAGCCTTTCCTTCCAAGGAGCCCGCAATGCCACCCACGCCACGTTAACAGACGTGCCACGCAAATGGATGATCCGGATGTGCAGCCAGCTGGATGGCCAGTTAGTCCCCCTTCCTCTCCAGGGCAGGGCAGCAGATCCCCCAAACCGTTGCGCCTCCCCCCCTCCATCTCGCGCCCCAAACGACGTCAGAGCCAGCTCTCCATCGCTCCCTCGCTCGGAATCCGTAGCCGTGATTATTAAAGCCCCGTCGTCCCGTCTTGTTTCAGCTGCTCGTTCCATGATTCTCATGTGAATTTGTGCACCACGCCAAAATCAACTGCGACTGCTCCCCATCATCACTTATACCCGCAGTCCACCCCGTCCGTGACAGCATCAACTACAAGCCCCACCGTAGCAAAGAATCCCGCCCGCCCCGTCCAAGCCGCCATGGAGACCATTAGCAACATGGCCACGCAGGCCGCCAAGGCCGTCTGGGGCGACAGTGCAGAGCACAAGGAGCCCTTGTCTGGCGCCCAGGGCGACGTTTCCCACGGCGAGCCCTACGATGCCGGGAACCTGGGTATGGGCCCCCGCCTCGCCCGCGTCCTTATATCTCCCTCGCTAACCCCCGGTGTTAGGAAACTCGGAGCAGCAAAAGCTCGAGCGAAAGCTGAGCGGCGAAGACGAATCCGCGCCCTCCAAGCTCACCGACGACACCAACAAGGGCACGACTACCGACACAGCCGCCGGCGGCACCACCATCACCTCGTCCTCCTCCTCCTCTGACCCCATCTCCTCCTCCACCGACTCCAAGGCCACCGACTCCAACAAAGCCAGCGGCTCCAGCTCCAAGCCCACCGACATCGAGGCCTCGACCGGCAAGCCCTCCGAGGTCGGCTCCAGCGCCGCCGAGGAAGGCGACCCCAACACGCACGTCATGGGCGACGGGCCCAAGCCCCTCGAGACGGTCGCCCGGGAACACGGCGGCGACGCGGGCAACATTGGCACGACTGCCGACTCGTCCTCGTCGTCCAACAAGAAGCCCGGCGAGGAGGGCGGCGAGGGAGACAAGCACGACGGCGGCGAGAGCAAGGGCACCGGCGAGGAGTACGTCAAGACGACGGGCTTCGCCGCCGACGGAGGCGACTTTGACGCGACCAAGCCCGGCGCCGGGCGGGAAGCAGACCGTGAGTAACTCCCTTGTCCGTCGCAGCGCCCTTACCTTAATCCCCCTCCACCACCACCTTACCCAAACCTACCCTCCCTGACGTATTGCCGACCCATGCTCCTCCCCCGCAACGGCGGCCCGCACACCCGCACTCCCGGATGAAGACAATGAGAGCTCAAACTGACGTGCGCTTCCACAATTTAGGCCTCCTGGAAGAAAAGGGCGTGCACCACGACACTCCCGGCAAGAAGGACTCGTCGCCCTCAAGCGGCGGCAACAAGGACGACCACCACCACCACAGCAAGGACAAGCCCAGCCTAGGGGAGCGCATCAAGAACAAGCTGCACCGGCATAAGGAGTGAGGCTGTTGGGGGCAGAGTGCGTCCTTTTGTGTCATTGCATGGTTTCTTGCCTAACCCTCCGTTACCCTCTGGTGATGCCCACGTTCACTCTATGCGTGGCTCCCGCGCCGTTGATGCTATGGTGTTGTAGGACGGAGCATCAGTTGGTTCCGCACCGGGGACGGGTCGATCGATCAAGTCATTTTTGTACTATACCTAAGCTGCAAATCTTTTCTTCCTGTATTTCCTCCCATTTCCTCGTCCATCACCCATTTGACATGTCCAGTCTCATACGCGTGCGCCTGCCACCCAGCGTCATTTCGACAACGGCAGGATCCCATGCCGCTCATACCCCAATCAACGAAACAAAAAGAGATTGAAACGAAACGAACAGAGGCAAACCAGCCGGGGACCGGGAACCGCGCGTTTCGGTACCGAAAGCCTGCGACCGTCAAGGGGGGCGGCCGCCCGCTACCAAAGTTCTCCACGCCCAGATTAGGCATGACAGCTCGGCCGAGTGGCACGCACGACGCCACGCTCACGATGATGACAGGGGTCGTTCGTCTGGGGGTCCCGACCGATAATATTGCCGCATCGTGTTCCGGTGTGCACCACAATCTCTTGCCCCGGCCCTCGCGTGGGAAGAGGGCTGCAGGGCACCCCCATCGTGTCCAGATGCACCAGGCGGGCGGGCCAGCTTGGCATCCGCCTCGTGTGCTGCGTACGTACAATTTCCTCACGCGACAGGCGACGCGGGCCACTTCATCTCAGGACCAATGTCATGTACCAAGTTCGCAAGCTATTTGCAAGGGAAGCGCCCGCGTTATGTACAAAGAGGTGTCGGCCGCATCGACCAGCCGGCGACGGCCAGCCACCCAGACACCAGTGAAAAGTGAAGAGAAAACAAGGAATCGGCGGGCCGCCCTGTGGTATCCGCCAGAGCGCGCCGTCCGGCTGAAGATGCTTGACGCTATCCGGGACCCACGCCGTCTGTCAGGCGTGTGCAGTTGGCTTTCCAGTCGTTATGCCGTCTCAATTATCGTAACCCATCCATCATCACATCTGTGCCCAAATCGCCGCCGCAGATCCAAGAATATATTCCTTGCGCGCTCCCACATAATGAGGCAGCACCGTGCACCCCAACAAGCCCTCGCCCCCAGGGGCCTTGGCAACTGCCATGCCTGCTTGCCCTGCGCAGGCTCACCACCGTGCGAGCCAATGCCTCGACCAGCAAAAGCGTGCCGCGTCAACTTCCGCAAGCGAACGTATGAGCGCCCACCATAGAGTCTTGGCTTGACGTCCTTGGGCGAGCGGTAATGCGCGGCTCGCGTTGGGCGTGGGACCAGGATGGCGAGGCGATTGTCCAATCCCACGGTTGACGCCACCGAGACGCCAATGTCCAGTCTCGGAAGGTTGTAAAACCCTGGGCCCCCACACCTCCCGATGGCTCGTACCACACCACGCGCAAAGGCCTTCCATTTCGCGACGAGCCTTCGACTCTGGACCACAGATCGGCTGGTCCCAGGAAGGCCTCAGTTGGAGGTGGCTCTTCGCCTGGCCATCGACTGCCCTTCATTCGTCTGATGCCGCGAGGATGTGGGTTGCGCATGTGGCAGCTGCAAGCCACCCGTCGACTTCGATGCATTGGTTGGCCTCGCTAACCCAGCTTATCGCGTCTCGTGGCTGGCGACACATGGCTCCAGGAACGACGGTCGCAGTGGCTAGTTGTAAGACGGCTTAGAGGAAGCCCGATTCGGCCAACACCCTGTAACGCGAGACGCAAGAGTAAGCAAATGGAGCAGTTTTGGGGGTGAGGAACGGGTGGCTGCATGATGCGCAATTTCGTTTGCGCCGTCACCATCCAGTCGGATGGGACGGCGCCCTTCAATGCATGACGCCGTACAGCGCGGCATGATCCCGCAACGCTACGTACCTCACAATCTTCTCGTCCTCACGCTCTCGCGGTTCAATCGTAAGACTCTTGTCGTACATCTCGTGAACATCCCCCGCGGCTTGCATGTTGCTCAGAATGTAATCCTGCAGCTCCGGGACAGGCTGCAGGGAATACCCCACGTTCTGGTACTGCTGGATGTCCCGGATGACTTCCGCAGTCTTTGCCCGCTTGGCAAAGTTAATCATGTTAGTCTTCTTGATGATCGAGGGTATGCCGTCCTCGATGAACGTGAGATCCGTCAGATATACGCCTGTTCCGCCGGTCAGTAACTTGCAAGCGGGCCCGAAGAAGCTTTGATATCAGTGCGTACCGAAAAAGGGAATACACGGCGGATTCGCGGCGTGTAGCGCCTCACGATACTCGCCAAAGTTCTTGGTGCTGGCCATCAGCCGGCGCATCGTTTCCAGCACGCCTTGCGTCCGCTGTGGGACCTGGTCCCAGGTGCGCTTCAGCCGAGCTATCGGCGCGGTGCCAAGCGCGGAGATGATCGACGTCAACGTCGAAAAGTTGTTGAGTCCTCGGCATTTCTGGAGAACTGTCAGCTTTCTCTTCGCTTTCTCCCTGTGAGAACAACGGCAAACGGTAGGGACTTACATCGGCGACTGAAACAAAGTGCTTGATCACCACCACGCGCTTCTTGACGTCCTGCTGGGCAAGGATCATCTCCGCGACCCAGTTGGTCATCTGGTTCGAATGCAAGATCAATGCCTTGACATTGGGGGCTGCGTCAGGCTCGCCCTCGCCGACCTTCTTCTGCCACGTCTTGTTCAGGCACTCGGCGGCCTTGATCTTGCCGTACAGCCTAGACTCGATGATGGTGAGCTGTCGCGCAAACTCGGTAACGTCGATGTCGAGGAACTTGAGCTTCTTCATGTTCTTTGGCACAATCGGCGACGGCGTGCTCTGGTTCAGCGTCTGGATCATCCGACGGGCCCCCACCTCCTTTCCACTCAGCCTCTGGTCGAGCACTGCCATCAAAGGACCGGAGCCCGGCGTCTCAGTCGACTTGACCGTGTCCCTGGCAAAGGTGTACACGTCACGGATCAGCTGCTTCGACTCCTCGTTGTGCTCCTCCATCCAGAAATTGTCAAGCCAGCTCTTTAGGATGTTGACAACTCGGAATCTGATCGGCTTCTGCTTGCGGTCCCTCCAAGCCTCATAGTCTTGCTGGGTGATGCCTTCTGGTGGCTGTATACCGAAACGCTTGACAAGCAGCTCGAAAAGCTCTCGTGCTGAGGTGAAAGACCTGTACGTGAGGAGGAAAGTGTTGTTGAGATTCGGATCCAGCTTGTCGTGCCGCGTGAGCTGCTCGACAAGAGCTGGGAGAGATCCACCCTTGACGGTGGGCGGCGTGGTCTTGTTGTCCCAGGACACATCGTCTTCGTAATCGAGGCGCATGTAGACTGGCGTATCGTCGTTGACGGCCGTCTGCGGTGAAGGGTCCTCCCCAAATATCTTCTTCACCTTGGAATAGTCGCCCTTTCTGAAATTGCCCGGCGGCGGCTCGCCCTCGCTGAACGATTGGGCCGTGATCAAGGGGGGCCGCATGCCGGCAGTTCTCGAGTCCGAGCGCTGATGGGGCCGATCGTACGGCATTGTCTCCACCCGCTGCAGCTGCCGCGGGCCCTGGTCTCCCCTGAAGCGGGGGTCGGCTTGCGGTTGCTGCGATTGAATGTTGATCTGGACCTGTTCCGAGAGCAGCTGCAGCGAGAAGCCGATGTGTGATGAATTGGTCTCGAGCGCTCGCGCGCATTGGCGCACGTACTCGAGGCGGTTCTCGAGCGCCTCTCCTCGCACTTCGCTCCACTCGTCTGCCAAGGGCCCCGCAACAGCCTGGCAGCCAAGCAGCAGGTCGGAGATGTTGTCGTACAGGCTCTGCTTGTTGGTGCTGAAGTCGGCGAGCTGGGGCGTCTGAAAGCTGTCACCGAGGGAGGAGAGGTCGATGGATTCGATCATGGCGATCCACGGCCTGAACCTGTCTACCACTTTGCCGCCGGCGGAGCAGACATTGTTTCCAATGACTTCATGCCGGTATGGCGTGATGATGTTCTCCGGCGTAACGAGGCTCTTGTCGAGCTCCCTAATGCTCGACACGAGGATTCGCTTCTGCTCATCCAGTCTCTCGAGGAGCTTGCCGTCGAGAATAGCAGTAGGTTCCACCGCCCCTTCGTCGTCGTCCAAGAAGTTGGAGGCAATGGGGTCTCGCGGTCCTAGCCCGTTGTTCTGCCAGTTCCCGCCGGCATTGCTTCCAATGACAAATCCGGGGAATAATCTCGGGATCTCCTCGCCCCGCTGCTGTCTCGCGACGTCCACGTAGCTGAAGACGCCAAGCAGGACGCCGTCAGCCTCTTGTAGGCACTTTTGTACGGATTCTGCGTTGGGCCAATCGGCAGCGGCGATGTGTGAGGAAATAACGAGTTTGGAGAATTTGGACATCATGTCGCGGAAGTGAGGATACAGGGCCTTGTTTGTTGAGATGATGGAGGGCTGGCCGGAGTGGTTGTCCGTGGTGCCCGAGCCGGCAGCGAGCAGTAGGCGGAGATGATCCGATATGTCCTCGGCCCTAGCGACGTACTCGGAGCGGCTGTTGTTCGTAATTGCCTCCCGGTAGCGGTCGATGGCGCGCTTCATGTTGGATACTAGCAGGCCCCAAGTGAGCGGAGGAGTGGAGCCGTCGTCGAAGAAGGACCGCGGGACGGTCGCGGTGGTGGGGAGGTTGTACGTGGTGCTGATGAAGGAGGTGGCCGAGACCATGTTGGGAGGCTCTCTAGTCCCTGCCTTGCCGTTGGCCATGCCGTCGGTGCGCTTGCGTCGGGCCGGCGATGCGCCGTTCATGGAATCCATCGAGGTCGAGGGGGAGAGGACGCCGCTGAACGATGTGCGATTCCGAGCCTGGGAAGGGGCGGAACGGTTAGTGGTGGACGCGCTTCGGGTAGCCGCATGAACGGGCGCAGGGGCTGGGGGCATTACCAGGTAACCTCTCGAAGCAAGCAGCATGGATTCTGCTTCGGCTTCGGAGGCAGACGTCGCCGAATCGTCGTCTTCGTCCTGCATCAGGCCTCTTGCCATCATCTCGGGAGGAGGGCGGGTCTTGTCAGGCATGGTGACGTTCATGCGGTCCCGAGGACCGGTTTCGGTGGCGGAGACGGGGGACTCGAGCGGGAGCTCCATGCTGCGGTCACCCGTCATCATGTTGTAGTAGAAGAGTCGGCCGTCTGGGGTGGCCTGGGGGATCCAGAAATCGGCCCGCGACTTGTCGGCCATGTCGATGCCCTCGAGGGGCAGGCCATTGGAGCCGTCCGCTTCGGACTCGTCGTCGTGCTCGAAACTGTCGTCGTACACGTCCTGCTCCTCGGCGTCGTCGTCGAGGTGGTCGATGTGGCCATTATGGCCTTGTTCGGGGAGGTCGTCGAGGCCGGCGATGATCTGACAGTAATTGCTGGGAAACCAGCCACGGACACCGTTGATGACACCATCCCACCAGCCGCTCTCAAGCTGGGTGATGACCTGGATGACGTCGCCTTCGTGGAAACTCAAGCTGGTCCTGTCGTCGGCCTCGTAGTCGTAAAGAGCGCGGACATACATGTGGCCGGCGGGCGCAGAGCCCACGACGCCGTCCATGGCGAAGTGAGGGGACGGACGCGGCGGGCGGCTCAGGGGAGGGTTGCAACGGCGGCCACGGGAAGCGCTCGACGCGGCGGGCGGCAAAAAGTGCAGCGAGGGACTGCCCGGCGATGGAGCTCAACGATGCAGGTCGAGTTGGGGATGCTGGAAAGAAAGGCGGCTGTCGCGCGGTTCAGGGGGGGCAACGGCGACAGAAGGCCACCTCAGGACATTGCAGGTCCACGAGTCAGCCGGTGTCGCGAGCCGTCGGCGGCGGACAGAGAATTGACGAGTGCGGAGAGCATGCCACGCGTGGCCACGGAGCGAGTAAAGCCTACGAACTCGTCGGGCGGCTGGAGGGGTGAGGTGAGGCGAGGCGGATCGCGACGGGGGGGCCGGCTCGAAGCAGCGGCGGGCGAGGTTGCGGGAGGTGAGGTGAGGCTGCGTCTGTGCAGGACAGGAGCCGGCGCGATAGGGCGGGCAGGACGAGAGAGGTGTGTGTGTGCGTGTGAGTGCGAGTGTGTGCGTGTGTGCGGGAGCGTGCGTGTGTGTGGGCGCGCGAGTCCGTCTCGACTGTCTGTGTGGGAGAAAGAGGGGCCGCCGAGCGACGACGACGGGACCAAAGGACGCGCGCGGGCGGGCTGCCAACCTGGAATTGGAAGCCTCTCAACAACCTTGGAACCCAGCCAGCAGCGCCGGGGCGGGGAGGGCGGGCAGACAGTGAAGTGAACCAGCGTCCATCCGCCCAGTGAGGTGCCCGGTGCTCGGGCGGGCAAGCGGGCTCCATGCCCCTCTGGCAGTGACTGGCACGCTGGACGGGCGGCCGGGATAGTGGGCGCCTGCGAATGGCAGCGACGGAGGGACAGCAAGCACCTGGACCTAGCGGCGGGGGGCGGCGGGGGGCTCCACCGCTAGCTGGACGGGGTCAGCATCAGGCAACTCACCGTTACCTGCAGCGGTGCGGCCCCGGCCCGCGGTGGGCAGGTACCGCCAAGTACCGCAGCTGCTGGCCCCGGACGCCGACTCGGGGGGCCTCTGGCGAACGAGAGCGACGGGCGGATCTCCAGCCTGCTAGTGTTAGTGGTTAAGTTGTGCCACCAGGCGGGATAGGGGCTCGGGGCGGTTCACGACTCGGTGGCACGGAATGGTCGTCTCCCGTCTCCGTTTTGGCAAGATGGCGACGACACACAGCGACAAGGCTTTCGCACTGGAAGTCGCTGCAAACCCGAAGTGTGCCCATTCGCGCATGGCCCCTGTGATTCCCTCTTCATGCGGGCGGGCGGGCGGGCGAACCTCCACCGCTTGTCAAAGGATTGCAGGTCGCGCCTTTGTGACGGCGGAGCGGATGAATGAGGAGGCACGCCCAGACTCTGCAACTTAGTACCAGCAGCCCCTGCAAGCCTCCATCGAGGAACATTGATGCAAAAACGGGGATCAAAGGACCTCGGTGGCCATGTCCATACATTCAATGACAGGGCCCCTGGCCACTCTCGTCTGACCCTCGCCAGCCACCATAAGGGACAGATGTTTGGACATAACCTGGACCCTGGGGACGGGCCGACTGCAACACCTGCGAGCAGACAGGACATCCACGGGCTGTTCGTACGCCGAGCTGGCTGCTGTTTCGTATGTACACGGAATTGCGCGTCTCACGGTGCAAGGTACGCACGTAGTACCAACTGCGTAACTTAGCTGCTTCGTATCATGTATTATGTATCTGGACGCCGACCTGTGAGAGTGCCGCCTCCAAAAGCCCAAGGACTGACACGGGCGCATCTGGCACACCCAGACCCCCGACCGACGATCAACCCATTTCACCACCCACGGGACAAGTGCTTGGTACGGCGATTCCTCCCAGGCCGTCACGTGCGACAGACCCGAAGCGGTTCGCGGTCCTTTCGTCGAGCGCCTGACCGCGGCAGGCGCAACCACCACACTCCCTCCTCAGTGCCAATCCCAAGTCGACCAACTCCAACACCATCACCGGCAACAGCAACCACCAGCACCACCACCGTGGCATGCGTGGCCACTCACGAGCGAACGCCCGTCGTCACGGGAGGGCGATGATCCTGCATGGCGGGACGGGACGAGACGGGACGGCAGGATTTGCGCAGATGGGCCGATTCATGCCCGCCTCGTGCGAGTCGTGCCATCCACCAGCCATGGGGCGCGGCTAACCATCCGCGCTGAACTCGCCTTTGTGCCACGAGCCCACGACACCATCGCATCGGCCGCGAGACGCCTGTGCCTGCGCCTGTGTCGTCTTGCCGCAGCTGGCGCCGGCGCACATGTCGTGCCCGCGTCGCCTCGTGTCATGCTGTGGCGGGCCGAGGCGAGGCTACGCGCAGCTGCCCCCTGCGTCCTCCCTTCCACAGCCACCCCGGACGACCAAATCGGACTGGGCAGCATGTGTTTTTCTAGGTGCGCTAGAGGCCAAGCCTCGAATCGATACAGACACCAAGCGCAGTCGTTCCAAATTCGTGTCGACGCCAGCAATGCCAAGGTGCTCGCTCACATCGACAGCGGCAAGCCACACACGGCACACAAACCACGTGGCAGCAGCACCATGGCGTTGCACCAGCCAGCCGGATCGATCCGCCGGTGAAGACTGCGTGTGCGTATAAACGAGACGATTCACCAAACTCAAGACATACAAAGTAAGGTACAAGCCCTGTCAAGGCAACGCCACTTCTCGGCCCATTCAACGTCAACATCATTGACATTGTATGTCAAACTAACTCGCCGCGTCAGCGTTCATCGTCGACAACAAAAACTACTTGGTAATTAAGTTACTTATGAACAGAAATGTATTCATTTGCAACCGTCGTTTCAGTCTCCCATCTCCCGCTTTCACATCGGCCTCATCCCACAGGAAGAAGCTCTCTCATGGCCGCATCAAGCACCGGCGGAACAGGAACCCGCCGAGCTTCTCAATGATGAAGCTTCTTGCACCCGTGGGACCTGTCGTCCCAGCCCTTGCCCCACGGGCACTTGCACTGCTTGGTTTTGTCGTCGAACTCCTTGTCCTTGTCCTTGCAGACACACTTGCCGCGCTTCCAGTCGAAGTCGGCGTCGCGGCCGCAGTCCTTGACGCACCTGTGACCATCCCACTTCTTGCCATCGGGGCACTTGCAGACCTTGTGCTTCCAATCGAACTCCTTGTCCTTATCCTTGCAGACGCACTTATTCTTGCGGTCGTCCCAGTCGGCGTCGCGGCCACAGTCCTTGACGCACTTATGACCATCCCACTTCTTGTCGTCGGGGCACTTGCATTCCTTGCGCCTCCAATCGAACTCCTTGCCCTTATCCTTGCAGACACACTTATTCTTGCGGTCATCCCAGTCGGCATCGCGGCCACAGTCCTTGACGCACTTATGGCCGTTCCACTTCTTGTCGTCGGGGCACTTGCAGGTCTTGTGCTTGGGGTCGAACTCCTTGCCGCGGTCGTTGCACTCGCACTTCCTGTCGTGGTCGTCCCAATGGGCATCGCGGCCACAATCCTTGACGCACCTATGACCATCCCACTTCTTGTCGTCGGGGCATTTGCATTCCTTGCGCTTCCAATCGAACTCCTTGCCCTTGTCCTTGCAAACGCACTTCTTCTGGCGGTCGTCCCAGTCTGCATCGCGACCGCAGTCGAAAACACATTTGTGGCCATCCCACTTCTTATGGTCGGGGCACTTGCATTCCTTATGCTTGGGGTCGAACTCCTTGCCGCGATCGTTGCATTCGCACCTCTTGTCGTGGTCGTCCCAATGGGCATCCCTGCCACAGTCGGGGACGCAATGGTGGCCATCCCACTTCTTGCCGTCGCGACAGTTGCAGCACCTGGTCTTGTCGTCCCAGTCCTTGTCCTTGTCCTTGCAGACGCACTTCTTCCACCAGTCGTTCCAGTCGGCGTCGCGGCCACAATCGTGGTGGTCGTGGTTGTCGGTGCGGACGTCGAGGTCGGCGTCGGCATCCCGCCCCACGATGTCGGCAGTGTCGCCGTGGGGGTTGGGCATGGCCGAGACCGACCCGAGGGCCAAGAAGGCGGTCACGAGTACCTGCTTGAGAAGCATGATGGGCAAAGCTGCTCAGTAGCGAGAGACTTATGCTTCAAGTAGTGACAGAAATCTTTGACAGAACGAAGGTTGCTATATCAGCCTTGACCGATGTTTGAGAAGGAGACCGAGGCTGGCTGAGGAGAGTCTTCTCTTGATTTTCACGACGGAGTGCGGCAGTCGACTTTATAGACAAAACATGCGCCGATGGTAGTCTCCCGACCTCTTTGCAGCCACTAGTAGCGCCGTGAGGCTTCACGTAGCTTGGCCGTTGCCGTTGGCCTCGAAATGGACCCCAGATACCGCCAAGACAGATGGACAAGTCCCAGACTCTCAACTTGCATAGCTTGCCCCTGTTGCCGGCGCCCCAATATGCTTTTGGCTTGCAGGCCAACGCACCGGAACACGAGCTCGGATCAGCCTCATTATTGCCAGCTGGGGCCGAGATTCCATAGGGCCCCCCGGTTGAGATCGTCCCCGGCTGGAGCTTCCCTCCCGTTCGGCTTCACTCTATGCCGTCGGGTGATCATGAGATGAGGTGCGGCGGCCTGGATCGGGCTGGCATCGGAAGATTCCTTTTTGGCGAGGTCGGTCAGCACATGCGGCCATGATTGGACGTGAGGCACGGTGTAGCTGAGGGGAGGAGGCGTTTGGGGTGGTTGTGGTTGAAGCCAAGCCCGACAACATATCACACAGATACACGGACACACACACACAAACATACGCAGAGGCGCACGGCAGGCCGACTTGGCAGTGGCAGGGGGCGCAGGGCGGGCTGGATGAGCGGGCAAGCATTGGGCTCGACGAAACGACGTGCCGACGGCGGCGGCGGCCGGTCGACCGACGATCCGGGGCTGAAGACCGGGGGGGTTGGTGACGGTGGTGGTGGTGGTGGTCGTTGAGAGGATGGTGGCGAGGGTTTAAAGGTTAAAGCCATGCATACATGCATGCAATGGGCTTCACGCACGCGGGACGGAACCATACCGCAGCTGGACATGGCTTGTGGTCATGAGCGGGAGAGGTAACTCGATCGCAGGAGGCTGGAGGCTTGCCCCTGGCGCTGAGTGGTCCGCCAAGCGGCAGCGTCTCGTTCCGCGTAAATACGAGGAACGCTTTTAAGGTTCCGTAGCTTGAGCTCGAGGGCCGAGAGCAAGCAGGTCCGGAGACGATGATCTTGAGCCTTGGTGGTGGTTAAAGTCCCAAACCGGGCTGACAATATGCGAACCGCCCAACAGCCAGGAACAACGGCAGCCAACCAACAGCATCACCGACACCGCCTCAGAACAATGCTCTATACCCCTGAGAATTAAGAATTAGCTCAACGCAGGTCTCAAATACTCTTGCAAGCCAAGAGCATGAAAATAGGATGCCAAAGGGTGGTGCGGCAGTTGGGAGCCATTGAGGGACGAACAACACTCCAGGGTCAACCTTGCTTTTTCACCTTCAGCTGCCGTCAGCCGAGGGGGAAGAGGAGGGGGAGGGAAGGGACAAGCAGGGGTGGCGGGCCCGGAGTCCCGCGCGGATGGCGGGGCAGCCGTAGGGCTGTTGCTGCAGTTGCTGCCAAGGTGCATCCGGGACCATCGACACACGGGCTGCCAACGGTGCGAGTGGCGTTGCGGCGGCTTGCATGTCTGTATGCTGCCCAGTGCTGGGCTCCGGCTGAGGTCGCCGGGCGGACGGGCGGGCGGTCGAGCGATGCGTCCGCGGCGGGGTCACGGGGGGCATGGCGGGGTCACGTTCCTGCAGTGAACAGGAACGGTACACACATTTCCGCGGTGTGAGTGAGTGATGTGATGGGCGGGATGTCACTTGGGGTTGAAAGTGTCGGGCAAGTTGCGAGCCGTGTAAGTGAGCCTCATCACAAGTTGCGCGGACTGTGCAACGCGAACACGAACAACACGCTTGCCCGCATACTAGCCCACAACAAGCAACATCTTTATCTCTCGTCCCCATCAGAAAACAAGAAACAAAAAAGGCATTGAGGAACAAAAATAAGATTGAAAGGTCAACCGCCCCCACGGGCAGACTGACGGACCGTCGGCCGGTTCTGCGGGGACCTGGGCGGTCCTCCATGGCGGCAGGGTAACTACTCACAAGCACGGGTCAGCCCAAGCACCAAGGCACCAAGCATCAACCAAGAAAAGGGAAGGCAGGCGGCCCAGGCAAAAGGCAGGCAAAATGTAAATTTAGGCTTCAATGCTATCGAAGGCGTGCATGGCGCCCGGCCTGCCGCTCGTTTACGAGCTGCCCGTCGAATCAGGAACCGGCGGCCGCCACATGCGGGCTTGGGCTTGGCAGGACGAGGCGCGGGGGGGCGCGAGTCCAATTGGCCCGCCGGCCTGTTTGCGTTGGCAATAAGCATTACCGGTATGCATGTCTGTGGCTGTTTTTATTTTTCTGGGACCGGACCCAGGTTGCCCGGGAGGGAACTGAGTGAGTGAGTGAGAGAGTACGTACTTTGTACATGAAGAGTGAGACAGAGAGACAGAGAGAGAGAACCGACAACTAACTCGCCAACCCCCAACTAACCAGCCAACCAACCAAGAGCCGCTTCAACGACAACCACACCTGCGGCTGGATGCGCCAACTCGTTCTCACCATGCCGCTTCTGGTTGTTGCTATGACACTCACGGCCTTGAACTCGGATGCTCTGCTGCTGCTACCAGTACCGCTACCGCTGCTGCTGCCTCATCGATCGCGCTCTCTGCCGACATGGACGCCTCGCTGCTGCCACCCACAATGCCATTGTGTCCGAGCTGAACCCTTCCTCCCCCGCCCCCCCCGCGGCAGTGGCCCTAACCTCCAGCCCGCCTCGAGCAAGACGAAAACGTTATGTCGACGGCACCCGTCCTGCCCGTCGACCCGTTTCCTGCTTTGACTGCCCGCCCACAACCTAAATACCTACCCAACTTGCTACCCGTGCGGCTCTTTCAGGCAGTTTTGGCACCTCTCCCATGTATTCTCGATTTGTCCATGAATCAGATAATCAGACCACTCTACAGTACTGTACTGTATAACACGAGATGTGAAGCGCCTCCCATCTCATCTAACCCCCCATCTCCATCACCATCTCGGCCACCTCCCTCACCTCCCCGACCCCCCCGGTCAAGGCACTCCAATGATGCCCGACCGGCCAAGACTTTTCCCGTCACGACGCCACCGCCAAATGTTTCACTGGGTATTGCTGCCTCGGAGGGCTCGGAAAAGCGGACAGGGCGGTGACAAGCACCAGCAACACCCGGCTCGTGTTCGATCCGATCGCGCGCGCGCCCTCCTCGGGCGTACTTGGCATTTTTGCGGCTCAACTTTATGTCACTCTGTCGGTTTTGTCCAGTCGCTGGCTCCCTGTCCAAGAACAGAAGTCCCGCTGACTCGAGGGGAGAAAGTCTCCGGCCCTGTTGAGTCAGGACATGACGGAGCGTGAGAATCATCATGCAGCACCATCCGCAAGCTATTGAACCGGAGTATGGAAAGGGGAATCATCATGCAGCCTCTGTAGGCCATTGGAAGTAGTCAACCAACAGTGCCGTCGCACGTGGCCCAGCCCTGGCTCGGCAGATTGAACCTGCAACTTACAAGTGCTGTTATGCCTTTGAATTGGGTATCCGGCCGACTATTACTTCCCTACCGTGAACAGCTGACAAGGAAGGCACATAAGCTGGACTGGGTACACCCGAGCTGCAAACTCCAGCTCGGGCTCGGCAGAAGGCATGGCAGCAGGGGATGGATCGGGTATCTGAAAGACTATTACTTTCATGCCGCGAGCGGCTGACGAGCCAGCACGGGCACTGCTTGATGCATCCGGACCGAGAACGCAAGCCCCCGGTTTGGAACACGGACAGGGAAGCACCGTCCATACTGTCATGAGATGAATTGGGTATCCGATCTGCTACAAATTCCCAGCTGACAAGCCATCACCGCCAATACTTTATGCATCCGAGCCGCCCAAACGCCCAGCCCCCGTCCCTTGCCCGCCTCTCTCTACGCCGTCACTGGCCCAGCTGCCGCCGCCTCTTCCTCGCCTCTCTTGGTCTCCCTGTCCGCCGGCGCCGCCACCGACGACGAGGAGGCCCCCAGGCCCGTAAACGGACAGACGCCCTCGGGTGCGCTCGCCTCCCGCGCCCCGACGCCGCCGCTGGCGTTCTTCGCCCTCTCGCCCTCCTCTCCCTGCTGTCGCTGCTGCTGCTGCTTCTCTTCGTTCGCCTCGTCGTCCTCGTCGCTGCCGCTGCCGCCCAATATCTTCTTGCCGTGCAAGTACCCCTCGCGCTCCACCTCGATGTCCGAGGCGCCGCCCACCGCCTCGAACTCGACCCCGTCGCGGACGTGCCACTTGGCCATGAGGTCGTTCTGGATCCAGATGACCTTGTTGAGGGCCTTGACCAGTGCTGTCTTGCGCGACAGGTGCATCCGCGGGTGCGACAGGATGGCCTCGGTCATGATGTCCTGGATGAAGCCCAGACAGGCGCCCAGGTGGACGTACTCGATGTGCAGGGGGTGCCTCCTCCCGAGGCCAACGTGCATCATCCTAAGCCATTGCCCGTATGGTTAGCACGCAAGTGCGAAGAAAAAGGCGTGAAAACCTGCACTACGTGTCTCGACTGTCCCCTTTCTGGGTCGACTATGGACACTGTTCTCCCCCTTGTAGAGGGGCTGCAAGTGTTACGGGGAAAAAGGGGGGGGG